ACTTCCGTTTCTTGTCTTTCCCCTCTTCCTTCGCCTTCTTTCCTTCTCTTACGTAGAATACTTATAATTTATATTAAGTCATAGTATATGTTTACATTTTTGTCATCAAGTACTCTCTGTTGTTATTGTGTAATGTAATGTTTGGAGAGGGTCTAGTAAGCTGCACGGACTTGTGCTTTATCCCTTTGGTGTATTGTCAATAAATGGTTTGAATTAACAGAAAAAAAAGAACATTTTTTTATTCTATTTCGACAAATTTGGAAACTATCGCGTAAATATTCCATATTTTACCATTAATTCAGTGCTCTCATACCAAATATTTGCAAAATTAAGATCAACTGTTTTTGCATTCCATCCAGGACAAAAAGGTAAGGGCTGGATATAGAACACTAAACAGTTACTGAAATTTCTCATTTCCATTTTCATAAGATTTACAGTTTTTCACTCAATCCATAACAAAAAGATAAGAAATGAATATTGAATATCAGAGATTTACTGAAATTTCTTTTTCATAACTATTTCCTGTCGACAAATTATTTTGGTTTTACACAAGAAGATGACAACTAAAATACAACGGTAACAATGCTTGTTTTTTAAGGTTAAAAAAACGTACAAAAACATAGATGTATCTACAACCTGTTCTGGGTTTGATAAGAAATATTAGGAAGGATTCAATAACATTTAGTCATCAGCAGATGCTACATAAAATATGTCTCTCAATTTCTTTTATAATTGCATGTTTTTTGTATGCACTCTACATTTGCAGCATGTTGTTGATGTGATATTGTATTTTCCATTTTGACCCCTTTCTGGTGAATTCGATGTATAATTACCACTGAAGACGTCGAGCAAGCTGAAAAAGACATTTGTTCCGATGCTTCATGTCGTATTCATTGCTATAAAGATTGCAAAAACATGAAATATCAAAACATGTTTACTGAATATTTTAAAATATCGTGAATACACTAAATTATTTTATTTCCTTCAATATTTGTCTTTTCGGAAAGGAAATAAAAGAAGAAGAAAATACAATGCTTGCGTTGCCCCCAGCCTGATGCAGATTTCATTTGTATTACAAAATAAAGAGGCGTATTGCACCCAGAACTGACACCTTGACAATCTATCAAGTTTTTCTCCTCGCAGCACCCGATACATGTATCTCGAGAACGTATTTGTATGCAACATGTTCTAAATTCAACACAAGACTCGAAATATGATATGATTAATCAGTTCATCATAAATATGGGATTCTGTAATATATCCGAACTGTTGGTATCAAGATGACAAGGCTTTTGTATTATCTTTGGAAACTTCATAATACGAACATAATAACAGAATCCCCTTAATTGAATAATAAAATACGTGCCAAAGTATAATGTGGCATTGTTTTACAGGTGTTTACGTAAGCAAGGAAGATACCTGCGAACATCGCTTGTCATAAACTTCTTGAGTTCCTACATTCATACGGTGTTGGCGTTATTGTTTTCTATCCCATGCCAACTAATATGTGACTTTCAATTTACAAAACCATTATTAATTTGAATTTGATAGCGATTTCATAAATATGATCTGTGTATTTGTATTACACTTTTGAAATCAACTTTCGGCAATAAATTGTTAATTCAGATTTTTTCCAACTTATCATAGGATTCTATAAGGTTTCAAAAAAAAGAAAATCCGTTTGAAAAACATGTTAAGTTATAAGTAAGACGATATCCCCCATATTCATACACGACTTTAACGTGTAACGATATAGCTTCAATATCTATACTCCAGCTTAACACTCCATTATTGATTCCGCAATATAAGTTCATTGAAACATTGCTACAAACACGCAATGCCAGCAGAAATGATCATTTTCCCGAATTTAAACCAAACCTTCAGGCTCCATAAATCACACCTAGCAGATGATCAAAAGTCCGTGCATATCAGCTCGAATTAGTTTTTGCATTTTCAAAAATATCTTAATTGTGAAAAAGCCCACTAATTGAAGTAAAAATGATGTAATATTTGTGAAAGATATACCAAACAAAGGAAAATTTCAGAATAAATAAATAAACGAATAAAAATAAATTAAAAAATGTTATTATACAGTTGTATGACCGTCTCTGCCAGAATAGTAAACATCTGCTTCATCGGAAACGCCTACCACCATGTAGCCAATGTCAAGGGGAGGTGGGGGGGGGGGGGTATTTTCAACAGAAATTCGAGATACTGACATGTAGTGCCCTCTGTTTGACATATATGGTTGTATATCAGTACAAGTATCCTATTAAAAACTAAGATTCGACAAACATCTTCATAAATAAGATCGATTATTGAATTATCGGGGAAATTGCCACTTCGTTGTCAATTTCCGATGAAACGCTATTTCAAAACAACAATACATCATGGTATTTTTCGAACATTCACCCAAATTTGTGAGCTGGTATTGATGAAAGATGGATTTGGTGGTCTTGAGGCAACTGGTCAGGAATGGTGTTTTAATGCCGTCAACTAACACTACTATCGACTGAGATAATCACAACATCCAAAATGACATCTACTTGTAATCGGGAAAAAGTGGCTTGTTTGATAAATAAAATAATGTCTTATAATATCAGCCTCTCGCTAGATGATTTTTACATGTAACCTAGATATTACTCATTGTAAAGGCAACTTCAAATGTTACCAAGATGTTATTGGTAAGTGATTCAGAGAGGGAGGGGGGCATTATATCTGAATATTCATATAAAGGGGATATCGTATAATTTGAATACAACACGATCCTTTTGAATACAACACGATCCTTTTCTGCGTTTTTCTTAATACTGATTACAATAAATTTTAGTTAAACTATGTGGGGACTGGTCTACCAGACGATGTCTAAAGAACACCGTAATTATTAAAACGAGTGGAATCTAATACAACTTTTACTATGAGTGTACAAAGATAATGTCAATTTCCGTGATTTCTTGGAGACTGTCGCTTTATAAATAATTTATTATTATCATCATTATTATTATCGCGTTAACATGGTTATAGTTTTGAGATCAGCAGTGTTCATTATTTCTACAATTCCCGCATTTCAATCTCCTTTTTTTGATTCAAACATATTTTATTGCCATAATAATCAGCAATAGGATTGGACAAAACTACAACACGATTTCGATTTATGCCCTTTTCCGTTAACAAAATAACAATTATTGCAGTTGGTAAAACAAAGATGTCATTAATATACAGCTATATACGTACTGAATGGTCAAATTGATGTCCGAAATTTGATAAATTAATCAGACTTTAATTTGAAATCTATTGCTAGATTTAATGAAATTGTGCACATTTTCCAAATATCATTTCAGTGTTGTCTACCGTCAGATTTTCATTGCCGATGTGGTTCACCAATCATGATGCTTAAATCACAGTGATTCCTTCACTTATAAATAGCGACAGCAACTTACCTTCCCAATCAGTCTAAAAACTAAACATTGATAAGAAAATTTCAACAAAAACCTACACATGGAATTAGGTTCCATAACTTGTCGAATTCCAAGATACATGCATTCGTTGTAGACCATTTCTTTTAATTAAACACAAACTGAACGTCAATCTACTAGTACAAAATTTGCGAAAATGGCCCCTCCATTTCTCTGTCTCGAGAAAAGGTTACAAGAAACTTTTCCTGTGAAAATAAGAAATTGACTGTTATTTTTTTCTCATTAATAATACAACCCTAACATCTTTTTTTTACAGGGTGGTACAATGTAGACGGACCGAGGGCAACGGACGGGCCAAATGGACTGCCCACCATCTGTCCCTCTGTTCTGTATATGGGAATTCACTTCATTGCATAAGGAATACAACCGAAACAAAAGCCGGTAAGTGGGTTAAGTCGGAGAGGCACAAAAGGTGATATTTAGTTCTCTTAGCGCTCTCGAAATTCTAGATCAGCGGATCAGTCCAAGGGGAATAACTCGCCGAGAAATCTGTATATAAAATCAATGAAATTGACGATGATATCACAAAAAATAAAATACTTTATACACCCGGAACATTTTCAGATTTTGCTTATAAGACTATTCTGAACTCACATACATCAATAGGTAGTGAGAACTGAAAAAATGGAGAGAGAAAAAGAAATGGACACATAAAAAATACAACACAACTGCGGCATGACGTTCTGTGGTAAAGTGGAAAGTCATAAGAATTAAAAAGAAAAAGGCATTTGCATAGTAGTTGTAGAAGGTATACGTCATGGTCATCTGAAAACGTATGGTAAACAGTTATTTTCTTTACGTCATCTCACTGAAATCGTGGTCATAACCACTGTATAAAAAGGAATTACCTGTTGGCTTTCCGCCCATGTCTGGAGTTTGCTAAGACGAACGCTTTTAAACCTAGGGTCAACGATCTGAGATGTTATGAGCTGAGCAGTCAAGAAGATAGTTAGGATTGTGCAATATGTGGGACAGCAATTAAATCGAGTCTTTCGAGCCAATGCCGTCAATCAGAGACGTATATATATGTATGTGGTATATACGTCTCTGCGTCAATCAAATGGATTACCAGAGACATGTCTCTGGGATTACTAAAGGTTCCTATATTACAAGACCTCACACAGATAAATGATGAACGAGTTATTGATTTTTCTTATCTTTACAGTATATTTCGTTAATATATTAATGAAACACTGCGAAATTCCGATATGGTATGGTGAGAAAAAAGCTTATGACGTAAGCGTCAAGGAAAGAAGTCAATGTAAGAGTTATGTCCCCTCCTCCATGCGGAAGCATTATTTGCCTAGTACTTGATATTTAGTTTGAATAATGTTTGTCTCTGATTAAATTGCATGGTTAAAGCATCGATCTATTATCGGTAAGATTAAAATACTTTTATCATGATCAATCTTTCAAAATTAAGGAGAATGTATGAAGAGAGATGCCCAAATATTTCCGTCATAATTCACTGCGCATGTACGGAAGTGGATTTGATAAATCTTGGTAGGATGGAAGTGGTGAAGATGTGACAGGACAATAAAGGCCGTATCATTTGAATTTATGTTTAGAGGAAGTATAAACTTGGGCTAATGGCTAATACAGCCCAGTTAGACTCGGGTATACTTCGTCGAAATCCACAGGATGATTTTGAATTGATACAACGAGTGGGGAGTGGAACGTACGGAGATGTATACAAGGTGAGGATAAAATCGCAAAACATGCATGGAAGTTGGAATGGAATTATTTTATATTACTTTAAAGAATGGTTTCCATTGGAATTTATGTTTTATCATTATGTTGTACCAGACAAATATTAGACTAAGATGAATCACTATTGAATAATGTTGTAGCTTTGAGAAATCAATAGTAGTAGATGGCAATACAAAAGCACTAAGTAGCCTTATCTTTGAGTCATCACTAGGATTCCATTTGAGTGATTTCTTACAAACTCATCCTTCGAATGGTATATTCCCCTCTAACTCCCCTCTTCCACCAAGAAAAAAAGGTGAGGTTGCATTTCATGAAAAGTTATTTTTAAAAATGTCCAGTTAATCATATACAGGTATGTTTTTCATGTCTGAATATATAGTTGGAACAGATTTTTTTACGATAACATCGATTGACAATAAATTATTCCTATTAAATTAAATGTTACCGGTATGCAGACTTCATCAAATAAAACTGTTGAAGACGAATTTAGTGAAAAATCCACATCAAAGGATAGCATGTCAACAATATTCAATAATTCTATGTGTACATATACAAGTCAGTATCAGAAACTGATAAAAGAAAAATATGAATCCCATTGTCAGTTCAGAGGTAAAAGCATGTAAACAAAATGGCTGGAATGATTCTGAGAGTTGAATTTCATGTACTTTAATACTAATGTCTATGGATCATGTGCTTTGCCTGGTGATATGATAATGTTATAATAGTATTAGCATTATGAGTCTGGATTTCTATATTTACGTGTGCGTAAAATTTTGAGAATACAAGAAAGAACTGCTTATATCTAATTTGTAGTTATTATCTTCTAGGCATGGTGAACTGACAGATCTATATATATGTTTATATTCATAGAATGTGTGGTTATGCACATACATTGTAATGTATGTGTGCACATGCGTGTAGGGGTCAATTTAAATTGTTCATTTGTCATAGGAGTGGACCGCAGAACTAGCTGTCATTAATTTATTTGGTATTTCTTCATCTAATAAATAAAAAGTTATAAAGGGTTTACTGTAAACTATTATCTGTCATGGTGGTCTCAGCCTTCAAAATGAGATTTAATCAGTCATTGATATAAAATATTTTGGCAAATTTTATTATAAAAAGTGGAAAAATAACACAAAGGAGTGGAAGAGTCCAATGTCCTATATGTAGGTGGTGTTGGTTTGTAGAGCTCCACAGATGGTAGGCAAATACAAATGAATAGAAGATTGAACATCGAAACCTGGGATTCCAAGAATTAGTGTATCTTATTGTTGACATGTTTTGATTGGCTATAGGCCAACTGTCATGAGATGCTCAATCTCCTATCAACTTATGATAAATAACAAGTAAGAAAGGGTGATGGGTAAAATCTGGATCACATACACATGTTGTTAAACATTGATAGATAAATGAAGATGTGACTGTCATGGAATGCATCAGTTTTATTATCAACACATATTTGTTCATTTTTTTGGGAAAATACACTAAAGTGCAGCTTATCTGGAGCACTGCAGTTCATAGAAAATACAAACAACCACTTAATGCATACCAGGTAGTTCATTACAAACACATAAGCTAAACTGTATCTCATGTTTTAATCTTTCATTCAGTTTTGCTTAACTCTTTCTGCAGGGATTTGTTGTTACCAGACCCAATTGAAAAGGAGCTGCAGCTCAATTTTATAAAGTACATTTTTTCTGTAGAAGTTGAGAATATAGTACAGGTTGCCTTCCGAGCTTCAGCTAGACAGAACATTTCTCCAATCGAACTGTAGAGTGTCCGGCTAGACACCAAACAGACATTATATCAAAACCCAGTCCAGGACGGCATGTTTTGTCTTTATTATTTCTATGTTGTGTACTGCAGGTTTGATGTCAATGACTGCTCCAAGTATAGAAGTTTTGATAGATGCTTTTCTTTAGGTCTCTGGTTATGGTCATACAAGGGTTGTTGGTGTCTGAATTCTTGGCCAAAGACTATGTGAATAAGGGATTTAGAACGTAGAAGTGGAGAGAACAGGTCGTGTTAGCCTTATGAATTAGCTAGTAGGAATTTCCTTTCAATCAAGAGGTAGAGTGTCCAGTGAGAGGGACTGTTACCCAAGCTGAGGGCAAGATTTTTTCTTTACTCATTTTCTTGTAAAATAAATTTGAACAGTTATCGAACAGGCTTTGGCCACCGTAGAGTTAATTACAACAATGACTACATGTATGTATCTGTACCTAGCAGTGGCTAGTGAGATTTTATGAAGAGTCTCAGAAGTTTTTAATTTTGCAAGCTTTGGTTAGTAAAAATTTCAACTTCAAGACAAGTTTGATAAAATCTCCTGTTAAATGGAAACAAAGTTCAGATACTTTTTTATTCTGAAAGGAGGTCACCACTCACCTAGTATTGATTGTGTTGCTCTCACATGTCTATTCCAGTATTGAACTGTATTGAACAATCAAATATCCAGCTTGACGAAGAGAATTCTTTCCTAAAAATAGTGTGACCTCATGCTTTATTCAGAACAGTGATCATGATGATGAGTATCAAAAACGAGGTTGAATGTTCAGCTTGACCAGAAATTTTTTTCCTAAAAACAGCGAGATCTCTTGCTATATTCAGAATCATTATGATATGTATCGAAAACAAGGCTACATCAACAAAACGAAGAGTTCTGCTAAGTATGGGAGAGTAGTGACACAGCAAGTTTGATTTACTTTGATCATGGAGTGGGCTGTGCATTTCTTGTACAGCTAGATCATATGCAATGGTCAGTACCTTAAAAATATCTCCATTACACTGCAGAAACTGCATCAGTAAACTCCAGTGATACAATATTATGATGCTCAGTTGACATCAGTACCTTACGAAGAATCAAACAGAATGCCACCTAGTTCATGTTGCTTTCATCATTACATCGCTTTGCGTAAAGCATTATGGGATTGGAATGTTTAATATATGTTATTTACTCAGTCCAACAATTTTCATCAGATAAGGATTTCCTTTAATAGATATGAAATAAGGCATTTTTCAGAACTCAGTAGAATATAGTAGTATTCAGTAAGGGATAGAGAAAAACTTACATTTGTATTTCGTTCAATTCTTTCAGAAAAGAGACATTTTCTTAAGGGATTACCAGCTTTAACAATTCCATATTACTATAAATGCTTGGTAGGGAACAACTATTAGGTTACATTTGGACAGGTTTCAAATAAAAAATGTTAAGGACAAAATCAAACTGGGGCAGCCATTTTGTTTTGCCATTTTCAATTCTTTACATAACAACATACCATTGTCCATGTTATGGCATCACAATACTTTTCTGACTGGAGCAGTCAATTCTAAATGCTCCAACGTATATTACACATACTGACATTTGCAAAAACATTCCACATTGGCTAATTAAGGGGATTATATGTGATAAAATGTTTTCATACTTTTATTGGAGAAGATTTACTTCAATATATAAGTAAAAACTGCATCAAAACTGCAAAATCAGAAAATAATAATTAGTTGTTAAAACTTTTTGAGAACTTGATCATATCATAAAGTTAATATACTAATATATTATATTAGATTCAACTTTGAATAAAAGAATGTTTCAGTCTAAGAAGTTGTTAATTGTCCCCATTTCCTGAAGACTTGATAATTTTCCTGTTACAGTATATTTAAACCACCAAATATTCCATGCTGGTGCTGTTTCTTGTTAAACATTTACGAAAGAAATAATGAATTAGTTTATTATTTACACCACAAAATATTGCCTCTGTTTGAATATGATCATGTATAATCACTGACATTTGGATAGTTAATAAGCTAGAATTAAAAACTACAATATCACAGTGTAGCTAGCACTTGTGTCACAATGTACAGGAATACTGGTGTAAATATTTCATGTTCTGGAAGATTGAAGAGTTTTTTTTGTCTTGGTGGATATATATATACTAGATGGTTGTAGTTGTGCTTCATCCTCACTACCAAATAGACATTCTGCGCATGCTCTTAATTTGGTTTGACCTGCATGTAAGTGTGATACCAGTTTAATCTGTTCATATAAACAGTCCCCCATCACCTCCACCTCCCCACCCCCTATAAAATAAATATATATATATTATATATATATATATGATAAATAATGATATTTAAGGTCAATGAAAATTTGAGTTCACAGTACTTTTCTTAAAAGTGGCCGACATCAGAAATGCACAATATTTACAATATATAATTTATAATATATATATAGTACATCACTGATGTCAATTTTAACTGAAGCTAAAATTATATTTATTAACCCTGTATTGTTGCTTAAGTGACTGAAGACGTGTGGTGTTCAGGCTGATTGTAAATTTTAGGCTAGCTAGGCGACAGCAGTAACTGCACTTCTAAATCAAAGTCAAAGACACAAACCATTTGATAAATAGTGTACACCACTGCAGTAAGATAGAAGATATCTATAAGATACAGCTTTAATGAAATACAATGTACATGCATTAAAATACCTCACATCACTCTGTCCAAAGGAAGATGTGGTGTATATATAAATGCTCTCATTGTGAGTAAACCTCCACCTCTGTGACCAACGTCTATTGTTATATTCCCTGAGTAATTGCAATCATTTCCCTTTTGTTTGGTAATTTGGCCATAAAAAGAATTAGTGCTTGCTACTAAAATTTGTCACCTGTCTAGTTAGCTACTGTGCAGACACTGGTCTGTAAATACTTTTTTTGTGTGAGACTAAGCTTTTAGCCTATTTCAAACTTATATACCAGGTATACTAAATTGTTTAAGAATGTTGATTTCATTCCATTATGGATTAAAAAAAAAAAAAGAAAGGAAACAATCAATCTGTCATCTAGGGAATTGTTCATGTGATGTTTTTTTGCATGTCACTAGTATAATATACCCATCTAGAGTCTTTTTCATTGACTGGGTCATTGATTGTGATGTTATATTTTGGACAAAATGATGATTTGTCATCTATTGAAAATGATGCAACAAAGCGGCTGCCTCCAATTGGTTTTGACCTCTGCATTCTGACTTTAAAACTGGTCATAGCATCATTTTTCTGTATTACATGATAAAAGGTATCTAATATTTGTTTTCATTTTTTGATATGAAAAGTCATTTAAGTTACACTGAGACTACCAATGATTTATGATAGCTCTTTTTATTCATTTTGTTTGTTTTCAAAATTCTGATTGTTAAACTAAAGTGTAAACATGATATATGGTGGACATATATATCTTTGTATACACATATAGAAACAGGAAGTAAACTTCCTTGTACAACTGAAAGTTAGTGTATTTCATTAACTCCTGTCTCAAATTCTGGGTCAGTTTTTGTTGCATGACTTATATATGTAATCTGTCATTACTCTTTCAATAATTACACAGTAGATCTCTATACAAATGGAATTGTGTTATTTATTATCTGAGTAAATCTGATGTAGGTATGTGGGATATCTATATCAGGCATATATATTAGTAGGTGTAGAATATGTATCAGTGCTCTAGGTTTTGTTGTGGTTCTGAACCCAAATTCTACTTTCTGAAAGCATTGTAAGAATATTCATTATCTGACAATTTTTCTTACACAAATAAATTATAATAAAGTAAAGCCATGGGTGTAAGCATGGTAGACTATAGGTGTGTACCTTGGAGTGTAAGATACCACCATAATCTCATGGGTAATAAATATATTTCCTTTTTATTTTAAGTCGTAATAGATACAGATCACTGAATGCATCCATATGGGAGTTATTCCACATGGGACACAAGTATCCTACACATATGCAGAGGTGGCAGAAAATAATACACATATTTTGCTGTATGATGCAACAAGGAATTGCAAATAGGAATTTCTTTAAGATACATATTATACAATAAAAAGGTTACCAGGTAAAGTTTACATGTGGTCCTAAGTTTTGTCTGTGTGTGTATTTCAGAGCAGTAAGTAGGTTAAAACAAAAGATGTTGCCTTATAGCATGCTGGTACCAGACGGAATATATTGATCTTTTTAAGTCTGCCTTTTATGGTTTGTCGATGCTCTTGTGTAGGTGTGAACTCCTGTTTCTCCTGGTCATGACTTCTAGTATTTGGATGCTGTCTGTATTTTGTTGGCCATATGTTGTTCTTGTTTTTTGTTTTACACATTTTTTTGACTTGCATGTGGTTGTACAGTATGTCGTGATATGGTTCTGTAATTGTGTATACAATGTTGCTTCAGATACAGTAATTAGGGTTCGGACAGTGAAACAGAATTTGTATAGAATACAAGTGAAAATTTTGACTGTAATGTTATCAGTTACTGATGTTTGTGATAAGTGTGTTTCATTATTATTCTTATTATTATTAATTAAATGTTTAATTGATTTTTTCTGGAAACTCACTGGAGGAAATCCAGTAAAAAAAAATAAAAATATATAATTAAAAAACTGTCATGACTTAATATATATACCGGTATGAATATTCAAACAATTTGACTAGTAGCTAGATATTGGTAATAAAAAGAATAAATGAGACTGACTAGTAGCTAGATATTGGTAATAAAAAGAATAAATGAGACTGTGACTAGTAGGTAATAAAAAGAATAAATGAGACTGTGACTAGTAGCTAGATATTGGTAATATAAAGAATAAATGAGACTGACTAGCAGCTGGATATTGGTAATATAAAGAATAAATGAGACTGACTAGCAGCTGGATATTGGTAATAAAAAGAATAAATGAGACCGACTAGTAGCTAGATATTGGTAATAAAAAGAATAAATGAGACCGACTAGCAGCTGGATATTGGTAATATAAAGAATAAATGAGACTGACTAGCAGCTGGATATTGGTAATAAAAAGAATAAATGAGACTGACTAGCAGCTGGATATTGGTTATAAAAAGAATAAATGAGACTGACTAGCAGCTGGATATTGGTAATATAAAGAATAAATGAGACCGACTAGCAGCTGGATATTGGTAATATAAAGAATAAATGAGACCGACTAGCAGCTGGATATTGGTAATATAAAGAATAAATGAGACCGACTAGCAGCTGGATATTGGTTATATAAAGAATAAATGAGACCGACTAGCAGCTGGATATTGGTAATATAAAGAATAAATGAGACTGACTAGCAGCTGGATATTGGTTATATAAAGAATAAATGAGACTGACTAGCAGCTGGATATTGGTAATAAAAAGAATAAATGAGACTGACTAGCAGCTGGATATTGGTAATAAAAAGAATAAATGAGACTGACTAGCAGCTGGATATTGGTAATATAAAGAATAAATGAGACCGACTAGCAGCTGGATATTGGTAATAAAAAGAATAAATGAGACTGACTAGCAGCTGGATATTGGTAATAAAAAGAATAAATGAGACTGTGACTAGTAGCTAGATATTGGTAATAAAAAGAATAAATGAGACTGTGACTAGTAGCTAGATATTGGTAATATAAAGAATAAATGAGACTGACTAGCAGCTGGATATTGGTAATAAAAAGAATAAATGAGACCGACTAGTAGCTAGATATTGGTAATAAAAAGAATAAATGAGACTGTGACTAGTAGCTAGATATTGGTAATATAAAGAATAAATGAGACTGACTAGCAGCTGGATATTGGTAATATAAAGAATAAATGAGACTGACTAGCAGCTGGATATTGGTAATAAAAAGAATAAATGAGACCGACTAGTAGCTAGATATTGGTAATAAAAAGAATAAATGAGACCGACTAGCAGCTGGATATTGGTAATATAAAGAATAAATGAGACTGACTAGCAGCTGGATATTGGTAATAAAAAGAATAAATGAGACTGACTAGCAGCTGGATATTGGTAATAAAAAGAATAAATGAGACTGACTAGCAGCTGGATATTGGTAATATAAGGAATAAATGAGACCGACTAGCAGCTGGATATTGGTAATAAAAAGAATAAATGAGACCGACTAGCAGCTGGATATTGGTAATATAAAGAATAAATGAGACCGACTAGCAGCTGGATATTGGTTATATAAAGAATAAATGAGACCGACTAGCAGCTGGATATTGGTAATATAAAGAATAAATGAGACTGACTAGCAGCTGGATATTGGTTATATAAAGAATAAATGAGACTGACTAGCAGCTGGATATTGGTAATAAAAAGAATAAATGAGACTGACTAGCAGCTGGATATTGGTAATAAAAAGAATAAATGAGACTGACTAGCAGCTGGATATTGGTAATATAAAGAATAAATGAGACCGACTAGCAGCTGGATATTGGTAATAAAAAGAATAAATGAGACCGACTAGTAGCTAGATATTGGTAATAAAAAGAATAAATGAGACCGACTAGCAGCTGGATATTGGTAATATAAAGAATAAATGAGACCGACTAGCAGCTGGATATTGGTTATATAAAGAATAAATGAGACTGACTAGCAGCTGGATATTGGTAATATAAAGAATAAATGAGACTGACTAGCAGCTGGATATTGGTAATAAAAAGAATAAATGAGACTGACTAGCAGCTGGATATTGGTAATATAAAGAATAAATGAGACTGACTAGCAGCTGGATATTGGTTATATAAAGAATAAATGAGACTGACTAGCAGCTGGATATTGGTAATAAAAAGAATAAATGAGACTGACTAGCAGCTGGATATTGGTAATAAAAAGAATAAATGAGACTGACTAGCAGCTGGATATTGGTCAAAAAAGAATAAACAAGATTGTGACTTTAAGCTAGACATTGTTAATAAAAAGAATAAAAGAGACTGTGACTATATATTCTGTAAGTGCAAATTTGAATTTCATGCACATACATCATGCAACCCATTGATATTTGTGAATAAGTTAAGGATTCATATTTTATAGTATTTTACCAAATGTGATATAATTTCCAGATTTCATATGTATCAGTGGAAATTACTAACTGGAAGTTTTAAATGATAAATTACTGATTTATTTCTGGTCTAATTCTGTTACATAAAAGCTATAATTATATACACAAGTTGTATATCATACACATAGTCCTGTTGTTGTGTTTAATGAAGTATTTTGTGGTTTCCAGGCCAGGAACCTGAACACTGGAGAGCTGTCGGCCATCAAGGTCATCAAGCTAGAGCCAGGTAATTGCCATGACAACAACAAATACCACACTAGTTTTTAGTAATACATTATTTCAAATGCATGTCTAAAATTCCATTTACCTGGTAATTCAGGGATTTGTTGCCTGAGGAACTTACTGTGTCAGAGGGTCACATTTTGTGTGTCAGAGAGTCACATTTTTGTTTTTGACTAATTTCCTACCAAGATTTCACCAAAATTACAGAAAGACATTGATATAAATATGACGATATTACATTGTTTTTTCATTGGTTTGGAATATTTTATGTCTTATCTTAAAGGCTTATTCCAACCAAATTGTGAAATTTCTGGCTTTTAAGAACTCATTCTAATGACTTTTAAAACTGTTGTTTGCATCAAAATTCCCTCCTGTGGTCATGATCAGTTCGGACAGGCAAAATTGGAGGAATAGTGCCAGCCAATATAGATTGAACTGTCTAAATATATAGTAAATAAGGAAAGCCGAAACTGAAGGATCAAAGGATTATAGATTTTATGCAGAGTTCTGGGTAAATACACAAGTGTGTATGCTGTTCACTAAAATTTCTGGTGGAGAGATTTTATTACTTCATTAGGCTTATTTTCAGTTGATTTTATATTTAACACAAATATTTCATTCTGTTCGGCTAATTACAATGTCAACCTGTTATGACACAATCAGGCCGATGTGAACAGTTGTAAATCAATCTAGTTAGATCTGTATGATTATTTAAAGGATAACTTGAGGTGTATGATTTCCATAAGAACTTAAGTAGATAATTTTGTACAATTTCCTTCAAAAGCATCTGATGTAATCCTAGCTTGTATGGAATATCCCTTTAAGATTTTTAAAAATCTCATCAAATTTGTTGAGGAGACTAGATTTAAAACTAGCAAATCTTAGAGCAGATAGTTTCAGATTTATGATATTATGGCATCCTTTGTCCATTTTCTGCATCATCTGGAAACAACTTTAAGGCAAATGGTGATAATACATGGACAGTATAGCAATCATATAGTGGCCCGAAGGGCTGAAAGTTTTACGAATCTGAATTACCTTGACCTACTTTATAGGTCATAGCAATCAAAAGGGTTTTAAATTTTTTTGAACACCATGCAGGGCTCTCGATCTGCCAGCTTTGGGCCGAATAGCAAAATAGTACCTTTTTTTCTCAATTTAGACCCCAAGTTTTCCCAATTCTAAGGAAAAGCCGCTATTTTCCCCAATTCTTAGGGCCCTGGGCCCCAGTCACAAAATGGGATGTGAGAGCCCTGCCATGGCAATTGATAATCATACTTACCATGTTTGGATAACTTCATCTGAGTTAGCAAGAATAAGAATTTTTGCAAGACTTTGACATCTGATATTTTTGTATAGTAATAAGGGTCATAATTAGGGATCAAGATATGAATAGAACAGCCCTCGAAGTTTGGAATGAATGAACAAACTTTAAACTTTCCGAAAGTGTTACCATAAGGTGTAAAAGAATGGGCTTTTTATTGTAAAAGATGCTTTTTATGTTGAGATCAAATAATAAAAATTAAATGTTTATCAAAGATTGTATCTTTGAGATTTTTTGTCTGGAATGATTTAAGCATTCACATCAGGGTTCCCACTTTTTTGTCAATTGGACCAGCTACATGTCCAGTATAATAAAATTCCACAGATGTCTGATTTTGAAATAAATTCAATTTCCTTTTTATTACATTATACACAAATCTGTATGATATATTGCTCAAGATCAGTGTTTACAATTAATATTGCTTCCTATCACAATAAATGGACCCCTAGCATGATGGTGGTTAAGAAAATATTACAGGGTAATTTAAATATCTAATATATCTGTATGAACTAATTATTTATAGAAACATTGTGTCATTAATGTAAAAATGATCTTTTGTTCGGTTTATCTAATTAGAAACCTTGTTCATGTGTGGTATATGCTGTTACTACAACCATTGTTGTGTACTGGTTATCTCCCCTGTCAGTGATGTGTGACAGGTAACTTGTCATGTTCTAATTAGGCTAATTAATACTTCTCTACTGCAGTAACTATACTGGTCTGTCAACACATTTAATCACACACATACTGACCACATGTTAATAGGCCTATCTCATAATGATGTAGTATTGATTCCTTCAAGGGTTGGCTATGGCTGATTGGGAAGTGTTGTGGAGGTAATTTTGTTACATTAGGAAATCAGAGTAGGTCCTGAAATGTTGCTTTGATCAGATCCAGGAAAATTTGAAAAAGTTAAATTAATTATTTGCCAAATACATAAACCATGCTGTTAAACAATTTGTGCACAAATCACTGTTATGACATGTTATATTTTATTATGAAATATTTGTTTATACATGTGATTTGAGTACCAATAAAATACAGTTTCTAGATTTGGATGAATGAAGCATATGTACAATAATATCCTGTTCTTTTAATTTTATTAATACGTGGATGTACTGGTGATAAATAATAAGATTATATTTGTAATAGCATTAGGAAAAGATGAATATCTCCTGAACTGAGTGTTTTTTCATGAATTAAAAAAACTAAAATGTTTTATTTGGTATTAATTGAGTAAATTAAAGATTTCTTTCAAAAATGAACCTAAAATTAGCAGGTGTAACCAAACATTGTGCTTGTATCTTTTCCCCGGCTGGTTTACCAAAATTTCAACTTCTAAATAACACATTTGTTTTGCCACAAGCAGTGACAAAAAGATTGACCAAAAATTGGAAGGGTGATTATTTGCAGGAGTGGGCTATTTATGGTCAGATGTAATATTTTAATGTACAAAAATGTACATCAAAGTTGATTATTTTAAATATAAACAATGTTTTGTTTTCCTTTTTTAGGCGATGACTTTGCAGTCATTCAGCAGGAGATTGTGATGATGAAGGATTGTAAGCACACAAATATTGTGGCTTACTTTGGCAGTTACCTCAGGTACAGAAACTTTGAAAAAATGGTAAAAAATGGACTTGTATTGTCAGGTGTCTCAGGTATAGGGACCGAGACGGAAAAAATGTTCAAAATGCTCAGACTTATTTAGGCAGTTTGTAAATGGTGAAAATGGTGACCATTGATACATCTAGCTACAAATACAGTGTCCATTGATATATCTAGCTACACATATAGTGTGACAATAATGTCCATTGATATATCTAGCTACACATATAGTGTGACAATATTGTCCAGTGATATTTCTAGCTACAAATATATAATGTCCATTAATATATCTAGCTACACATACAGTGTCCATTGATATATCTAGCTACACATATAGTGTGACAATAATGTCCATTGATATATCTAGCTACACATATAGTGTGACAATAATGTCCAGTGATATATCTTCAAACATTGTGAAAAGGTGTTCAATGATATATATACGATGTGAAAATAGTGTCAAATAGTGTCCATTAATAGTGTCTAATGGCATATATATATATATCTACATACGGTGCGGAAATGGTGTCCATAAATATATCTACATAGATATGTTATTGTAAAGTGCATTTGTAAAGCAAGATAATGAATGAAAAGGAAATGTTGATAGAATGTTGCTATTGAAATCTGATCCTATAAAGTCAATTGAAAGATTTGAATAGACAAAGGATGGCACTCATTCATCATTCATAAACAGTAGAATCTTTCCTTACTTCTGACTCCTGACAAGGAAACAAAATACAAAATGTATATAGTTTACAGACATAAAGGTATAGTACACCAAATATTCTGACGTGTTTCAGATTTTCTTTAACACACTCTGTATAGAGGTAGTTATGTAGTTAATTGGTGTGTATGATTTACAATCTACATACCTACTTTGTAGGAGAGACAAGCTATGGATTGCCATGGAGTATTGTGGAGGGGGTTCCATGCAGGACATATATCATAGTAAGTGCATGGTAGACAAATGGGATGTGTGTAGCGTGTGAAACAGAATAAAGTATCTTCAATGTGAAAAATTGAGTTTTCATTTTGTAGAACTGAATATAACAATGTAAAACCAGTTATTTATCACGATCATTATTCAAAGGTTTACAAAGTGTCTTTTCATTTACCATATTTATCCATTTCTTATTGGTGAGTTTAGCATAAAAAGATGACTGCATAAAACTTCCTATTTAGTTTTGTCATTTTCAAATCTGTCAATTTTTCAAATTCAATATAAAGAAGAAAGTGCATGGCCAAACTGAAATTTTCTTCGATCAAAACTTTATTCAATGCTTTAACAAAAAAGTTGGGCATTATTGCTTTTCTGAAAAGTTTTAAACAGGGAATTGATTTAACTTCAATATGGATGCAGTGTTACAATGCAGAGTATAAAATGAAGCAATTTCATTTGAAAATTGCAGTGAATACAGTATATCATGACAAAACTGAATTGGATTGCACATGGCCTTGGAAAGGCAATCCTACATGACAATACCATGGTAAATAAATATGTAAGGTAATTGAAATGATAAAACAAATTTTTAACCAGATGTTATTGGCAACGTTTGCTTGTCTACAACAGTTACAGGGCCGCTGTCAGAATTACAGATTGCCTTCGTGTGTCGGGAAACTCTCAAAGGACTTCTATACCTCCACAGTCGTGGCAAGATGCACCGCGACATAAAGGTATTACAACATAGCAAGTGCTGTGGCCTTAAGCTCACTGTATAGCCACACACATACCTGATAGATTCCTGTCAACATTTAGAGTCTTTTGTGTCAGTCTCAACTTTAGGAATAAGGAAATAATCATGTTTATGGGTTTTATTACTACTGTGAAGCTCACCTTTAAAATTTGTTTGTTGATGGGCATGGACATACATATATACAAAACATAAATGTACAACCAAATTAATACACACAAACAACAAAATTTCCAGCACTGACTGTTTAGTGAAAGATGAATATGCAATTGTTTTTTAAGTGATTTATTGGTATATCAACAATATCAGGAAAGCAATGTTGCTTTTGGTTGTATAGGTGTAATGAACTCTCACAGGAAGTAATTCATTGTATTTAAACTTACGGCAAATCTAGATTTAAGTATTCCCTGGAATTTTTTTATGTTTTTTTTTAATTTTGTAATGAGTCTAATCTCAAAACACCTTTATTTCATAAAAAAAGCTCTCTACAAATCGTAGATATATTAAAATTTGTATAATCATTGAATGTATTATGGTTGCACAATAATGATGGAAAAATTAAATATTGGGTGATATTTGAAATTGATAATTTCTCAATATGTCAAAAGTCATATGAGATTGTGAAATATTGAAGTTCAATGATGTGTTAAAGATCAGGATTTTCATAATAAATTAATTACCTTTTTACTGATAAAAAGTTGCTGAGTATTACAACATGCATACTTGTATCTCTACATACTGAATCTATTCTGTATTTCAGGGTGCCAACATCCTACTTACTGATGAAGGGGATATAAAACTGGGTGAGTACTTGTTGTATAGTAACCAGCTTCCACCTCTCGACATTAATCAAGAACATCAGTATGCCTTGTTGATTGCTTATTAAGCTTTTCCTAACGTCCTAGTTGATCATCTAGACATTTGACTTCCATGCCTGGTTTTGTCCATATAAGCACATTTTTTTAAGCTACTGAATGTACATTCATGTTATTTTGGAATGAAAACGGATTTTTAAAAATTATTTACACATTGCTATTTCTGAATTGCAAGACTTTTTGTTTGATAGGGGATTAGGTGATTCATACAGAGAAAGACAAACGTTAAATGTTAATTAACTGCGACATTCCTAGAATCAGCATCTGAAACTAACTGTCAATTTTCTTTCCAGCTGACTTTGGAGTGTCGGCCCAGATCACAGTGACGATGAACAAGAGAAAGTCTTTCATAGGAACTCCCTACTGGTATGTTATACATGGGATCTTCTATCAGTATTTTTTGCTAGCAGAAATTGAAACTTTTAAGATGAGTTTCATAAGATCTCATGAAATGAAAAAAAAATTAAGCTCTTGGGTATATTATGCAAGTGACATATAAGAAAAACTTCACATGGCGAATTCATCGGATAACAAACTGATAATATGATAAATAGCACTGGATATGCTTATAGGAAAGCATTTATTGATTATCCATCAGGACAAATTGTCACGTTTTTCCACAGGTCGACATTAAACATGTTTTCTGTATTCATTTTGAAAGGTTTTGCAGTTGTCTGTCTTAGGAATCGGTAAAATATGTATTATATCAGAGTCCTAGTATTGCATTATCATTATCAAATATCAGTTCTTTAGGAAGGATATGATAAGAATGATTCATTCTTTATTGATTAAGAATTCTGTGATATATTGTTGTACTGCCAAGATGGCCTCTGTGAGTTTTATGAAGCATGTATGTTGCTCTTTTGCCAGGATGGCCCCTGAGGTGGCTGCAGTGGAGAGAAAAGGAGGTTACAATCAACAGTGTGATATTTGGGCTGTGGGCATCACAGCTATAGAATTTGCAGAGCTACAACCTCCTATGTTTGACCTTCATCCAATGAGGTAGGAAATCAACCTAATCTGAATTCTGTGTGATACATTAGTTTCCCTTCATTCATCACAATAAGCAATCAGTCTTTAAAAAGTTTTTGAAATCAAATATATTTTTGTGTTGGTTGCATAATGGATCTGTCTCAGATTTCATATGAAGGTTTCCCTTGTTCCCTAGCTGTGCCTTGTCGATTTTGTGACTGATCAGAAAACAAAATGGCTGACAACTGGCTATCTTTGATTAAAACTATGAAAGTTTTCTTGTAAAATACTGAATAAAAATGTCTCAGTTTTCATATGTCTGCTCCTCTTGATGCCTAGTTTTGCTCTTTTAATTTTTGGACTAATCATAAAAACAAAATAGCTCACAGGCAGCCATTTTGGATTTTGACAATGAAAGCTCGCTATTCTTACTTCCTGTTCATTGATCTGAAAGAACATAAATGACCATTATTTCAAAACATAAATGACCATTATTTCAAAAGCAAAAGTTTGCTGCCTAGTCTTCTATCATAAATTAGCAGCAGGCAGATTTACTGCATTTAACATAGAGAGAACCATAAAATTATCATAAAGGATACTGGAAAACTGTTGTTTAGGTGTAATCAATGCATTTCTCTTTCTTCAGAGCACTGTTCCTGATGTCAAAAAGTGGTTTCAAACCCCCTCAGCTGAAAGACAAAACAAAATGGTGAGTGTTTATATCAGAATCCCAGATCTCATGCACATTTCGTACTCACTTAATATTGATAGAATTTTAAGGAAAATGAAAGGTCTTTTATCGCAAAAAATTTTATCTGGAAATATTTACACCAAAAAGAGGGGTTGAAAAAATTATTACCTTCTATTTGAAGGTTATCTAACAAAATTTAAGCAGAAACCTTTCAGGTGTGTGATCAGTAGGCAAGTGACAATTTCTGTTGTAAGTGATTTAGCACACCTTTCTTGTAAGATCTTGTCATTGTATGTACTTAGTTACAGAACTCTTACATGTGTGATATTATGAGAGAGGACAATGATGGAATTATTTTGTTGTGACTATTATTTGTATTATTTATATTTAACTAAGTACCATAATACGATTAATTTTTTCTGGGTGATTCATTTTTGTTGATCTTTAGGGTACTTCTAATCCATGAATTGGGATATCAGCAAATTATTAAAATTATTTTAAATAGTTTTCTTGTGTAATAATTCATGAAATCGGATGACCACAAAGATATATGTTTTTGGAACCCAATGAAAATCTAGCCCTACAATAGTTTATGGTTGTACAATACACAAATTTCCAAATGTCTTTAAACAGGGCTCTCACACCCCATTTTGGGACTGGGGCCTGGGGCCCTTAAATTGGGAAAAATAGCGATGTTTTCCTTAGAAAAGATACTATTTTGCATTGGGAATGGGGCCAAATATCGGCCTCAAATCTGGCAGATCGAGAGCCCTATTAAATGTATGAGCATTGTTCTGTTCATGCATCCGGTAAATGTTACATTGACTTAAATATATCTGTATTCACTATTCATTTAGTGAACAATCTGTGAATCTATTTTGAACTTTATTTCAGGTCTCCGACATTTCAACATTTCGTTAAAGTTGCACTCACAAAAAATGCCAGGAAACGACCAACAGCTGATAAATTATTAGAGGTAAATATTTTTTTACCTAAAAACGTGTTTTAGCGGTAATGTATCAGGGTTTATTTTTGACATACAGATTTCAGCAACACCACTCCTTTTTGCTCAGAATCACTGCTGTCTTCATCTGACACATCAGTCTTTGTGCACTACCATCATGAAAATATCATTATCCTACCTGATTCAAATTGACACAACATCCCTGTCTATATAACATTAGTCTGTATACCTTTTTGTTCTGAGCCAATTTTATATCATGAAATAATATCAATAAGTTTTGTAAACCAACCTATACTGCATGCTATGTACAAGGCCTGAATACAGCATAATGCAAAAAAAATATCCGCTGCCATTTTCACAACATACTCATGGATCACATCAGCCCCATTTTTAGTACATAGGTAAAATCAATATCAAAACTGCCGTGATGAAGCCTTTCATCTAGAGGTCTAACTCAAAGATTTTAACCAACTCCGTGCTATTGTTTGAGTGTGTTGTGATTGAAAAACACCCTTAATTATATTTTCATATTTATTTCATCGCCTTCCATACCTTTCGGTATCCGTACTCATCAAGCCACTTAGTTTGAAGTGGTGTAGGCTCTACTGCAGTCAAGATTAACATTAGTTATGCAGGTTTCTTTTATCTGTTCCTCGTTGATTTAGTCATCTTTCTTCAAAGTTCAGCAGATATATTCCCCTTTCATCAAATGTCTTACAAGCTCATCTGTTTCACAATCCAGCCACTTGGTTTAGTGACAAAGTTGTTTTAATCATCTTTGACAATGTTTTAATATGGATACTGTCTACCCCACAGCACTTGTTTATGCAAGGTGACTTATCCCGGCGACTGACCAGAGAGATCCTAGACAAGGCTCGCAACCCAACCAACACTTTTGAAATTCTTGTTGAAGATGAAGATGGGGTATGGAATAAAAATTCTTGATACCAGAGATGTTTGCTTTATACAATTTTTTAAAAATTTTTTATGACTTATATGTATTAAACAACACTGGAGACTGCTCAGATTTGAAAACAATAGAATTGTAATACTTATATCAACAATGCTTTCAGTATATAATATTAGTAAAAATGAATTGAAAGATATCAACAATGCTTTCAGTATATAATATTAGTAAAAATGAATTGAAAGACAATGCAAAGCACATAATGTATCTAGGATAAATTATTGGAAGAGATAAAACCTCATCTTGTTTAATTCTATCCCCAACAAGAATTAAAATTTAGTTGGTATTCAGAACTTTGTTATATTATATTAGAATATATCGCTTCAACAGATCATGCAGAATGTGCAACAGAGGATACCATCACAAAGATCAGCACGTAATAACCCTGCACGCAACAGTATAGAACTGAAAGGTAGGTGTAGTTACATTATTTTACCCTCAGGGTATCTGTAGACAGGTTTCAAAAATATCATAAGCTTTAATTGTTTGAGTTGTCACGACCATGAACTTAAAAGGACTACAACAGTTATGTAAGATATCAGATAAAGATTATATACAAATACATTTATAAACATCAAACAAGAACTCATTTTATGGGGGATTTCGAAGGTTTCAATATTTTGAAATGTGAAGTTTGCAGTTATATTCTCTGATTATTGAAGTATTACACTGATATTTTTCTATAAGTACAGTGCTGTATGCCTTAGAGATAGAGTTATGTATATGGATCTGATTCTTGCACTATAAAGCTGTAGCTTTATTTTTGACCTCTTTACATTTGTAGATTTATAACACCTGCAAATTTACAATAAATGATATGACTCTAAATTTTTTCAATTTATGGTGTAAGTTAATGCTACTGTTCTGTCTTTTTCAGTAAATATCCCTCAGCCAGATCAGGTATGTAGAACACATAAAAGTGCTTTTGTGTTGAAATTTTACAGACTGCTTCCTTTAAATGTTTAATATAACATTTCTCTCGAGGATAACAATGCCTTTGATATATTCAGCTTCATGCATCTTATTAAAAACATGAAGCCAAAGGTTATTTTCAACTCTTTGATGATGAACAAGTACCCACAAAACATATAACTGATGAGTTAATCAATATTTCCTCTCTATTTCAACCAGATAGACATGTTTATATTTTGTAATAACGGAATCATTCTATTAAAGGATGAGAGATTTTACACCGGCCAAGCATGGATGGATAACGACATCTCAAACCAGTAAGTATACATGCTCACTTCTAGTTTCAAATTGGATATTGTGATGCAGTTATATATTCATAATCGCCACAAAACTTCCTTCAGTGTACCATTTCAAATTATGGATATTTAAGGTCATCTTCAAAACCCTATTCATGTTTTCTGATTGCGGATGTGTATTTTTTGTCTTTCTGTGCTGTGTTGATGGTAGCTTACGTTTCTGCTTTTTTGCTTCTGTGCTTTAATTTCAATGGAATTTGTCAGAGAGACCTGACCAACTTAATTGGACAACTGAACAAAATTGTCAGTTTTCTAGCTATATGGAAAAAATATGAGGCATTTCGATTGAGTTGTGAATATTTAGATTGATTAATCCTAAATATGGATGGATTTGTGGAAGAAAATTAATTTGGTGTTTAAAGATGAAACTCTTATGTTGAAAGATGTTCAAACCAATGGTGAATTCTTTTTAAAAGCATACTTCATTTGAAATATTTTTCAGGCATATTCACTTGATAACAATGATGAAATTTATTAAAATGTTCATTTGAAATTGAAAATGGAGATGATAATTTCCTATTGTATGCCGGTATTTCATCTAATTTTCAAAGTAGTGAAAGTGAAAGGGCTCTTGTCAGATCTTTCACAGAAAACAGGACACATATAGTGAGCTTTTGGTATTTCCTGACTTTGTCAAAGAACTAGAGAACACCACAAGATAGAGAGCATAGCTGCATGTGGAACAGCATGACATGTTTTATTGGTACAATAAGACCAGCATGCCTTAGTCAGATTATGTCCGTTTAAGTAGATGTGGATAAAGATTTTTTTTATTAAGATATTTTTTAAATAATAACAACACTAATTGAGAATTTTTATATTTTCTCATTTCATATATATTTTGAAGTGTGTAGTTCTAATCACGTGGAGTGAAATTAATTGTGGATTTTAAAGATGCAGGGGTAAAATACTTGACGGATCAATATATTGACTGTAAAATTTGATATTTTCATAGGATTCCAATGTTTTGGTTTTTCAAAAATATACATTTACATTGGCACTTGATTTTGTGGTTAAATCTTGCTCATGGAATCTGCTAGTTTTATAATCCAAGTAAACTTTTATTACTTTATTTTTTCATGGACATATAAATGCATGGATTTAGAGTACTCATGAATTTGTCAAATTAAATCTCCAATAAGAATTAATTATGGTACAGTAGTTGGCAGTTGAGATAGAAGCTTACATTCTGAATGTACTATGTTTTGCACTCTTGAAAAAGTTTTTACTCTTTACATGTACATTCAGAATATGAAATGATTAACCTGTGGTTATTGTACTGCTTTACAGGTATTGATATTATATTTGAAACATAATTTATCTCTCTAAATTAACTCTTGATTAAATTGCATACATTAATGAAGGTTTATTGTTAATCTATGACTTAGTGAGATAAACAGAGTGTCAGTGTGAGAATGGGTTAGAGAAGATAGAGAAACAGAGATGCTTCCAACAGTAAATATATTTGTGATATATTTTGTATTAGAATACATGTGGCCCTATATCCATTAAGTCACTCCACTTCTCTGCCATTCCTGTAGCCCGGATGTCTCCTGCATGTCCAGGTAACACCACTGAGGGAAATGCATGAATGTCTTGTTTATTTCTGTATCTTCCCTCAGTTTTATACTTCATACTTCAGTGAATGAATATCCTCTTAAGATTTTCTGCAAAGAACATTTCAACTGCATGATCAGATTTTGTTGCATTGTATGTAAATGACCCCACCTGTAAATATATATCATAGATGACTTCTTCCCTTGGCTATACCTCTTTTCCTTGCTTTTGCCCCCTTGATTTATGCCCAGTTAATATGATATTCATTGAATTGACAAATTTGTGTTTCTGGATTATGACAGTGACTCATTAGTTACTGTAGATATTTGTATCATATTATCTTTAATATGCTTAAAGATTCTGAAACCATTACAAGAGGACCTTTCTTAAACCTAGGGGCTTTAATAGCTCATTTGGTTAGAATGTTTAGGCTATGTAACCCTAGAAGAAGATCTGAGGTGCATGGTTCAATCTCCAGGCCTACCCGTGTCAGTCTGTGTTTGCAGTTACTGTTTCTCAGAAAGCTGTGAACCAGACCTAAATGTGCTCATGTGGTTGTGTCCGTGGTCAAGTCACTAAAATCCAACTGCTCTGGATGGTTTGGGACGATCTTTCTCCATTCTCTTCAATGAGGTAGCCATCAGCTACTACATTGATATCTTAACTCACAAGTGACTCTGGCTATTCGTGGACAAAAAATTAAACCTAGCAAACAAACACCCGTAATTTTATCATCAATATTTTAAGGTTTGTCTGTTATTTAAATTCTGAAGTTTGATTTTTCAAAATTTGACTTTTCAAAATATGATACACAATGAACAAATCTTACAGAACTTGACAAGTTATGTTACTCTGTTTGGAATATTCATCGTAATTAAAGGACATGCATGCATGGCTTTTAGAATTCATAGTTTATGCTGAATTTGAATGTGCTGTAACAGCTTTAAGTTGACTATTATTGGAGTTTCCTCTACTGTTTAAATACAGTGTTGTTTAATCTTAATGAGTTGAATTATTTGAAAGAATGGACTTATGTTGTTATTTATGTCTTGTAATATAAAAAAAGTAATACAACCCTAACAATTTGTTGTTTGGAATTTTTCTAGCATGGATTAAATGATAAATACAGGATTGTTAGAAAACTTACTGGACACAGAGTGTTACCTGTTGAGATGGATCATTTAAGATATTTTGGATTTTTTGTGCATGAATGAGATGGATGTTTTTATTTTGAAACCCACATTGTGTACAAATATCATGTCATGTGTTGATGCTTGTTGCATTCGTTATGAATTAGTAGCTATTTAGTGGAATTACTCCTTGGTAAGGAATTATTTTTGACTGAATCTTATGTTTTTGCCTGATCTGTTATCTTAATTGCTATTTTTTTTTAATTATTATTTTTTAATACTTCTGGAATACCTTAGAAATTTGAAAAGCTGACAGCTTCAACCTTTCTTTTTTCCACCCTGTATTTTTTATGAAATTTATTAATTGAATTATAAGTATATTATCATAAAAATTGAAAATGTACTGGATTCATTAAGCAAAGTCTTTCACCTTTTGTTTGCCAATATTTTATTCCTGGGGGATATTAGAAATACCTATGTTTATCTCATCTGGTTCCATCATGTCCTTACATCCTGTCTCGTCCTTTCCAAAATTCCTGTTATACCAGTAGTAACTTTATTTCTTCAGGGATTTTGATGAAAAATATTCAAACTTAAACTACAATAAATTCATGTTTCAAGAACAGGTCAAGCTCACAGTGACAATTATAGGAATTTGTGAAACAATGATTCCTATATTATAGAAATTTTCTAGTCTGCCTTTAGGAAATGTATTCACTACTTAATGGTACATATTTTCATTTTTAAAGTCTAATATTAACATCTTGAGTTAGTTTAAATTAAGAATACCACTGTAACTGAAGGTATTTGTACATTATGTAGTTTCTGCAGTACACCGTATAAAATATTGCAGTCAATTAAGTTTTGTATACAACTTTGATAATTTAGAGTTAAGACATTTTCAGTTTTTTTTGTGAGTCAGTGTTTCTATTATAAATATGTTGATAATATTGTGCTAGGATGTTATTGATTTCTACTGGAAAATCTGGCAGCACCAGGATGTTCTTACCTGTTGTGTTCTTACGGCACTGAGATTTGATACCACTCTCTGGCGGCACCTAAATATTATATGTGATGTCACACGCTAACAGCATTTGTTTGTGTACACAGGGGTCTGCTCCAGTCAGTTGATGAAGAATTACAGCGGAGGTAGGCACTGGGGATTGCTTCTAATGTAACCACCACCAAAAAAAAAAAGCAGTAAACCTTGCTCATCTCTCACTCATATCTCACCATCTCTTACTCAATGGTTGACCAAATTTATAAAATTTTAATTCCTAATCAGATGTTTTCTTCAGCATAGAAATATGATCAAATTTTCATGATTTATTTAAGAATGTAGTTTACAACAAATGATTTTTTTTTAGTTGAAATTTACATACATTATGTCCTGTAATTTGAAGTATCACTTGATATGATTATTCCTATGCGTTAAGTCAGCTTCAGTGTAAAAGGAACATTTGAGGATATCTGAAAATGTTGAATGGTGAGATCGAGGTGATTTGAGGCTTCTTTCTGAAATGCAAAGGATTTTTGGGGAGGGGGTGTTAAGGTAGAAAGGTTTTTTTTGAGAGTGGTATTGGAAATTGAATGTTGAATGACTTAGATCAAATGTTAGTTGTTTACCAGGTACTTCAGATTATAAGTACATTAAAATAGAAAAAAAAACCTAATAAATGGTGAATCATAAAACCAGATACACTATTTATGTATTTCTCATCCCAGGCATATTGTGCTGAATTGAAAGTCCTTTGCAAATATTCAGAATAATAAGGTTTATCTGTAAGCAAGTATATTGGGGTTGATTCTAAGCTGTATACCATAATGATGCTTTATTCAGTTTTTCCAGTTGATTAACTTGTGTTTGTAATCTGATATTTTAACATTTGATGTAGCTGATTTTACAAGTAAACTAGCCTGTTATCTACTAATATCTCCATCTCTTCAAAGTGATCTCTATTGATGTCAAGATTTGAAGTACTGACAATATATCGTGCGATAGTTTTTATAGTATCACTATGTCCTTGTTTTACTTAAAATTATTCCTCAATACTTACTATGCTGAGTTTGATAATTATTATGATCGCCTTTTGTTCATTGTCTATCACTGATCCTCATTAAATTCACATTAGAAAAAAAAAGAATTGATACTTTTGGGTATTTCCATCTATAAGAATAAAATACACATGTGGTAATTTATAGATGGAAAGAAACAAGTTTGTTATTCCTTGTAACCATTTCTTGGAGGATTGTGACCCACCATTCCTGTGACAGGGCATAGATTTTAGCGCAGTCAAAATGGCTCAAGTTTGAACAATATTACTTTCATACTCAGCACCAAGACCAAACCTTACTGTCTTTGTTTTATCATTACATTCAAAATGTTCTCATCTGTAACTTCAAAAGGCTGTTCTTTTTCTAACAATATCTTGGCTTCGTATCTACATGTGCCATATTTGGATAACATTTAGTTGTTTTTCTTGTATATATGATTAATCCCTGTCATGCTACAAAACAAATTCCAACTAGATATCACAAATCAGGTGAACAGTAAGGCCCATTGGCATCTTGTTGTGTTCTCATTTTTGCATGACGGTTTGTTTTCAGATATTTATGATGATTCTGTGTGTTTAAAAAGATAATTGTATAATTAGTACAGAAACAGTAATAATTCTAGCTATTTATTTGTCAAAGTCGGTATCCTCTGGTCATGTACTGTGAGAGTCTGATCATTAAATTTACCTTTGGGGCAGAAATGTTTATTGATTCCAATCCATGACATGTAATTGGGTTACAATTATATTTGTGTATTACGTTCTCAGGATCATTTTACACTATAGTTCAGGATTCTGTGTGTGATACCAAACTGGAAACTTTGTGGACTAAAATTACATGAATGCAATAACACACAAGTTTGTAAATTGCATTAAGTTTTTTTCTGTTCAGTTGTGTTTCATTTATGATATTTTTAAAATTTGGTAATGTGTTTTTTGGAAACAAGGTTCATGTACATCACGTTGTATAATGCTTTATATATTGACAAAATACTCAAAAATATGAAAACAAGTACATTTGTATATGTACAGGGTATGTAAGTTACTTGATTTGGGTTGAATGATCATTCCTGTGTGTGTGTGTACATGTGATTATGATGCCATACTTGATGTGTTTGTGTGTAAGGGTTGTCCGATGATGTTGACGAGCCTAACTTTACATAGGCACAGAGGACAAATGTTGGTGATTTTATGACCAGACTAACCCAGTGGTGCTTGCAGCCCAACCGTGTATTGTGTGCCTGATGTAACTTTCGGCTGCAATCGTTGATGCCACCCGTCTGCTGTGTTGTTCTCATCTCCTGTAGTTGTCTATTTCATTTTCGTTACCTTGTGGCAAATGTAGGAGAACACAAAATCTGATTTCTTTTGCACATGACTTAACACATCAATTAAGACAAAATCAAAACAAATATATGAATTAATTGTATGTTAAGGATTTCTACATGGGTACTCCTGTATCAGCCACCAATGTAACAGATCCCGTCTTCTCCTTGTTTGTATTTGTTTTGTGTACTTTATGTCTTGATGCTAACATTATACACATATAATTTCACTATTTTTAACAATTGTCTTGCTATACGATATAATTTTTGTTCAGTTTGAGTTTTGTAGGACTTAAACTGCAGATTACCAAGTACATAAATATTTATTTCTGCAGGAAAGGAAATAATGTTGACATGATATAGATAACATGTTTCTTTGGTGTAGTTTTTTCTTTTCTGTGTTACCTCCAGTAGTGTGGTACTCCAGCTAGCTAAATACCGCCAAACTATATATGGTATAAAGGGAATCAAACCATGGGTTTTAGTTGTAACTATAACTTGATCAAGTTTTCTGTTCAGAGAACATCAAACTCATATTACTCGTAAGCTGGATCTGTTTGGTAAAGAAAAAGTATCTATATTCCTACCAAGTTTATTGGTCTTTTAAGATGTATATATGTCTGTCACAAAGATGAATTAAAAAAAGTTACGTATTTAAAATAATTGCCAGGTAAAATAATTACTAATTCCAGCATATATTCCTGTACATCATTGCACTGTAATTGAATTTTCAAAAAAAAAATCACTATAATGAATTTCACACATGCTTTCTAAGTTCAATGTTTTTTTTGCTGATTTTTAAAGTGAGCTTATTGTATTTATGAGTTGCGGTGTTTTTGTTTTAGATTTAATATCTACGAACACATAGAAGATATTGATAGTGACCGGTTTGGGTGTGTAGTAAATTGTTTAAATCATATATCTGCGCAGAAATTTATAACATAGCTTGGCTAGCCAGTCCTTGCTTTGCAGTAAACCAAGAAGTACATAATCTAGCAGACACATAGTGGAATATTTTCACCAGCTTTCACCTCATTGGATATTTGAGATGGGGTAAAGAAGGGAGACAGGGTGTTGGGGCAAATAGTAATGGTAGGGGGTTAACCAATGACATTGATACAAATTGAAGGCTCTAACTTGCTTGTGAATTAGATGTCAGTAATAATGTAGTACTAACCAAATGATAAATGTGGCTAAGACAGGTTTGTGTGATACTAACAGCGTAATATATGCCTAATATGGACGGGTGTGTTGTACTAAAATGACTCGGTGTGGCTAAAACTGATTGTTTTGTATTGTAATGTACGGTATATAAAGTTACTGACATTTATATCTTTCTAACACATGTACATACAATTTAAATTAATAACCTCTATATATGTACACAGGATTTGGTGTGTTGTATATATCACACATAATCATATATCTTTATGTCACAGTACCATAACAGTCAGTTTACTTCTGCTTTTAACAATATCCAAATACTTTGTAAAGGGATGAACATTGAACATGAATGGGGTAAATGAACAGGATACACTGATCTGGAAGTCGGTGTAGGGAGCTAATACAGAATAGGTACTAGGTACTGTGTTCTGGGAGTCAGTGTCAGGAGTTGATACAGTATATGTACTGGGTACTGTGTTCTGGGAGTCAGTGTCACTGTGAGTTGTGTATTGACAGTATATGTACTGGGTACTGTGGTGAAGGAGTCTGTGTAAGGAGTTGATACAGTATATGTACTGGGTACTGTGGTGAAGGAGTCAGTGTCAGGAGTTGATACAGTATATGTACTGGGTACTGTGGTGAAGGAGTCAGTGTCAGGAGTTGATACAGTATATGCACTGGGTACTGTGTTCTGGGAGTCAGTGATACAGTATATGTACTAGGGTACTGTGGTGAAGGAGTCTGTGTCAGGAGTTATGATACAGTATATGATACTATATGGGTACTGTGGAGTTGATACAGTATATGAGTCTGTGGTGAGTGTGTCAGGAGTTGATACAGTATATGTACTGGGTACTGTGGTGAAGGAGTCAGTGTCAGGAGTTGATACAGTATATGCACTGGGTACTGTGTTCTGGGAGTCAGTGTCAGGAGTTGATACAGTATATGTACTAGGTACTGTGGTGAAGGAGTCTGTCTCAGGAGTTGATACAGTATATGTACTGGGTACTGTGTTCTGGGAGTCAGTGTCAGGAGTTGATACAGTATATGTACTGGGTACTGTGTTCTGGGAGTCAGTGTCAGGAGTTGATACAGTATATGTACTGGGTACTGTGTTCTGGGAGTCAGTGTCAGGAGTTGATACAGTATATGTACTGGGTACTGTGGTGAAGGAGTCAGTGTCAGGAGTTGATACAGTATATGTACTGGGTACTATGTTTTGGCAGTCAGTGTCAGGAGTTGATACAGTATATGTACTGGGTACTGTGTTCTGGGAGTCAGTGTCAGGAGTTGATACAGTATATGTACTGGGTACTGTGTTCTGGGAGTCAGTGTCAGGAGTTGATACAGTATATGTACTGGGTACTGTGGTGAAGGAGTCAGTGCTAGGAGTTGATACAGTATATGTACTGGGTACTGTGGGGAAGGAGTCAGTGTCAGGAGTTGATACAGTATATGTACTGGGTACTGTGTTCTGGGAGTCAGTGTCAGGAGTTGATACAGTATATGTACTGGGTACTGTGTTCTGGGAGTCAGTGCTAGGAGTTGATACAGTATATATACTAGGTACTGTGTTCTGGGAGTCAGTGTCAGGAGTTGATACAGTATATGTACTGGGTACTGTGGTGAAGGAGTCAGTGCTAGGAGTTGATACAGTATATATACTAGGTACTGTGTTCTGGGAGTCAGTGTCAGGAGTTGATACAGTATATGTACTGGGTACTGTGTTCTGGAAGTCAGTGTCAGGAGTTGATACATAGGAACTGGGTACTGTGACATGTGAGAATTAACAGGACTTTGTGTGTTTAGGAAGCTTTCTAATGAGTGTGTGTATGCTCCGATCACTGGTGGTGTAACATACTATATGTTGCAGAGGACATCGTGACAGCTTAATTGAGGATGATCTCAACGACCAGTTTGTCTCGCCCTCACAACAGTAAGAAGACAACAACCAATTACAATGTACCCATCCACATCACAACAAGAATAACAGCCAAAATGTTTTCCTCAGAATGGTCTTGTATAAAGCGTTTATCAGCTAAATAACATCAATTAAACAACACAAAATCCCTTGATTGCAGAGTTTTACCAAATCCCACCTCAGTCCACCCTATATCCATCTAATCAGGCTTAATTGTTTTCCAGAACTGATGCATTTCTTGATGTGATTGGACACATTTGATTCCCAATGATAATATGTGTTAATTCCAAATCAAAAATTGTTACAAATGTTATATTCAAAATAGTTCATAAAAATCCTTATCTTAACTAGCTATTAATTATCATGCCATAAAATATGATGGTATTTTGTAAGATTAAGTGTCTCATTGCATGTTCTTTATGGGAAATCACACTCATTCACAGATTTTAAACATCATGCGACTTTGTCTTACCAAATATGTTTTGAGATTTAGATCTAGGATCAGAAGAAGAGAGTTCTTTTAAAAATGTTTACAGAGTATAAACAGATGATTTGGCTGTATGTCCTTGTTGTGTGTGTTGATGGCTGTGTTACTGTTTTATTACAGTTGTTTGGTTGTTGTGTTGGGAATGCTATTACAATAGTCCTGTGTCCACCAACATCACCTCTACACTAATCTGCATGGCAGACCTCACACATGTTATGTTATATACTATTATTAGCCCCATATTTCTCGACTGATACCAATGTGTCAACTGGACACTGGTCAGCTGTGTTATATTGAGGTAGATTGTGTTGTACAGGAATTTCAGTATGAAGTGTGCTAAACATCAGTCTGTATTAACCTATTAACTTATATATGCTAAAACTTCTTCCAAAAAGTCAAGAGTTAAAATCAGTCTTGGTAAAATGAACCCTACACAAGATACAGAAAAAAATATCATTGGTCAGAACTTTGTTGGTCAGAACTTTGTTGGTCAGAACTTTGTTCAAGTCATATTTTAACCAGATTGATATGCAAACAATCATAACAGAATATAACTACAACAGAAATGATAAATGAAATATTGTATTTAGAAAGGATATAATGGTTGATATAATTTGTTAAATTTGAAATAATTGCATGAAGGTCCATCAATGCAGTCATAATTAATTAAATAACATACTTTATTGTAACTGCCTTGTTAGAGTTACCATGTCCCTGTTTGATAAAGGGAAGTAATCCAGAAATTATTAGCCTCCTATGGTTTGCAGTGATGTTTTCCAACTATTTCACCTAGCCGTTCTTTATCACCTCAAGTATTATTTTGTTACTTAAATTCCTTTCCAGTTTTATAAAGGGCCCAAAGGGCCTGACATAGTTTGTGAAAAGAAATTATCTTGACCTTTGTTTAAGGTCATAAGAGTTGAATTTTTTAAAACCTTAAAACAACTTCTGATGACTAACAAAAAGGCCCAGAAGCATGGTATCAAACTGAAACATTCCCTTAGGATGAATCCTGACCAAAATTATGAGAGAGAAAAAAAGGACATTGACCCATATTCAAAGTGACAAGATCAAATATCTCAGAACTATAAATTGACTTCTTTAGGTCAACCTTCTAGCAAAAGGTCTGTCAAAAATAAATGAACTTGACCCTTATTCAAGGTCATAGGTGAGATTCGGTAATACCTTAAAACAACTTCTTCTGACAAACCAAAAGCCACAAATGCATGTTATGTGATTGATAGGTTTCTAGGATAAAGTGCGGCAAAGTTTGTGGAAAGAAATTACCTTGACCCTTAATCGAGGTCACAGGGTAGATTATGCTAGAACCTTCAAACAACTTCTGACTAACCAAAAGACGCAGAAGCATAGTATTTAGCTTATAGGTTCCTAGGATAAAGTCTGACAAAGTTTGAGAAAAAGGAAATGACATTTACCTATCATCCAGGTCACTGTTTAGAGCTGAGTATTAGAAGCTTTTTATGTGGAAACTGGTTAAAATTGATTGGATGTGCCCACTTTGAATGCTAATGGTGTACATGTTAATGCATTTGTGATAAATACTGATGCTATTTTTGACAAACATTGAATACCAGGTGAGTGATGCAGGCCCTTTGGACCTCTTGTAATTCTTTCGATGTCAACAAAAAAATTTTTTTTTTGTCTATCTGTAAGAAACATTTCCAGACATGCATCTAAGTAGAGACATAAAATTCCATTCAGGTTTCCATCTTACCACTAGACCACTTTTTCTTGAAATGTGCTAGAATGATATACACGAAAAAAGTGTAGGACATGCAGTTTGTATTGTATGTTGTTGAATTCTAGTTTGTTTTGTTTACTGTTGAAATTACTTTGCGATATACTCTTGATATTAAAGACTTACAACAACAGACATCCAGTATTTATCAAGAGCATTCTAAGTGAAGAAACACTTCAGAATCAAATACAGAGTATGGCTGATACTGTAAATATACTTATTTTGATATAGTCAAGTTTTAGCACCATTGCAATTTTGAACAAATATAGGCACAAAGATGAATTTGGCTACCACAATGATCACTGTTTTCATGACATATAGTAACTGCAATTAGTACAAAGATATTTTAGCACTGTATCTTTAGCACACAAAAAATCCTCTTTAAAATAAAATTACTACTAAAATATATAAGCCTGCAGTAATTAATCTATTGCAGTTCAATAGAAAATCTGACGTGTTATTTCCTTGTCCTGTAATAAGCCCTCCCCGTACTTTAAGTTGAAGTTCATACCTTGGCCTCTTTTCTTCTTTAAGGATAAAGATGGTAACTACCCAGGAAAAGTAGGAGTGTGTAATTGTACAGTATAATTGACACAAACTGAGAAGAGTTCAATATATTCAGAGTTCAAACATATCAATGTAAAATCCTTACTGGTTTTTTTTTTCATAACTCCAACATTCACGAAGAAATCAGATCACATTTAAATGATTTAAAATACTGTTAATAAATTTGTCAATATACGTATTAAATATATAAGCCATGCATTACATTTATTTTCTGAGCATGATCAATATTAGGTGTATGCCAACCCATTAGCTAGAGTTATATATCAGTACAGTTGTTATATTGGCTATATGTACCCTGTTTTCTTATACAATATGTTTATTTCTATCATATGTGAATGTTATTTCTGGCTCCTGTAGTACTAAAAATGTACATATTCCTTTATCTGTAATGCAAGGTAGCACATCAACACTCCCAGCGATTCTAAAGCTGCATAAATTTGATGTACCGCAAATCCTCCAAAAATAATTTTATTTTGCACTTTTCTCTACAAAAAAAGAAAGTACCTAGGGTATATTTTGTGATGAGCATGACAGTCTGTATGGATTTTGACATGTTACATTTCCACTTTTAACTTATAGAATATTCTATCACAGTACACATGAACGCAATGGTCCAAGCCAGTGTAGCTAAACTTACAGTACACTGGAATTTTAATGGTCCAAGCTAGAGAAGCTAAACTTACTGTACACAGGAATTTAATGGTCCAAGCTAGTGTTGCTAAACTTACAGTACACAGGAATTTTAATGATCCAAGCTAGAGTAGCTAAACTTACTGTACACAGGAATTTAATGGTCCAAGCTAGTGTTGCTAAACTTACAGTACACAGGAATTTAATGATCCAAGCTAGAGTAGCTAAACTTACAGTACACAGGAATTTAATGATCCAAGCTAGAGTAGCTAAACTTACAGTACACAGGAAATTTACAGCTAAACTTACAGTACATAGGAATTTTACAGCTAAACTTACAGTACATAGGAATTTTACAGCTAAACTTACAGTACACAGGAATTTTAATGGTCCAAGCTAGTGTAGCTAAACTTACAGTACACAGGAATTTAATGATCCAAGCTAGAGTAGCTAAACTTGCAATTTTGCCTATCACTTGTACTGCATTACATGAAGAAACACTGCCTATCACACTGGCTTTTCATATCTCTAGAGTTTGATGCTGATCCATCTCTTAATGGTATGGCAAGCGCTTTACTGTTGTAGGGTGGATATGCTTGCCAGCCTGTTGTTTTATATGTAGACTAGACAGTCCTTCCTTGATCTTGTGAACTTTTCATTACGATACAGGTAGCAAGTAATATCTAGTGAAAAAGAAAAGTAACAGTGAATAACTTTAGTCTTGATTTCATATTAAAGAATATATTTTGATGAGTTAGAAGATGCATAGATGGAATTAACTATTTCATTTTAAAGAAATTGATAATTTGGTCTTTCTTTTTTTTCATATATATTGCATTAAGAACCTTTTTGGATGCTTGTACCATGAAAACTAAAGATATTTTGAAATATATGAAAATATGCATCACTAACCTTGATTTTTTTTTATGTTTGAACATATGTAAGCATGCATTGCTTTTTTTGGACATTTTTGACTTTGGCAAATTTATCTCAATATTTTGTGTATTTTCAGATCCACCTTACAAGTGAACCCTCCTCCTCTCCCTCCTAGAGTAAGTTAAAGAAGTTTCATCCTGATCATTATACAACAAATTCTGGTTATATAGTTATCACTTATTTCATCATCCTGATCAGACTTAATCAATTTTGTGGTAAAGTTTTACTACATAATACATATATAACACAAATTTTGTGGTTAAGTTTTACTACATAATACGTATATAACACTCAGTGTCTACTTCGTAGAAACCAGATAGTGCAGATATTAAATAAGGCGTACAAAAGTATCATTTTCTTTCCCTTGCATATTTCTACACTATACTTCTTTATAAGGATACTTGTATTAGATTCCATAGTTGATAAAGTTTTGACACAGACAGTTAGCATTTCCATAGTAGACTCTAGACAGACATCCTTTCTTGAGATTTTCAACAGTTTGGGTATTTTACCTTTTCTCTGTATAGAAGTTTTCCCAGGACTCCAACTGTAATGAAGGCAGAAGTAATGAACCAGGGGCTGAGATGTTGGAAATGGAGCCGCCGGATATGGACAACCTCATTGACCGCATGCTGACTTTAACCCCTGACTCTCGACCTCCTAGAGAAGAGGACGCAGAGGTACCGCCCGCAATTCCTCCTAAACTACGTACGCAGAATGGAATGATCAACAACATGGGCAATGGAAATACACCCACCACCTCAGATGACCGACCACCTCCTGTTGTACCACGCAGAGAGAAAAAGGATCAGGTAGCTAGTTTACAAGTTGTATAAAAAAAGAGTATCATAACAGCTGGGAAATTCAGAGAGTGTAGAGTATTATAATAGCTGGGAAAATTGGAGAGTGTGGGAAGTGAAAAAATAGCTTTTTGGGCAAGGAATCAGTTTCGGCTGAGAAATAGGGAAACATTTCTGGTAGAGAAACAGGGAAATAGTTAGGTTTATGTTGTTTATTTGGAGTGTGGTATTTGGACTAACTATTGAAATATACTTTCTTTTTTTCACAGCAAGATAAGTCCTCACGCCCTGTCAGCAACGGACTACCACCAACACCCAAAGTCCACGTAAGTAATGACTATAAATGTAGCCAACACCAACTCCTAAGTATAAGACTGTCAAAAACAGCTCATAGATAATGGGCTATATCAGCAAGACACGATTCCAGAAAATGAAATAATAGATGCAGACTTTCAGGAACTTGGTTTTTCACAAATGTTTGGTTCTAACTAAAACTTAAATTCAGCAAAACCTTCACTGATTGTAAACTGAAATCTTGTTCTACTTTCCAAGGTCTGGTGTTCATTTATTAATTTCTCCCTGACTTTGTGTTACAGATGGGTGCCTGTTTTTCGAAGGTATTTAATGGATGTCCACTACACATCAATTGTACAGCTAGCTGGGTACATCCGGATACTAGAGGTGTGTATATATGACGAGTGTTCTGTCACACTAGTTTCATAACACATATTGACATTTCTATTGTTAAAATCAAGTCCCAAGATCATTGGAGATACCATTATCTTTAGCTTACTAGGTCTTCAATCTTGGATTTGTTGGGTTGTAAGAACTTCTATTATATTGACATTAGCAACCAGAAGAAAAAATTCTATATATAATTATCAGTACTGGTACATGAAAACTACTTATTACACAACTTGTAGGATTTTGTCAGTACTGTTTTTCGACATTTAGATACAGGTTCGTTGATCTGTAGTAACAATAACCTGTGTTGATCTTGGTCTGCATGAGAAGCCTGGTGTGATCTTGGTCTGTATGAGTAGCCTGGTGTGATCTTGGTCTGTATGAGAAGCCTGGTGTGATCTTGGTCTGTATGAGTAGCCTGGTGTGATCTTGGTCTGTATGAGTAGTCTGGTGTGATCTGTATGAGTAGCCTGGTGTGATCTTGGTCTGTATGAGAAGCCTGGTGTGATCTTTGTCTGTATGAGTAGCCTGGTGTGATCTTGGTCTGTATGAGTAGCCTGGTGTGATCTTGGTCTGTATGAGAAGCCTGGTGTGATCTTGGTCTGTATGAGTAGCCTGGTGTGATCTTGGTCTGTATGAGAAGCCTGGCGTGATCTTGGTCTGTATGAGAAGCCTGGTGTGATCTTGGTCTGTATGAGAAGCCTGGTGTGATCTTGGTCTGTATGAGAAGCCGGGTGTGATCTTGGTCTGTATGAGTAGGCTGGTGTGATCTTGGTCTGTATGAGAAGCCTGGCGTGATCTTGGTCTGTATGAGTAGCCTGGCGTGATCTTGGTCTGTATGAGTAGCCTGGCGTGATCTTGGTCTGTATGAGTAGCCTGGTGTGATCTTGGTCTGTATGAGTAGCCTGGTGTGGTCTGTATGAGTAGCCTGGTGTGATCTTGGTCTGTATGAGTAGCCTGGTGTGATCTTGGTCTGTATGAGTAGCCTGGTGTGATCTTGGTCTGTATGAGTAGCCTGGTGTGATCTTGGTCTGTATGAGTAGCCTGGTGTGATCTTGGTCTGTATGAGTAGCCTGGTGTGATCTTGGTCTGTATGAGTAGCCTGGTGTGATCTTGGTCTGTATGAGTAGCCTGGTGTGATCTTGGTCTGTATGAGTAGCCTGGTGTGATCTTGGTCTGTATGAGTAGCCTGGTGTGATCTTGGTCTGTATGAGTAGCCTGGTGTGATCTTGGTCTGTATGAGTAGCCTGGTGTGATCTTGGTCTGTATGAGTAGGTCTGTATGAGCCTGGTGTGATCTTGGTCTGTATGAGTAGCCTGGTGTGACGAGTAGCCTGGTGTGGTCTGTATGAGAAGCCTGGTGTGATCTTGGTCTGTATGAGTAGCCTGGTGTGATCTTGGTCTGTATGAGAAGCCTGGTGTGATCTTGGTCTGTATGAGAAGCCTGGTGTGATCTTGGTCTGTATGAGTAGCCTGGTGTGATCTTGGTCTGTATGAGAAGCCTGGTGTGATCTTGGTCTGTATGAGAAGCCTGGTGTGATCTTGGTCTGTATGAGTAGCCTGGTGTGGTCTGTATGAGTAGCCTGGTGTGATCTTGGTCTGTATGAGTAGCCTGGTGTGATCTTGGTCTGTATGAGTAGCCTGGTGTGATCTTGGTCTGTATGAGTAGCCTGGCGTGATCTTGGTCTGTATGAGTAGCCTGGCGTGATCTTGGTCTGTATGAGTAGCCTGGCGTGATCTTGGTCTGTATGAGAAGCCTGGTGTGATCTTGGTCTGTATGAGAAGCCTGGTGTAATCTTGGTTTGTATGAGTAGCCTGGCGTGATCTTGGTCTGTATGAGTAGCCTGGTGTGATCTTGGTCTGTATGAGTAGCCTGGCGTGATCTTGGTCTGTATGAGTAGCCTGGTGTGATCTTGGTCTGTATGAGTAGCCTGGTGTGATCTTGGTCTGTATGAGTAGCCTGGTGTGATCTTGGTCTGTATGAGTAGCCTGGTGTGATCTTGGTCTGTATGAGTAGCCTGGTGTGATCTTGGTCTGTATGAGTAGCCTGGTGTGGTCTTGGTCTGTATGAGTAGCCTGGTGTGGTCTTGGTCTGTATGAGTAGCCTGGTGTGATCTTGGTCTGTATGAGAAGCCTGGTGTGATCTTGGTCTGTATTAGTAGCCTGGTGTCATATTTGAACCACATCCTGTCCTAATTGTGATGTTTCTTTATGACTTCATAAAGCATATTCTCTAGGATTTTGTTGTACTTTTATGGCCTTCCATGAAAAGCCTGGGAGTTCATATATTCACTCTGTTCATCAATCTCAACATTATCCATCTCTCAACATCATCCATCTTTCTATCACACTTTGTTCCTCCTCTGCCATTATCTGCTTTTTATGCTGTTGTGTCAAGGTTCTGGTTATACAATGATATTGTGGAGTTAAATTGTGAAAGTGGTCAACATTTTTTTTTAATTTCATATTTCCTAAAATGATAATTCTCTCTAGAATGCTTTAGAATGTTTATTTCCATAAGGTTGCTGTAGAATTGTACAATTGTTTGCTCTCTGCTTCAGACCAATACATACTTATCGGTGCCAATGAGGGTTTGTATACCCTGAATCTGAACGAGCTCCATGAGGCCTCGCTAGAACTGGTGAGTAGAGATAAACATGATATAATTAAAGATTTGGGTTATTTTGATACTTTGACTGCCATATTTATGTAAAGGTGTTAACTTTTACTACTCAAGAAAAAGACATGTTTTCCTTTTAGTTATATTTTATAAACTGAAATAGTTTCAATAAAGGAATGCCCCTTTAAGGAAGGGAAAATAGAGATAATTAATTCTGAAAATCTATAATAATGATTATAATAATTGTAGAGTAATCCTAAGGTATTGATGATTTTACTCAAACTTGGTAAAAATATATGGCATTCCTGTTGTCTTGTTTGGCCTGTGTACCTATATCAGTTGTTTCTGTTACAGCTACATGCGAGGAGGTGTACATGGGTTTATGTGATAAAGGATGTACTTATGTCTCTCTCAGGTAAACTACACTCTAGTTACTGTAAAGTTTCTGTTTGATACTGTAGCTTTAAACTACTTGTCTATTTGCTTCAGGGATACAAGTTACGGTGAAACATGACTTTCTGTACTGAAACCTGACCTCATTAACTTTATTCTATACCAACACCTGTCAATAAAGCACATTCTGTAATATAGAATGTGATTTTATAGCCCTAAAATAGAGTTGTTTCTCAGGTCATCACCCGATTACATACATTTTTTTTTCAATGCAATGATTCAGACTTGATTGATGTAGCAAAAATACTGGATGTTATTGGCTAGAGAGGTATTAACTCCCTTAAAAATGATTGATCCATTAAAATTAAAATATCAGTTGTTAGGAAGACTGAAAAGTAAATTTCAATTGTTTTGAAAATTTCTATTTAAGTTCTTAGTTTTTAATGCATTGATGAAAGTGACTTTTATTTGCAGGTAAAACTCCTCACCTTTACAGACATGATTTGATGATGTTATACAGTCGGCAGACGACAAGGTTCTCACTCCCAATGAACAAGATACCTGAGAAGTTAGTCCCTAGGTAATTAAGCTCATACTTTCATTAGTTGAACTAAATTCTACAATACCTTATGGTAAGCACATATCTGGATTCAATTCTGCAATTTCTTGTATCAAATTTTAACCCTTTTGCAAATTAAAGCCAAGAACCCACTTGTGTTGATCCCATTTAGTTATTAACTTGTTTACTGGTAGATATTTATAAGGATATATTCTAACCATATTAAAAAGATAATTTCTAATGGTTTACAGAAAGTTTAACCCAACAACAAAGGTCCCTGACACAAGGGGCTGTACAAGGTGCTGTGTGGGAAGGAATCCCTATAATGGTTACAAGTATCTGTGTGGGGCCCTCCACAATGGAATCATATTGATGCAGTGGTACGAGCCGCTCAACAAGTTCATGCTCCTTAAGGTAAGTCAACCAGTGTAGGGCTGTGCAGTAAATCTTTTCATATTAAATTCTGTACCATGATTGATGTCTTCAGAAATTAGTTTGATGTGGTAATTGAATTTCTTTAATATGACGTACATGTTGATCTTGTACACTTTTTTCAAACATTTCGTTTTCCAATTTCAATATTTCGGAGAACAAATGCTATTTTTAAAGTAATATTAAACTTTTTTTTAACTCTCTGCCATTCTATTTTCTGTGAGATATTTTCACGATAATTTCTAATAGAACCCCTTCTTCTTATCAAGTAAATTTATTCTTTGTCTCGTCAAATCAATCATTATCAATTAAAATTTTGTTTACAGACATTTGAATGTGACGAGATGTCAATACAGCCAACCGTGTTTGAGATGTTCATCTCCCCAGAGCTGGAGTACCCCATGGTGTGTCTGGGAATAAGAGTCGGGTAAGTGTTTAGCCTCTTACTGTCCCCAGGATAATACTTGCACATTAAAGGTGTATTCATTGTGATATTTTGTCATGATCACAAAATTGGGATTACTGTCACTAGCAAATGAGTTGCAAAATTCAGTAGAAACAATTTTTGAGTTCCAGCTGTAGTCTTCTGTGTTGGAGAGTAACATAAGCTACCAAAGCGAGTTAAATTCAGTATCTGTATAGCATTTTGTTCTAGATTTTTCAAGGTAAAGTATCACTAGTATTGATTTATTTTTGATTAAGTCTAGTCTAGGTTGTATATTACTGAAAACATTGTTGCCCAGAGCAGAGTTATCCTACATTTTGTAACATTTTGTGTTATGAAAAAAAAAAAAAAAAATGGAATGCAAAGATATTTATAGGACACAGTGTTTAGGTTGTGTAAATCTACAAAAAAATAATCATGCTGGACATTTTTTCAGAAACAGAAATATCGAGAGTGACGAAATTCCACAGTAAGAAACTAACACTTTGACAACACATACCATATAAATATGCTTTCTGCTTCATAATATTTTCCTGACACATCATGCCTACAATATATTGGTAGAAGAGACACGAGTGATTTGCTTCCCTCTTTATACCACTAGTAGATCTGAATGCTATCTTTGGTAGGCAGTTTACAATCAGGTCAGTAATATTGGCATAAACTTCATGCTATCCTTCAGCTTTATTGATGTAAATAAATAGTAAGGGAAATTTTATGCCAGTGTTTAATATTTTGTTACTTGTCTTTCAATAAGTTATGTATTTTTGCTCAATGATTTAAACAATTTGTGGTAGAGATTCTGATTATAAAGCATTAAACCAGATGATATGTCTTTATACTTTTATTTCTCAAAAATAATTGGGATCAATATGTAGGAGGTTTATTTTTCACTTTGAATTCAGTTTGGTCATAGCATTGTCATATAGCTTTATAATCAAATCAAAACTACCCAGGTGTGTTAAGAAATTCCTTGAAGTTGAATTTTTGAAAAAGAAAGTTAATATAAAAAATGAATAATGTACTGTTCAGTTACTTTGGTACTGGTATATCTACAATGAAATATTATTATAATGAAATCAAACAAAAATTAAAACCAGTAGACATTGTCTTTACTAACTTGTATTCTCTGCTACTTGGAACTAGCTGATCTCTGGATTTTTTAGATTTTGGGTTTTTTTTTTTTTTTTGCAGAAAAATAACTCAAAGAGGTCATGTGTTACTGATAAAATACTTTTTCTCATTAATCATTTTCAATGACAAATGATAGAATGAAATGCATTTTACTGGTATTGGTATTGCCACTTCTACTATTATAATCAGACACTTCTTTGCAGTTGTAATTCTTCATTAATCTTACATATTTATGAGTTGGAGCACTTGTATTTGTTGTTACAATTCTATAATGGTTGCACTGGCACAGTGTTTTGTACAGTTCTAATATTGTGATAACATTTACACCCTGGTAACAGGGATATGATTTAGAGTGTAATCACCTTACTGATATTGATAACAGTAATGATTTCTGGTTTTTATGTTACTTTATCCGTTATCATTATAATCATGAAGGGTTACCCCTCTAGTATACAGTTAACTGATTATGGTTAAAGTTATAGATTAAAGTGCTAATGCAATAAACTTAAACTCTGTGTGGAAACTTTTTTTAACTTCTTAAATTCCACCAATGGGATCTGCTAAAATGAATTCAAGATGGTCCACCAAGTACTCTCACTTTTCGAGTCAGTCGGAAATCAAAATCACTACCAACTTGGAAAACTCATTGTAAACTATTAATTCAATGGTATCCGTGGAACTTGAGAAAAATTTTATATGGGGATGTGAAGGAAAGGAAGCCGGCATAGTGTTTCAATTTTCTGGTCTCGTCAGAAGTTTGACAAGTAGCAATTTTGTAACATGATGGCACAATCATGATTTTCCTGAACAACACCTAATTATGATATCAAGTTCCACCACTGAGATCCTGTTCAAACATGCCTGAAATGTTCCTTAGTGACTTATATGATTTTTTTTTTTTGGTTGTTCAGAAATGGGATAATGGCTGCAATGTTTCCACTTGTGCCATTAAGCTGAAATAAGGTGGGAATGTTGGGAAAGTGAAATGAAGAAAATGTTGGTTTTGTAACCTTTACTGCTAAAATTCTTAATTGTTTAGATCATTAAATACTTGTGTACACTACAATTTTTGCAATTATATTATTTATAGTGTAGTCTGATAACAGTTAGGCCTGAGTACCTCGTGTTTTACCCCAATGTGATTACACTTTGATGCAGGTACACAAAACCACATATTTCCATACAACATTTCGGAAAACAAATAACACCCATCATAACAACTGCAGCAAGTTAAACAGCCATATTATATCAGAAGTAATATATGGCACTACTTGAGCGTCATTGACAATATGACAAATAAGGATGTAAACAAACATTCAGTTAAAGTAATGACAATACTGTATATAACCTTGTAGATTCGCACATACTTAAATGTTATAGATAGAAACATAGGGGTTTGTAAGCTTCACCTAGAGACCAGGCAATACAAGTGTAAATACTGATTTTTTCCTAATTGAATAATTAGAATTTAAAGCACCAATGTTATAACCTTACACATTACTGATTAATTTATGATAGGACTTTGTTGTAGCACTTGTATAAATTGCTCTTGTTTTTGAATTTGTACTTACAAATAATAGTTATTTTCTTCTAACTTTTACACATCACTGTTTACAGGTTATAGCACTTGTCGTACTTTCAACTTTAACCTGGTCGCAGTACTGGGTCTGTAATATTGCTTATGCTGTATTAGAGTTTAACACATGTCTTTCAAGGGTTGGTTTGTGTTTGCAGGGATGAAAAGATCTTGCTCAAGTTTGATATCATCAACTTGAATTCCAACTCCAACTGGTTTACAGAGATAACTGAAAACAGGGATGGTAAGTGGTAATGAATACAGATATCCATGTACTTATTTATAAACTTTAAGAATCACTTCTATCCTGTCAAGGGACATAGTTACCTGACCAGGCCCCACTTGTATAAAACATTTCAACTTGAGATTTCCTCAAGTTGAGATTTTCCTCAACTGATATCTCCTCAAAAACGGCTTGTATAAAATTTTCTCAAGGAACGGGAGGAAGTCATCGGCTTGGATGTCCTGAAATTCCTTGAGGAATTTTCATACAAGATATTTTCAAGGAGATATTAGCTGAGGAAAATCTCGACTTGAGGAAGTTCAGATGTTTTATACAAGTTGGGCCTGATTAGGAATAAAATTCAAATGTCCAATAGACTTTTATGACATTCAGAAATGAAAAATTATGTGTACTTAAACCTGTTGCAGTCTGTTGATACTTTACATTATTTAGAGTGAAATATTTTTAGCAAGTTACATGTGAGTACTGTTTTACAGGAGAAGAACTACCTGTGGTCAATGTGACACAGCTGGAGAAAGATACTATTCTAGTCTGTTTTGATAGTAAGTAAACTTATATTTAAGATACTACATGTAGCTAAATCAATCTCAAACTTATCCTTTGCTAGTCTGATGGTGTAGGTGATAATGTGCATACATTTCAGCAATATGACTAGGTTTGTTATACATCAAAATTGAAAAGGTTTTTGGGTACTTGCCTAACCTTATGAGTTTTCTGCAGGTATTCCAGTTTCCTAGCTTCCCTTCTGAAACATTCAGCACATTTTTGTAGTAATACCAGTTTAGAAACTTTTTTCATAATTGTTGTACATGTATATACTGTAAATTTATACATTTTTGTGAGGTTTAATTTCCATGATTTTTCCAAAAAAAAAATCAATATTTTTTGCCACCTGATTTGGTGGTTAGATATATAGCTTAGTAAACCTGGTTTCATAATGGACAGATAAATTTGTGGACTGAGGAGATCCACAAACTCAAGGAAAATTATTTCCTCTTAAAAGTTCATGGTTTTATAGAAGTCTTTTTCGTTTCATTGTTGCTGTGATTTACTGGCACAGCCATAACTAGGTAATGATTTTAAAAATTTCATGGACCATCAAATTATCAAACAGGACAGATAAAGACTTTGATAACTACTAAACAATACTGAACTTCCGCTCATCAAAGTTTTGGTGAAATCAGTTAAAACCTTATTTTCTTTTTCCAGAATATATAAAAGTTGTAAATATGTCAGGCAAGTTGAAGTCAAGTAAGCGCCAGGCGGCAGAGTTACATTTTGATTCTGCAGTGGAATCATTAGGCAAGTATTGGCTTTGTATAGAAATATCACGATGGGAACATTTGGAATATAATTGATATAATTTCCAATTAACAAACTTATTTCATACTTGTGCCTTTAAAACTGTCATTTATGTGACACCGTGAAAAGAGTTGAACTATTTCTCAAGTTGTCTGTGCATTTGTTATCATAGAATATTTTGATTGTATCTCACCTAAAAGTTTGATATGATCTGGATTCAGACTACTTTTTCGATGGATAGATCAAAATTAGATAAGTTCAGTAACAAGTACCAGGTATACATTACAATTTAATATTTCAAACAGTGTTTATTCAGCAATATGTCATTAAATGAAGGAAAAGTTCACAAATATGTTTTAGATTAAAGACAGAGATATCATTATATGTAATCATGTTTTCCAGTGTGCTTACAAGACAGTGTGTTAGCCTTCCACAAGCATGGTATGCAGGGACGAAGCTTTAAAGCAAATGAAGTAAGTTGTATACCATTGTGATACTGTTACTCAATATCTTTATTGAGGAACATGTGGTAACTGATATTATTTTTCCTAATTGGTTCATCATGTCCGATTGATTTTATGAATATTGATTTAGTCGTCATGGAAGGAGACTGACTACGAGATGTTAAGTCACCTGAGACAAAGTCTCCTGGTGACCTATTGCGATCACCTCCAGGGTCATGCGTCCGTAAACAGTGTAACATTTTTAATTTCTTCTCAAAAACCCCTGAACTGATATCAATTAAATTTGGCAGAAACCTTCTCTTGCCAAGGATGAACCAAAAAGGTGAATTATATGGTTCCCATCCCACAGGGGCCTGAAGGACAGGGCCAAAAGGGGTCATATTGACTCAAGATTTCAAAAATCTTCTTTGCAACAATAAGATGTGGTAGAATCAAATGCTCCTCATGGATGGAAGCATCTTAAGGTGTTTTACCAAAATTACAAATTTCATGACCCCAGTATCTCACATTTCCCTGTGGAGAGGGGTTAAATTTTACTTTAGTTTATATAGGATAAAATGGACTTTTGAGCATTATTTTATTTCCATTAAAAACATTTCAAACATGGTAATAATTATGAGCAAAGGATGATGGCTTGATGGTATGCCCATATTGATCCTATCTGACCCCCATGAGGCTGATGAGCGGGGCCATATTATATCTATTTCAAAATTTGCATTGACATGTGCTATTATTTTGTGTGTACTTTGTACAATCATACAAATGGATGGCCTTATCTCTGTATCTGGACCTATTGCCAAATATATATGGTATTATTTAGAATACTGTTTATATCATGTCAAGGGATGTAAATTAACATTAAATCACCTCTCTCAGACCAGTCTTATATTTCATATTTTTTACAACAGACTTTTTTATTGCTGTGATACCTGCTACTGTTTTAAAACTTATTTAGATGTTTTTTTTTTTTTTTTTTTTGTTAATTTCTAATTTACAGGTAACACAAGAAATCTGTGATCGGAGCCGAATATTCAGACTGTTAGGATCAGACAGGTAATCTGCATTATTATGCATCACCATGGTTATTGATATTTAATACTCAAGATTAGTGATAAGAGTTCAGATAACTACAATTTCCTTGATACACGTAAGTCCACTTACTTGTATTAAATCCAGTTAAAATGATTTAGGCCTTGAGGAATTATTCCATGTACTGGATGTTAAACCTGATATATGAAAGGCTCAAATTGCACAGTTTCAGAATCTCCTGTCAAACATAAAACCATGGAACCAAAAACGAAATTTCATCCATTTTTACTTAACTTAAAGGTGAAACATTTCTTGAAAATGTGTGTGCACCAACCCTGCTTTATTCAGCAAGTTAGTTTTGAACAATCATGGCTTGGACTCATTAACTATACATGTTGCATATTCTCCAGGCCAGCCTTGGTCCCAATCTATACCAGGCAAATATCTGGCTGGTTCAGATAGTCCAATTGTTTCAACCTCCTATGCGAAAGTGATCTAGATATCTATGCTATAAAGATTGTTTCATAGACGATACTACAGTGAGAAGTTGATGAAATATCTGATCACTTGAATGTAATATTTAATGTAATTCCATGTAAAGAAAATTCAGTAGACATTTCCTCTTAAATGAACTTGAATAATATATTTGACAGGTTAAACCTAAACAGTTTAAACTTTCTTAAAAGATCTTTAATGCAATTAATCAGGAATCATTCAAGGTCTCCCTCCTCTTTAACTAAAGCATCTGATAATTTGTAGCTTGTATATATAATAATGTGTGTTTTATTTTTAAGGGTGATCCTTCTTGAGAGTCGACCAACAGATGACCCGACTGCTCATTCCAATCTGTATGTGTTAGCAGGCCATGAGAACATGTTCTAGGAATCAGTTGCTGTGGTAGAGATACAAGATATAAGTTCCTTCTGAGATAGAGAGATAGAGAAATTACATGGATATTACTGGAACATAATATAGACCTTAGAAATTAATGCACCGAAATGGTTGGACCGAACATTGTTTTATGGGCTTGAGGAACCACAGCGTCCATTTCTAGCAACATGGACTACTTCTTAATGTTGAAGCACAGCTGGATGGTTATGGAGTAGTAAGAAAAAATCCATTTGCTTAACACAACACAGTGACAATTCATAAACGATTCTGATTTGACCTTTTGACCTTCCAATACTTGACACATTCTTCCTCATCGATCAGTTTCACCTTTGACCCATGAGCTCGACCGTTAGTCAGTTTGTCTGACCAGAAAGTCGAGATATTGGCAAGGGTGTATCAGGAATTGGCATATAACTTGACCATTGGAGTACTTGATCCAATGTCTGGATTGTCTGCATGTTTTTAATGAACATCACTTGATACATCTGTTATAACTTAAAACGTATGTATGGCTGTGGATTTGACAATCCAAATGTATTGTTTACATTGGAGTTTTATTTTTCAGCTTGGCACTAATATATCACTGTCTCATCACTCTGTAAGCTCTACAACAGTTCAATGAATCTAGATTTTCCACTGTTATCAGTTACAAAAACAAACAGTAAGATGTTGTACAGGTTTAACAAGCGAAGAAATCGTCATCTAAGATATCTCAGTACATTTGTACTAGTTTATAATTTGTAATGGAAGTGTGGCAGGACCTGGGATAGGTAAACATGCATGTAGATCTTCTTGCCTATTATTAAATAAACTCCAGTTTCTGAGCTTGTGGAATTTCTGTATGTGATTCAGAGATACTTTGGTCACTATCACTTTAACTGCCTGAAGTTAAGCAGCTCCTGTGATGTGTTAATTTGTATGTGATTTAGTGAGGGTGTGTGTATACATGTGGCTGTGTTTTTACCTAAATCTCTGCTTCTTTCATTGGATATTTAATTCATGTGGAGCAGCAGACATTCTATGTATGTCCATGTGGCCTATTTATAATTTCTATGATTTAGAAGTTACATGTTAAAATTGTTGTATTATTATCCTGTTGAATGATTGCATAATTTTGTTCTGCACCATTTCATACACTTCCCATCATGACTTGTGTAATGATGACTGTTAGCCTTTGTATCAATGATAATATATAGATATATAACAATATTAAGAGATGATGCAACAATCTGCAGCCGATTTGAAAAAAAAATAACACTACATATTTCTCATTGAAAGAAGTAATTCAATGAAATATAATTTGTGATCGTAAAATTCTCATAGAATGAGGTAACAGTGACCCAATTTCTGCAGCATATACCAGGATATTGTCATCTTTCTACAAAAGGAATGTTCAAAATTAAAATATGGTGGTGTATTGCATATCTTGGTACAGATTTAACACCAGGTAGCTGTATTTTTTGAAAAAATATCAGACCCTCTCTAGAATAGAATAATTTACACTACGTAAAAGAGTAACGTAGCTCAGACACTGATCCAATATATTGCAGCCTTGAATATGTTGTGATCTTTGGTATTATTTGGGAACTATTCAAATAACTACCTTGCAGCCGTCACTGTTGCACTGAAGTAACAGAGTGGTCCATTGTTTCAGTTTTCTGTTGATTTTTACTCTATTTTATACAAGATAGATTGTTTTGTTGTTGATTCTAAACCATTTTATATTGTTTGACATTATATCCTAACACTTAAGTTTATGTTATTGATAATTGGTCATAAAAGCTCTCCGTGGATTGATAAAGTTTACCACCAACAAGACATTCTTTTTTCTTCTTTTAGCCCACCACCATCAGATTGCAGGCTATTCAAATCAATTTTTGTGCGTGGTCTCTTGTCCATGGTCTGTTCGTCTGAGAACAATTTTTGCTATCTCTACTTCTTGAAAAGTACTGGATAGATCTTTCTCAAATTTCATTTGTAGGTCCCCTTGGTCACTAGTTGTGCCGACAGGCAGCCATCTTGGATCTTACCAAAGAAAGTTTGTTTTGCTATATTTTTAGGCCTGATGGATGGATCTCCCTTAGATTTCATATGTAGGTTCCCCTAGGTCTCTAGTTGTGCCTGCTTGATATTGGAACTTTTCAGAGAAAGAAAATGGACAACAGGTGGCCGTCTTGTATTTCAACAATGAAAATTTTATATCGCATGATATCACTATTACTTCTTCAGAAGAGAAAAGATTGGAAATGATCGAACTTTTAAAGAACAAATAAAAATCAAACAATGGTGGGCACCAAGATCCCTGTGGTATCTCTTGTTTTTAGGTTTGTTTAATCTTTTGAAGGGATTTTCATATTTCACTATTAAAGAATTATTTTTTCGTTTTCATGAGTTGTATAGGAATTATTTGAAGTATTTGCTCTAAATAATTTATCACGTACATGTACTAAATGTATGTCTCCAATCATTGTACATTTTTGTTTTGTATCTTGTTATTATTGATTATGTATTTGTAATTGTTTTCATTTCACAAGTATTTTATACTTATATCCACTCTACATAGGGTACAGTACATACATTAATATATGAATCATATGCACTGAGTGTATTAATTTACTTATGAATAACTAAATGGTAGCTCTAGCCAAAAATAAATCCAAAATGGTGGTCAAGAGCATTTCAGGCACTATATGATGGTCAAGGCTACCTCCTATCGTGACCTTGTCTGTCTTGATACTTCCCATGGGTTTTGGTGTGAACTGTATGATGGAAAAGGGTATTTTTCATGATCATTATAATGTTGTTCGCATTTGCATTGCGTTGTTCATGTCTCACAATTTAAGTTGTACTGGTTCTATGTAAAAACATGCTAATACATATCTATTCCCAAATTATCATCATATAACACAGCTGATTTTTAAATACAAGAAAGATTTTTACAATGTGCATATATCATTCATTTTAGTCACTGAAATTTTCGTTCAGTTATAAGAATGAAAAAGCATGTTATAGCTCACAATCAAAAGTTAAAGATTTAATCATTTTCTTTTTATAAAAAGAGGAATATGTATATATAGGCACATTGATGTAGATCGTCTGTTCTAAACCATCCTTGGAGAAAATCAGCGAACTAGATAGGCCTCTCTATTATCTACGCAGTACTAGCTGAGGAAGGAGGTCAGCTAGCAAGGTTAATATATTTAGCAGGATCAGGAGTGCACTATCAGGGTCAGAGGTCAACTAGCTGCAACAGTGACAGAATATCAGTGGTCAGAGCATGGACATCAGAAGAAGGGCCAGAGTTGAATGACCAGAATTCAAATATTGGTTAGTAAAGTCAAAAAACTGCATAGCAGAAGTATGGTTATCCAAGGACTTGAAATCTGATGTAGGTTGTATACAGTATGTACTGGAAAGCCAGTTTATCTATTGATAACCATACAGTTAATGAAATCCATTGTTCACATGTGATACTAGGTATACTGGAAACTTTGTCACTAATGCCTTCATTGTTTAGGTGAACCTGCTGTAGTTAGGGTCTTGGTTTAAGACAGCTAATTTCTGATGGGTTAAAATGAATGGTTGGTTTAAGACAGCTAATTTCTGATGGGTTAAAATGAATGGTTGGTTTAAGACAGCTAATTTCTGATGGGTTAAAATGAATGGAAGACTATCTGGAGGATGGGCATTGAATTGTAGATATTCTATAGTATGTAATGTAGATAGTAAAAACAGTAAGACGACAATAACTGTTTGTTGCTACAAATTAATTTTCTGTTTATATTTAGCTGAATTATCACAAAACCAAGAAAACATTGATACATGTCTGTATACTTAAATATTTAATTTTATTGAAAATCTGCATTCATCTTATGTTGTAAACTCTATTTATGTTAATTAATTATAAGCTGTAAACTGTCAAATTGACCACAACAAGTGTTAAGTCTGTAGTGTCCAATTACTGGTAAACATCTACCCTAGTAGCCCACTGTTGTAAGTTGTACAAAGACCTGCAGGAATTGTGCAGTGTTAGTTGCTCAATGTTAAAAGACTTGCCATGGCAGTACAGGAAACTCTCCTATGAACTGATTGAAAATACTTGTATATATTAAACGTGTTCCATTGTTATTGATCCGACTTATTTGGTTGTTGGTGGTTTGGGGCAGTTAAATTTGCATATGTTATTCTGTAATTTCATTCTTTGTTTATGCTTAACTTCATATAGGTAAGAGCTCAACTGATCAATGTATTACACTAGATCCTTGTGCTTTGACACATCAAGTCAGAATTGCTACATACAGATAAAATGGATTTCATTCATTTACCATTAATTATCACACAACATTTGACATCATTAATGGTATACAGACACAGAAAAAGAATTAGAGAAAAGCATAGATTTTTAAAAATGGCGGCTATACACGGTGGAAAAGGAAATGTGCAACATTGTATATAAGATTTGCAAAAAAACAGTGTTTAATCATACAAAGCAATCTCTCATTAAACGGTGGAGCCCTTCACTATTGCATAATCATTTTGTTTTACACAGTAATCAACTTTCTGATCAACACTAAATTTAGAATACGACCAATAATGGTCACGTGTCTAGACTATCATCAGTAATTGAACTAAAATATCATGTGTAATTGGTCAAGAATATCACCAGTAATTTGTCAAGAATATCACCGGTAATTCGTCTAGATCATCACCAGTAATTTGTCAAGAATACCACCAGTAATTGGTCTAGAATGCCACAGTAATTGGTCTAGAATTTCACTGGTAATTAGTCTTGATTATCATCAGTAATTGGTTAAGAATATCACCAGTAATTGGTCTAGAATGCCACAGTAATTGGTCTAGAATGCCACAGTAATTGGTCTAGAATTTCACTGGTAATTGGTCTAGAATTTCACTGGTAATTAGTCTTGATTATCATCAGTAATTGGTTAAGAATATCACCAGTAATTGGTTTAGAATACCACCAGTAATTGGTCTAGAATGCCACAGTAATTGGTCTAGAATTTCACTGGTAATTAGTCTTGATTATCATCAGTAATTGGTCAAGAATATCACCAGTAATTGGTTTAGAATATCACCAGTAATTGGTCTAGAATATCACCTAGAATATCACCAGTAATTGGTTTAGAATATCACCAGTAATTGCTCTAGAATATCACCAGTAATTGGTCTAGAATATCACCAGTAATTGGTAATATCACCAGTAATTGGTCTAGAATATCACCAGTAATTGGTAATATCACCAGAAATTGGTCTAGAATATCACCAGTAATTGGTCTAGAATATCACCAGTAATTGGACAGCAGACTTGCATCTTCCTTATTGTGTTCTGCAATGTATTGAGTTGTTCATTGTACCAGGAACCACATATACTTGTATAGAACTTCTATTTATTTATATAATTGTATAACTGATCTTACTAGATTATAGCTATGCAATACTGTGAATGAGCACCAGATTTATTTTCCTTCACAATAATATTGTGATTGTCTTGCATATATACATTGGAACCTTGTGAATCTGCACTTACATTTGATTTCATTAGTTGTAATGCTTGGTGTACAATGTTAATTAGCAGTGTATGTGATATTACATGAAAAGTGGAAATTGTCACTAATTTTATATCCAACCTCTTTATCTGCAAGCATATGTGATAAAGATCTTTTTGGCACATTTTATTACAAGTTACATGATTCACACACCAAAAATCTTGTCTAAATGTAAGGATAAAATACTTTTTAAGAAGATTGAAAAAATAGATTAACAGGGTTCCATTGTATGTTTGAATCTATTGAAGTTATGTGTTGTATATGTTATGCAGATTCCTAAGCACCCAATCTACATAATGTACCATGTATTTGCATTTCAATTGGATGAAGGATATTTTACAAAACTGGTGTAATCTTCAGTGATATGATATTTTGAGCACATTTGCATGTCTACTTAATGAATTTGACAGTAAAATGTGTATGTTATGCTACGTAACTGGTGCTTTTGTCTAAATTAATAGCATAGGCACATTGCCTATATATAATGTAGGCTTCTAAATGGAGTAAATTGAAATGATGCAAGTGACTTTTAGATTTCAATATTTTTTAAACAAATATATAATTACGGTGACTTTTACTATTCTTAAAGATATTAAGTGGGAGAAATAATGTGATCATTGGAAAAGTGTTTTTTGTGAAAGCAGAAAGAGTTAGACCTTTTAACATTGGAGCTAATAGGTTATAGTCACAAAATTCAATCACATGTGTTTTTTTTTTTTTGCTTTTTCTGGCTAACTCAGGCAGTACTTTATCAAGGACTGGCTGGTCTTATTATGTACGTGTAGTTGACAAAATTTTGTTAATTGAATTGCCATGATATGCAATACCGGTATTCGCCCTATAACTTTCAAATTAGGAATGATACATGTCTTTTCAGCATGTCATCCATGACAGATATTTTTAATTGATCTTTGTAGTTAACTGATGAATTCAGTTGATTTCCTCTGTATACCATACCTACACCAAAGCTCTTCTCTTCCTCTCACCACACACCAGTTTTTCAGCATTATCATTTGTGACCCATTATTCTTATAGATTTATTTAACCAAATGTTGATGTATGACATGTGTGGTGAACACTATGTAAACCAGACATCTGGAGTTAACACCAGAGGGAACCATGATAACCGATAGTCATGTGTCAGTCAGCTGTTACAAATATTGTTACCAGACTATGTAACATGTTCTTCTGTATAAAACCGTGATCACATTTTATAAGCTTTTGTTCTTTCTTGCTTCTACTTCGTATTGAGTCATCATACGAAACATACGGATCTGTTAGTTTTGCAACTATCATTTGATATTCTCGGCCCCCATCGACTATCAAACTTAGGTTATACCATATTGACAGTGAAACAAAGGGCAGTAACTCTGGGAGATCAGAATGAACAGTTACCATTGCACTATCGTGCTTTTTTTTATAACGAGGGAAAGGATTACAAACCAAAAAAAAAAAAATATTTGTATATGTGACATCATTTTAATCAAAGCCATTCCGACAAACATTGTGACTAAAAGGCTATTTACCATTAACTATATATACTAGCTTATGTAGTCATGGTCTGCTAAGAATCGGAATGAAATGTATGCTGGTTAATTGGCAATTTCTAATGGCGGGTCATCATTCCATGGCAGGCGATATTCAAGTTGCTATTTTGACTGTAATGTGACTGTTAACTTGTGGAACGAGTTAAAATATGGCAACAACAGACGATCGGGTAATATTCTCGCGGAGTGTCTGTTTCAGGAATCACAGAAGGCTGTATTGTTCATTGTTGTACCGAGATCGTTCTACAAGGACAGGTTCTTATTATCCTTAAGCATGATCTTGATTATATCAAAGTAGAACGTTTCACATAGTTGGCCTTTTACCTCCTCTATATTGTCGTCTTCTGGAGATTGTATTCCGTTCCGTTTCTACCGTTTCCCGGATTTGGTTTTCCATTCTATATCCACATTGTATGTGCAAAGAAGTGGGAGAGGGAGGATTATTGTTCCATTGTCTTCCTCCAGAATCTGTTTCCTGGAAAGAGCTCCTAGAGTGCTTAGTTACGACTGATTGGAAAGGTGGTTTGTGCCCGTTATTTCAAATTAAAAAAAACCAACAAAATAAACAAAATCAAACCACCGTGCTTCATATGAATAATATAATACCTTCCCTTGGGATCCAATCTTACGTGCTCGACGTATAAAACGATAGAATGGATACTAAATAACATAGATGTGAATTATAATAAGTATTCTTCCTTCTGGTACAAATTGTTATGAACATGAACGTGTCTAGGGCAATGTTAACTATAGCTTCACGGAAAACTCCCTTTTGGTCTCGTAGTTTAATACCAAAACGGCAGACGTTGAAGAGACTGTCGTAACTTTGATTTCAAATTTTAGTGGGCTTTTTCGATAAGCATTATCAATGTATCTAAGAGTGAAATTAAAAGACTTTAAAGGATGTTGACTGGATACTGCAGGAGTTATGATCACTTTCGCTCTCTGCACCCCTGTTATGACAAAATTAAAGGTACCGTGTGCGACACCTTTTGGTCAAGACTAGTTTGATCTTTTAATATACATCAAGCGAATTTCGAGGTCACACAACGGTGTGTTGTAATGGTATTGAAGTTGGGTGTCATTCCTTTGCAGTCCTCAAAAGGAGCGTATCAGCTTGTGACTGGTCAGTTTTTTTTGCTCCTCGAACCAATCCAACTACTTCGCTTGTGCCTACAATTTTGCCTTGACAAGTTCAAGGGGTGCAGAGAGCGAATGTGACTATAACCCCTTGAGCATCGACAATGGATATTGCGCGACGTCCAACCTTAATGTAATAACAGAGACGATCATGCATAGATTAGTGTAGTTCCATACGAGTATTAAATACTAAAAAAAAACAAAGAAAATTCCAACATGTCAACTGATTAATAATCCAGACTCAAATTCATGTAAGTAGGGCAAAATATAAACAAAATAAAGACTGACATGAAGATTCCTGAAAAGGTACAAGAATACAGATGTCCCAGGAGAGTAAGCGTCTTCCGCTTCATCGATGGCACCCGACATGTAAACCTTGGCCAATCCAAGTAAGAAGTCACATTCTCTGATGAGAATAAGGTATACAACAACGGAACAATCGGGTATACTACCGATAATTGAACACGTCCAGCTTTTTATCGCATAAGGAAATGGAATATTTTCAAATGAGATTAAGATGATGACCGTCAAATCCATATGATTTTCACCAACCCATGTTGTGAGTTCGTCAGTTGTCGAAATATTGCACACAGCAAAAATTAAATTGAAAATAAGCCCTTGAATATCTAATCAACAGCGACGTATAATCATCAAAGATTGGGGATGAAGGGATGCTGCTCTCCGAAAATGGAAAATTTACACTAAGGAAATTGAAGTCATCACGTGTATCATACAGCGTGGTAAAAAATTATCTGTTACTTGAAACATGGGAAAGTGATCTTGCAAAGTTGAGCATTTTTCTTCCTCGAGGATGACGTTTTTGCTGGTAGCAATTGTCATGAAAGATGTATTGTAGTTTGCATGTAATTTAAAAAACTATTACATACTAATAATAAGTACAATGTAATTTCAAAATGTTATAAAATACCGACTATGAACTTTCAAAATCAATTTTAAAAGTTCGAGAATACAAAGTAGAATTGGATATTGTATTGGGATAATTTGTCAGACAAAAACGCTTTCATCGAAATGTGACAGTATGGGTTTGTTTATAAGTTGAAGTGTTTGTTTGTTTCCGACAAAGCTTGACCCGAAAGTTAGCGTTTTAATACATACTTTCAATGTTGACGGTCAACAAGCGGTTACTGACCTGTACAGATCACGCAATTATTAGGACGCTATTTATCGTGATTTAAATCTCGCTACTTCGTTTAACTTTGACTCGTGTTTAATGTATGACTAAGCAATTATGTACAGACAATTTGCCATCAGCTAAATATGCCAGGCGATTCCTAGACCACACGCATACAAAGTGGATGTTCACCGATGAATGAACTTATACTTACAAATTATTCATATCAACCAACGTTGTATCTGGGGCTAGCCCATCAGTCTGCTATTTATTTCGCATTTAGAAATCCTTCAAATATGAATGATGTATGATCATTGTTATAGAACATATATTTATATATATAAAGTTTATTTGTATCAAATCATGTTTTTAAACGACACTGGCTAACGTAAAGCAATTCTGATACTTTGATTATGATTTCAATATTGTTTCTGTCTTTCCTTTCCATGAAAACGATTCCAAGTTTCAAAATTACCAACTACATAACACTTCGCAGTCATCAAGCGAGTCTACCGTGATTAGGTTTTCTGTGATACAAGTTTCATATTATCTGAATATCTATGATTTGTTTTTACAGAAGTCTTATACTGCTCCATCTACTACTAGATTTATGCCCCCCCCCACTCTTCCCTCTCCCCCTCCCCCCTTCCCTCTCCCCCTCCCCTGCTCGTTTACTACTGTTTTTAAATTGTTTTGATATTTTCTAAATTAATATTGCAGGCATGTGCGAAAAAGATACATTCATGAAAACTCGTTGCGTTGTATCACACATGTTGGAAATTGGAATTTTATGCCACTTTTGACAATTCTAGCCCACACAAGGTAGTTTCAGTACACCGTTGGCTGTTTTATACGCCTAATGGTAGTTTTAGTAAAGCATTTTACGAACGTAATATGGCATGCGATTCGAGCCCTCAAATGGCAGTTTAGATCCATTTTAAGTATCCATTATTTGGCGATTTGAATCTCGGTGACTTAATCTTACCAGCATCTCTAGGTTGACAAGCATCAGGCAAAAAATGAACACTACTGTGATAAAGCATGAGCTAGTGTTGCTATTGATGAACGACAAACATTTTAAATATCAAAGTTCAAGGCCCGTTAATGGATGCTGGATTTAGCAATTACCAGAGGAGTTCTACTTTTGCTTACCCAACCCAACACGTACATATGCCAGTTGTTCTTCGCCGTCTCCGTTCTTCCTTTCACCACTCTGTCAATTTTTTTTTTTTTTTTTTTGTTTTTTGTTTTTTACGGGCATTTTAGAACAAATAATTGCATTGGCACCATAAAAGTTATATTTACTCCACACTCTTGAGATCTAGATAGTGGTGCGCCGACAGCCAGTCTACCCAGCGACTATGGCTCCACCGATAACCTTGCTTTCTTGTGACAGTTTCCTTACAATACGACCACTATTTGCAAAAGTGACATTCCTTCTTTCTAACGCATCACCTTGTACATCTAATACATAACGCACGCATTCAAAATAATATAAAAAGACCGATGATAAATTCGAAATTATGATTCACGTCACTCTTTGATTCTAAAAGTAATAAGAAACAACAATGATGAAGTCAGTAATTGTATTATAATATTATTTTTATGTTATCTGACCATAGTCTCTAGACTAAATTAAAAGATCTGACCACACAGGAACATTGTACAGGATAATTTCCAATCCAAACCTTCTGAAGCTATCTCCCTTGACCAAATGTAAAAAGATATTCAAATCAATGATGATGGATTATATGTGGTAAAAACTAATATTACTACAATATGGTATTATTTATTGAAAATGTAAATTAGTTAATTTCTAGTGTGTATCATGCAAAAGGTGTCTTAGATTATGAATGAATAATGTAAGTATGCAAATATACTATAACCTTCGGTTCTGTAAACGCCTTGTTTGACTAATTCGCATTAACCTTGAAATCAGCGTGGTAGGAGAGATGTGATGATTGTGTGCACATTTCCACTTGACTAATACTGATATTTTGCCAAATTTATAAAAAGTCTAAAATGCAGTCAACATGAAATAAGATTTTCAAATTTTGGAGTCAGCCATTTTAGATACAGTAATAAAATATTACTTGAAGCTTGTATTAATAATTTTTGTACAGTACGGCATCTTTTTACTGTGTGCTTACAATTTCCTCCTTACCTCGACCTTGGTCAAACATTGTTTTACTTCTGTATGGGAATGTCACCATGCACACATTCGAATTAGTGATTTCTTTTATACATGTAGTGACAATCATGTCAACTGGCTAAAATCATAATTTAATAGTGTGTCTCTCATTTGGTTTCATGCTTTGGAACATCAAAAACGACATACTTTGTAATTCGCCTGACTAAGTCACGATAACTCTGATTAGTCTCGAGTTCAGTTTTTCAACCGAACTATAAAGAAAGAAATGTGACCGTGACTTCGTTAGGATGATTGTCCCACTTTCTGGATATTACATTGCCGATAAGCAAAAAATATTTCAGTTTAAATCAAGTTGTTATCGACATAATGCAATGTCAAGCATATGTAAGGAACGGAAGTGAAAGTGGCATATAGAGTCGTTATAAATGACACAGACACCATCAGTGACTTAATACCGTAATATAAGTGTTTCATTGCAGTTCAATGCTTTAAAAAAGTACATATCTATTACATAAAATAAACAGATATCTGTTATAACATATTTGATATTGTTATATATAATAAATCTAGATGTTATATAAATATATTTACATAATTTGATGAAGTTCAAAATCTGCGTTCGTTGTTCTCTGAATAAATGGAATACTGAACCCTGATCTACATCACGATTTCAACATTGATGTTAGTGAAATACATTTTGTAGAACAAGGAAAATTATAGCAGCGGACAGGGGTGGGGTGGGAAGGTAGGGGGGCGGGGGGTTCAAAACGCATATCAACGTGATGTTCGTATGTTTTTATCAATTCTTCTTAATTCGTTGCATCTGCATCATTTCGGTTTTTAATGATCGATTTAAATACTGAGGTATCGGAATACATAACCGACTGTATCATCAACATCGCTTAACACATATATGGTTATCAGTCATTGTGAATAATATCGATACAAGTGGAATCAATTACCGGTAATTTTACCTCTAATTTTTATCATAGATAACTGATGAATCAATGTTTCTTTTCAGTTCTTTTAAAATACCACACACACACACACACACACACACACACACACACACACACACACACACATCTTTAAGTAAATTCTATACAGAACATATAACTTAAATAACTTCGACCAGGTAGATATCTAGTTTTATGTGTGTGTCACTGTCGTCGGGGATATAGAATTGTAGAAATTATTTTTTGGTTTTTGTTTTTAACTTTAATTTGAGTTCATGTTTATATAGGATTCGATTCTTTTTATAGAGATATCTTGTACATTTTAACACATCAAGAACATAATGCCTATAAATAGCTACTCATTATCTGCAGGTCCCATTTGGTAACATTCTGCCCTTGTTACAGAATCTCACCTTGTTCGCTATACATCGTACATAACGTGTTATGTCGATATATTTAGTATGTTTACTCCTTACTCCACATTTTCCTCAAAACTTCAAAAATATTTTCCATTGAAATTATCAGTAGCGATAATTTTTATTTTCGCAAAGAAACAAATATACTACAGTTAGATACGTTACTGAAAAGGCAGGTGCCCTGATAAAAACTGTTTTGATCACGTGGCCTTCGTTGCTATAGGTATAACCTTTGAACCAAAACAATGGCTCGGTTATAGAAAATAGTGCGAATAATTGTTGGCGTAAATTTAAGGAAAGCCGAACAATTCTTTATAAATGATGTGTACTTTATGAATGTATTATATTTATGATATTTCATTTGAAAAGATAATTACGATCTGACTAATAATAAATAAGTTAAAAATGTGCGCAGGAAGATTGTAGTGCGTGCATTATGGCGACTAACCAAGGAATTCACAATGGCCGAAGAAAATAACCGATATTTCTACATATGTAGCAAAATGAAGACTGGAGATAGTGTGTACAATTCTTAGTTGGACAACGTTTGTGTCGAAAACTCATAAACTACATGCTTACCAGATTTGTTGTGTACGCGAGCGGAATGGTTTGACGGACATACAGTAACATATTTTGACAGGTGGCATAGTGAACTGGTTTATTTTGCCGTATTTCAGGGTTATTGCACGTTCATTTAACAAACGGTTTAATTCGTAAAGAAGACTGTTACATGATCTTACCATTAACATTCATAAAAACTGTGTTTGATCCTCATTTACATGTAGATTAATCGTTTCATTAACTACCCTTCAGTTCATAATATTGGCAGCCATTTTGTTGTTATTTTCCATAAACGTCATATAACCGTTCTCACATTTTGGGTATACTAGTCAAGTCAGCCTTGGGACACTATTATCTTCATTTGTAATTGCTTATTTATAGTTTACAACCAGTGCCTGTTGTTTAAATCATAGCCTTCCTGTAAAGCCAAAGCTGTATACACAAGTTTTCTTATTTGTGAACTAAAGCCTACATGTACCATTGGTGTGAGAAGGATAATGGAGAAGTATGAGAAGCTCACCCGAATTGGGGAGGGTTCATATGGCGTTGTGTTCAAATGCCGAAATAAAGAGACAGGCGTTATTGTGGCCATCAAACGATTCGTGGAATCAGAAGAGGATCCACTTATCAAGAAGATAGCGATGCGAGAGATCCGAATGTTGAAGGTGTGTTTTTCGCTGCATGCTTCATCACAATTTCTAATCATATACCATTCCATAGAGTGCTGTTGTCACCTACCCTAGCTTGTACATATGAAGTAGTCAGCAACTGTTGTGAAGTGTAGATATTGGTTCACATAGTTACCATGTATTTCCCTAGTAAAATACTGTATTCTTTCCCAACCAACTGTGCAGACCAGATATGTTACTGTGTTACATTTTTCAATGGATGAGGGAAAATTCTTGGTGTCATTTATTAACACTTTAAAATTTAACTGTGATTTAGACCAGGCAAGTAATTTTATGGTAACAGTTATTCAATTGTCATTCTGATAAAAATTTTATTATAAATCACTCTTGTACATGCATAGTTTCACTGGTACCTTACATAACCCCTTCTGGTCATTTGTTGAAGGTAACCACCAACACTACACTACACCTTTTGGATTGATATAATAATGTGCAAAATAAAAAAATCTCCCCCTAATATTAGTATAACATGATATACATATTTCACCTGCTACAAGTATTATACACAAATGTGTTGTAACACCCCTACCCCTCCTCAGTCATAATGTGTAGGTATACTGAATTCTGCCCTAGGTGTTATGTACAGGTGAAGGGAAACCTTCTCCAAATATAACATGTAGGTGTACGGAAATCTTTTCTCTCATTTTCAGTTATAATGTGCAAATATAATGAAACCTTCTACAGGTATTGTACAGGTGTACTGAAAACTTCCCAAAATATGATTGCAGGCATACTGAACCAACCCTCTTCCCACTAGGTATAGTGTTCTGAAACCTCCCTTAGGTATATTGTACATGTGTACTGAAACCCTGTGACCCTTACACCCCTCTCCCTCCCCTCTCCATTTCACAGTTAAAACATACTTGGTTACTGAAACCACTGATCCTTAAATTCCTAGTTAAAATGTACTTGTGTGTTTACACCATTAAAATGTGCATGTTTTGCCGAAACCCCTCACCCCCTTTCCCATCCCCAGTCAGGATGTACACATGTACTAAAACCTAGCCCAGATAAAATGTACACATGTACTAAAACCTATCACAGTTAAAATGTACACATGTACTAAAACCTATCCCAGTTAAAATGTACACATGTATTAGAATGTAGCCCAGTTAAAATGTACACATGTACTAAAACCTTGCCCAGATAAAATGTACACATGTACTAAAACCTGGCCCAGTTAAAATGTACACATGTACTAAAACCTGACCCAGATAAAATGTACACATGTACTAAAACCTAGCCCAGTTAAAATGTACACATGTACTAAAACCTGACCCAGATAAAACGTACACACGAACTAAAACCTGGCCCAGTTAAAATGTACACATGTACTAAAACCTGGCCCAGTTAAAACGTACACATGTGCTAAAACCTGGCCCAGTTAAAATGTACACATGTACTAAAACCTGACCCAGATAAAACGTACACATGAACTAAAACCTGGCCCAGTTAAAATGTACACATGTACTAAAACCTGGCCCAGTTAAAACGTACACATGTGCTAAAACCTGGCCTAGTTAAAATATCCACATGTGCTAAAACCTGCCCGAGGTGTAATGCACTTGTGTATTGAAACCCTGACACCCCCTCTCCACTGCCCCCTGCTAGTTAAAATGTGTATGAGCCCCCTCACCAGTTAAAATGTACATGTGTACTGAAACCTGGCCCAGGTTTAATTTACAAACATACCAAAACTTGCCCAAGATATACTTCTAACTTACAAGTGTACTGAAACCTGCTCCACTGCAGTTTATTTATTTTTTTTTTAGTTACCACATATATGTAAACAGTATATTGCCTATGGTTTACTAAAACAATCACTATTGGTATAATGTAGACCATTGTACTGTTAATTTTGCCCTATAATTTATTGCTACTTTCTTATATGTGACTTTTGAAAATGAAACCTGGTCTTTATATATAACACAGGGCACACATTAATAGGTGGAATATTTCACAGATTGCATTTACAGGAATATTTGAATCATAACATACATTTCATTTAATATTATATTAAAAATTCAGTTGTGAATTACATTGTTTGTGATGTGTTAGGTGCATTATTTTTTTTTTTATATCTGACTTGAATTATATATACTGTATGTTTTTTAATTAAATATTTTTTTGGTCATAAAATAATTTCCAATAAGAGTCAACTTTATTAAAAAAAAATGTTGAAGTTGCCATTTATCAGGGTTCATTTGGTTTATTTGATGGCAAGCAGTAAATTTACTTAAAGTTAAAATCGGCTGTGTAGTAACAGTTACAATGTACTAGTATCCAGGATCCATTTGGGATTCTGGAAGTATCACAAAAGGCCTATTGATATCTCTCATGTTTTTTTGATACACCTACCAAAACATTTTTGAGACTGGAATGTTAGGGGATATATATATGGAATTAGGTTTGTCCATCATCTGTTATGGCATTTGGTGATTTCTTTAGTGTCATGGTTGAAATTATTTCTTAATTGACATAAACTTGTCAGGGGATTTTCTAACTCTGTTTTTAGACTTACCTTTTTGACATTTGGTTGGTCCAATTATCATGACATGTACTGATGTAAACAGCATTTGAAAATTATTCTTTATACTTCATTACTTATCCATACCATATGTATTTTGAATCAAACCAATGATATCCATCACTTTTCAATAGGACAGGCATAAAATTGTTCCTCACTCTGTTGTTTTGTGTACAAAACTTAATAGCTTATGGTATATGTATAGAGCCTGATTTGTTGGATGGATTTTCATCATGTAATTTTTTATCTTCTCTTTCAGCAACTGAAGCATCCTAATCTTGTAAATCTCATAGAGGTATTTAGAAGAAAGAAACGACTACATCTGGTGTTTGAGTATGTTGATCACACGGTGCTACATGAGCTTGAGAGATTTCCGAGGGGGTAAGTTAAGATGTGGTGAAAATCTAATGTATAATATCCCATGATTTTTACTGGTCTATATCATGCCATTCTTCTACTGTGGATTATAACAACTGTCAACCATTCCCTGTTGAAACTAATGATTTCTAGACTTTATAAGTATGATTTTCTGTATTTGGAAAAGTTGTCAGCTGTTCATTTCTAATTTGCAATTTTCATTTTCTTTTCCAAACTTGGTAAACTTGATATCTATGATAGTATTTTCCTGAATGACAACTTGATTCCTTCATTGTTAGAAGAGATTTACAGTATGCTTTATCTTAGTCATTTAAATCAATCTTGGCAAGGGATCTTTTCTCTCAATTTCTGTCTGATCTCTTTAACACTTAATTTCCAGGTTTAAAGCTCACTATGTTTATTGTCGTTTGCTCTGTTCAGCTATATGTTGTCCAGATCTAGAGAGAACTTGGTAGCCTGGATTACAGTAACTTTTTTATGAGAAAGAAACATTGTCATGTTTTAATTTATTTTGAAAGTGTAACTTTTTCACTTTGGCATTTGATGGGTGTATACAGTTCTACTTTGCATTCCACTTTTGTAATATACACACGTTACAATATAGAGCAGTATGTAAAACCTACAGGATAAGTGTCCTTTGATATATGTGTTTCTGCATGACTGAGACTGAGCCAACTGCCAATAAAACATATTAACATTTTCCCCATTCAGAATAAATACTGCTTTGTTCCTAGCACACAGTATATTTCAACAGTAAAATAACATTGATGTGAAATTTCTTGCTGAAATCAGATAACAGAAATGGCATTCCCCATTTCATTTTAAAATAACTTACCAAGGTAATTATCAGTAATATGTAAGTCAGTGGCACCAATGAGGTATTTGTCATTTATTTAAAATCAAAATGCTAAAAACATTTAATGATGAATAAGATATAGATAAATGATCAAACTTTTCAAAACTATTAAATACCAGACTTTTTTGCAAAACATTTGGACCAAAGTGAGAAATATATATGTATGTGTGAATATATCATAATCTTTTTGAAATTAAAATAAAAGAAATTGACAAGTTTTGCATAATAAATGCTAGAGTTATCTTTGGGTTTTATCACCTTGTGTCTTCTGTGTTGTTCCTGGTTGTCATTACATATACTGTTCCTTGTGTTGAAATTTAATGATACAATTTGAACTGAATGTTTTTTTTTCAGAGTGAATGAGGAATTGGTAAAAAAGATTGTAAGTCAGACTCTAGAAGCTGTCAATTACTGTCATAGTCGAAATGTAAGTATAAGTTATAATCCTACACATTTAAAAATAATTTTTATAAATGTTGCTTTTCAAATTTGATGTATATATCTGGTAGTGGTGTTGTTTTAGAAAGTATATTTATATATAATATGTTTTGGATTATTTTCAGTGTATACACAGAGATGTTAAGCCAGAAAACATTCTGCTGTCTGCAGAACGACAAGTCAAACTTTGTGATTTTGGCTTTGCTAGAGTTTTAAGTAAGTACAGGTATTATATTCTGAGGTGCAGGTTATTAAGAAGCAAAGATCTTTTCACTTGAAATTTTATGAAAAAGTGTTCATCAAATATTGGAAAAATGATATGAAGTTTTCTCACTTTTATTTTCTCAAAAAAATAAAAATTTGCATGGTAGCCAAATAATTTCTGAGATAGATTTACAATTTGAACCTGATAAAAGAAGGGAAGTAGTCATATTGTAAGTTGGTGTTCAGAACATATTAAATTATCACAGAAGTAATGGCTATCACTTTTTTTCACAGCCGGACCATCAGATGAATACACAGACTACGTAGCAACAAGATGGTACCGAGCTCCTGAACTACTAGTAGGGGACCCCAAATATGGTCCTCCTGTAGATGTCTGGGCTATCGGCTGTGTATTTGCTGAACTGCTCTCGGGACAGGCACTGTGGCCAGGAAAATCAGATCTAGACCAAATCTTCCAGATTAAAAAGACACTAGGTTTGTATTATAACCGATTTGAAAAAAAGACCAACATATTATTTGTTTATTAAGGAAACGAAACATGAATGTTTAATACTGTATAACTGTTTTGTGTTCACATCAAATCATGTTGGATCAAAATTCATCTAAGGTAAAAATTTTCTTTCTGTCACAACAGGGGACTTATTACCGTCACAAAAATCTGCATTTTCTTCAAATATATTTTTCCAAGGACTGGAAATTCCAAATGTAGAGCCAGATGTAAGTATATTCAATAATGACAAAGCAAATGATGTAAGTATATTCAATAATGACAAAGCAAATGATAAAGCAATTTGTAATTTCTTCCCCAGGGAGTATACTGTATTACAAATTTGAATTCATGCAAAATGGGATTTAGACTCAATAAGTATACCATATTATTTTGAAATTATTACAATTTTGATTTTTTCACTCCATGCAATATTTTTACATTATTGGGTAAACTAATCGGTCCCCCTGAGCCCATAGAGGTATATCTGCCATCAAGACCTCTTAATAAATTTTCTGTATTTTTTTAATTGGTTATTGTGTTAAATTTCCTTCAGAATTACGAGCCCTTGGAAGCAAAATTCTCAAAGATTTCTGCACAAGCTCTGAGTTTTATGAAGGCAAGTATAACTATTTCATTACAATGACAACAGAGAAAAGGTATTAAACTTGTGAAAAAAGTAAAAATTTGAATACACAAAAAATAAATTTGTTCAACCTTAACTGCCCAGCCAGTTCATACCTGAAATAAAGAGGTTGAGGTTGGTGATATTCATTGGATACAAGTATTTGGCAACACAATCAGACTGAAGATTAGAAAATATTTTAAACCTATTATTTCATGAAATAAAAGACATTCCTTTGATGTTTTTGCAAATCTCAGATGATGTTGATAATGTTTTAATTCATAAAATAAGAAAAAGGATGTGTTTTTATTTTGTGGTACAGAACTGTTTGAAGATGGACCCTGCAGAGAGGATGACATGTGAGGAATTGCTAAAGCATCCATACCTGGATGGTATGACATTGCTTCTCGACACCAGCCAACGGAAAAACGAGCGCAAGAAGCAGCCGTCTCGGACAAGTAATCATGTGAGTACTATGTCTGATATTAGAAGCACTGTTTGGCTGTTTTACTTTAGAAGCAGAATCATTTCATTACCAAGTAGTTGTGTTCATATTCTTGAGTGTGAATAAAATCTTGCTCTAAAAAAGGAAAGGATAATATATTGTAAGTAAAATCATTCTTACTAGAAAATAATATGTATAAAATGTAATTATAAATGGTAAATCATTTCATGCTTTCAAATTATCTGTAACTAAAGAGACTTTGTAGAATTGAAAAATGTGGGTGGAAGAATTTGGAAAAGACCTAGGTGAACATTCCATTGAGAGCAGGATTTATCATGCGTAATGGTCACCCTACTATTGGACATGTCGAATCACTGGTTTGCTTGTGTTCCCATACTTTCACACCTCCAAGAGCTATTTAGAAATGATTCTTTGATTTTCAATTATGGCTTATTTGACATTTTTGTTCATGTAATTTGATTTATTTTGAAAACTACAAAAGGAAAATAACATTCAGTAAGGTTAAGAAACATTAACATATTTAATAATTGATTTTGAAATCAATGAAATTTCTAAGTTTATGCTATTCACACTTGATAATGGTAATATGTGCATAACATATAAAATCATATTTAAAACAGTTCAAAATCTATCATAGATATGAGACCCTGTCGAAGTGTCTCCTGAACTTTTTTTCTATACCCTCCTCTACCCTTCTTCCAATTAGCATCAGGTTACATGAATAGCTCGGATATAGCTGGCCTTGGTTGTAAGTGTGATCCTGACGATGTTACATAATATTACACAGACTTTGGCGTCATCATCTGCCAATTGAAAAAAAAAAATCTACATGAATGTTGAGGTGAAATTATTAGCCTCTATTTTTTTTTTGTTTGAAATTTACAGAATTTGCCGTACTTTAGAAATAAGGTCAGTATCCAATAGTTTTAGCTACAGAAGTCATACAATTAGCATCAGTTTATATTTTTTCTTAGAAAGTTGAGAGTAAACAGACTCCATGCTGTACCCTGTGGATTGGTACTTGTAGAGGCTTTGGGCCTCATGCCACACCCTTGGCCTTGGTCTTTGTAGCCAGGAACTCTATACTATTTAACCTATATTTTATATCCTATCTGCATGTCTTCTGTAGTGTAGAAACACTCTCCATTTCTTCTTTAATTTTCTTGCAATGATAATCTTAATCAACGATAACATGATCTTTCTGTGTCTTTCTGATCAATATTTTTCTACATTTGAAATTTAATAAAAACCTATTACGTAACTTTACAGAAGACTGAGTGTTGTATTAAACGGTGTTATACATACATGTATTCAGTGTTGTGTTTAAACTGCATGGGCTGCGTGTTACTACTGGTGTAAATATGTAGTAGTGTGTGATTTCTTTGGTTCCAAGGTTACTATTCCTCTCTGACAGACGGACAGCTGCAACTGCTGCGGGTGTCGATAGTGAGATAAGATAGTGATACAAAATGTGTTGCAGTGATATCATTTGTATTACCTGTTTCATGTTATCTGACATTTCAAGAGAAATGAAAGAATAATTTTTATCTATCTAGGTTTCATATGTGAAGATCTATTCAGTCTATTTTTTGAGCATATAGAGTATGAATAAAATTCCAAGGAAATCTTTTTTGCTGATGTTTGCTGATTTTGATAAAAAAAAAACCCACCTAAATGAAAATTAATATTTATCTTAAAGACCCTGTTGCAGTTGCAGTTTTGTGCACACTCTCTACGTACTGGTGGTGTGGTGACATTGATGGTAGTGTATGCACATCAAATTTCTTTAAAACAAATGTGTTGCTTTCTGTGGAGGACATTAGTCCCTGTTGGTACAATTAGAATTCTTTTTTTAGCCTATTCTATGGAAAAATAGGGCCGGATTAAGGAAGCAAAAAGTTGGCTTCAAATGTTATTATTGTTATTATGACTCGGTCTTGTTGATCTCTGACTGGTTCTATACCTGACATTCATGTAGGCCTGTTGCAGTGCTGTCTCTCTACTGAGATGAAAGACTTGTTTGAGGTCAATGTTTTAATGGATCATATCATTTGATTCACTGTATGTTACAGTAATTTGATGAAACTAAATGATAGATCACATCAACAACTTAAAATTTTTCTGACTGTAGAATATCCTGACTATTCAGTTCTATCAATTGAATGAGAAATTTGTCAGAGCTTGCCTTTGACTTTGAATTAACATCAATGTTAAAGGTACGTTTGGTGTGAGTGTCTGGAGGCAATAGTTTGGTCTTGGTACTATAATGTGTCACCTGACACACTAACATTGCTGTTGGGGACAGGAAAAAGAATGTGCTGTTTGGAACAATAATGAAAAGAGGTGTTATTTGGGACAATAAAGATAACAGGTATTGTTTGGGACAATAACAAAAATAGGTGTTGTTGGGGACAGTAGTAAGAACAGTTTTATAGCATTTGCTTTGTATAGCCATCATGTTCCCTTTGTCGTGTGCCATGTGCTGTCCACCGTGCGTAAACTTTCCACTCAAATGACTTTTTCTCAGTAACCAGAAAGCTCGGGGTACTAATATTGGGCCTGTAGCATGATGGCATTAAAGGCAACCAAAATTGTTAATATGAATGACCTTGATGTCCTTTCAATGTCACAGGGTTCAAATATGTTAAATGTTTGAATGACTTCTTTTCAATAACCAAAAGGCCCTGGGCTATGATATAAGGCCTGTAACATGCTTGGAGATAGGGCTGCCAATTTTGTTAATTTGAATGACATTGACCAGTTTTCAAGGTCATATGGGTCAAATATGTTAAAATGTTTTAATGACTTCTTCTCAATAAACAAAAGCCCCAGGATGCTGATATTAGGCCCGTAGCATTCAGAGATGAAGGGCTTCCAAGTTTGTTCATTTTGACCTTCTGTCAAGGTCACAGGGATCAAATGTGTTGAATTGCTTAAGCAACTTCTTCTCAGTAACCATAGGCCAGGGGTCTTTATATTTGGCCTATAGCATGCTTTTTCAACAAGCAATATGTCCGAAGTAATGGCATTTGTATATATATATATATATATAAAGAATATGATTTTAAGTTTGAAGAAAATATACATGAACCAACATTGTCTTCTATGTAAGCTGTAGTATTGTTAAGCAATTTATGTTAGGCCTGTTTGGCCTCTTTCATATATGGGTCTTCATAGTCGGTTGATCCTTAAGGCTTTGGGCCTCTTGTAATAGATATATTGTACGACATATATATTTGTATATGGTATGTATTTTTTTAGAAGTTTCCACAAAACTATACCATACATGTACATAGTTGACTGTTTGTCAAACTTCTTTAAATGTGCATTAGACTTTTGTGTGTGAATGAAATGGGATTTTGGGGTAGATACTGTGGATTGTTAAAAAAAAAATACTCTGAAGGGTTACAGTCTCTTTAGTAAGGCAATGGCAGAGTTTGGGGCAGTGAGCTGCGATTAGAGGGTCCAGACAGAAATAAACAAGTTGAGCCATGGTGAACAGATGGAGGAAGGACTTTATTGAGGGTTGGATTTAATTCTCAAATAAAGAGCAAAAAAGCAATAATGAAGTTGATGATCTCTTGGGACAAGAGCTGACTGTTACATTAAATATACACTAGACGGAAGTAGTGTAGTCCTTGTTTTGGAGACCAGGGACCAAAGCACTATTGCCTTTGACTTAATGACCTGTCTGTTGGACATGTTGTCAGTTATTTTTTAGATCACACTGCATGATTGAGCATGCTATTTATCTTGATGTTGTTATCAGAGCAGACCCTAAGTTTGAGTAATTACTAGAATTATTTTCTTGTTTTACATACTAAAAGACATTTATATTTATAGGTTTCAAAGCTGAATTTAGTTTCTTTTAGAAATCTCATCCCCCCAAAAATATATATAAACTAGTTCCTTTTATAAATTTTCTCAAAACATTATTTGAAAAGTTGATTGTCTGAAAAGGGGCAAAAACTATTTGTTGGTTATAAGTGAGTGATGCACCATACGTTTACTGATGCTTATGTAGGACCTGGTGGTGACAACCAGGAGTGGACAGGTTGTAGCTGATGGTTGTACCATTTTTATACTGATGGTTATGTTGGACAGACAGATAACCAGGTTTGCTTGGACAGGTTGTGGCTGATGGTTGTACCATCTGTGTGTTGATGGTTATGTAGGACCAGTTGGTAATAACCAGGAGTGGACAGGTTGTGGCTGAGGGTTGTACCATCTGTGTATTGATGACTATATATGAAGGACCTGTTGGTAATAATGTTTGACATTCTGGTTATCCAATGCTTAATTGTATCAAAGTGTTTATTAATTCATAATGTTGACCCTGGGTGATATTGATGTTATGGCAGATTCAGAGTGAATCAGCATTTGTAAGGTCGGTGTGTTGGTCTAGATCAGAAGGTGTGCAGAGAATCAAACATACGCTTTGATGGATGATCAATGCAATGACTGTAGTTGTGTTGGAGATATATCATATTTTTTCATTATATAAGTCTTTTGCAAGTTGCTGACCTTAAATCCTGTGCAGTCAAATTTTCCTACTAGGTTTTGATTTATGAAGTAAAGGCATACGAATGTTGACTCCTGATTCTGGCAGATGATTAAAAGTCTAGTACATAATTTGATATATGTTACTGGTATTTGACATCAATATATAATTGATGTTATTACATATGTCAACAATACAAGTTTATATCATACACCTGTTGTATTTTTAGATTGTATAACTGGGAAATATTACCATTATAAGTCCTCAGTAAACACAAAATTTGACTTTTTTTAAGTAAACAAGACTAGAATGTTAATAGATTATTAGATTAGTAATTTTTGTAAAACATTTTTCTTACATGTATTTAGATCTGTATTTAGACGTGAATTTGATTCATCATTTTCAGTTTTGTTACATTCAGATTAGAGTTTCCACTTCCTTTGAATGGCAACAATCTACGTATGCCTATGTTTGTATCCCAACAATGTGTTATAGATCAGATTGAATTTAACTGTTAATGAATACTTACGTGCAGTGTTTTTTAACCTGAATTTTTTAGCTTGTGCCTGTATAAGTTAAGGAAAATGTTGTAAAATTTTCATGGAAATTAAGAAGCTATCCCTGATCTTCCCCAAATTTGGGAAAATGACACACTTTTTCACCTAGAGGAAACAGCTAGATTTATTTTTTTGGCTGTAAAAATATCAGAGGTCAAAGATGAAGGTCATACAGGTATTTTGGTGCTCTGTTTCTGACCTAGAAGTTTTTAAAACAAGAAAACTTGTTACATCAAAAGAAACGCATAGCATTTTATATCTATTTCATTGGTTGATAGTTAAATCAATTTTCAATATTTCTTAACACATGTATGTGGTTTCATATTGGTGTAAGGAAGGACTTGAAATTCATAGATACCTTGGTATGTGTCCATGTATTTCTTATCAGTATGTAGTAATACAATGGTGATTTTATTATGACAACATCAGAATGTCCATGTTCAATTATTTTACACGTTTACCTCAGAAATGGAAACCCACAAAGGGGAAGGATAACGAGTACCACAGGGATGGTCAGTCGGACCAGGTATGTGTCCTCACTGCATGCTGACCAATGACCACTCCTACATAGTGGCCAGACCACTGTCTTGACACGCTAGATCAAGACAGCACTGGCGTATTTAACAAACAAAATCCTGGTATAAGGAACAAGATACTCTTACCAACTGTCAATTGAAACTTTCATAAAGGAAAAAATATAATGATGCATATGAGCAAGTTGGCCTACACAAAAGTTTTATTGAAATTGACCAAAGTTTTGGACGTAGATATTTTATTTCCTTACACCATAACTTTTGATGTTTTCTTTCTACATCAAGAAGTGACCAATTTCCTTATTCCACATCAAAAGAACAAAGAGTTGTATTTTCAGTGAAATATGGTCAAGATTTCACCAATTTCAACAAAAATGATTAAATGATTTTGTTAACAATAAGCTTTCTTACATTTGTAAATAAGGACATATTTCTAATTTTTATGGTGAGCTACACTTATCATAATAATGAACCTGATATTACCAGGTATTACATGAAAGCTGGAACAGGTTACCTTGTACTTAACAAATACCCTACAAATTTGATATCGCTTAGCTGTCCACCAGTATTGTTATATAAGCCAGTGCTCTCTGGATCAGTAGTGTGCAGATGTGGCAGAGGCACATTATTGTAAAGGACAAATGTACACTGTACTTCTATGTTGTCATTTAATTTTCTTAGTAGTTTTTGTTGGTGTATTTATCCATTGTCCACCAAAGTCAATTGTCCACCAAAGTCAATTGTCCACCATAGTCAATTGTCCACCAAAGTCAATTGTCCACCAAAGTCAATTGTCCACCATAGTCAATTGTCCACCAAAGTCAATTGTCCACCATAGTCAATTGTCCACATTGTCCGCCAAAGTCAATTGTCCACCTAAGTCTATTGTCCACCAAAGTAAATTGTCTACCATAGTCAATTGTCCACCAAAGTCTATTGTCCACCAAAGTCTATTGTCCACCAAAGTCAATTGTCCACCATAGTCAATTGTCCACCAAAGTCAATTGTCCACCAAAGTCAATTGTCCACCAAAGTCAATTGTCCACCATAGTCAATTGTCCACCAAAGTCAATTGTCCACCATAGTCAATTGTCCACCAAAGTCAATTGTCCACCATAGTCAATTGTCCACCATAGTCAATTGTCCACCAAAGTCAATTGTCCACCAAAGTCAATTGTCCACCAAAGTCAATTGTCCACCATAGTCAATTGTCCACCAAAGTCAATTGTCCACCAAAGTCAATTGTCCACCAAAGTCAATTGTCCACCATAGTCTATTGTCCACATTGTCCACCATAGTCAATTGTCAACCATAGTCAATTGTCCACCAAAGTCAATTGTCCACCAAAGTCAATTGTCCACCAAAGTCTATTGTCCACCAAAGTCAATTGTCCACATTGTCCGCCAAAGTCAATTGTCCACCTAAGTCTATTGTCCACCAAAGTAAATTGTCCACATTGTCCGCCAAAGTCAATTGTCCACCATAGTCAATTGTCCACCATAGTCAATTGTCCACCAAAGTCAATTGTCCACCAAAGTCAATTGTCCACCAAAGTCAATTGTCCACATTGTCCGCCAAAGTCAATTGTCCACCTAAGTCTATTGTTCACCAAAGTAAATTGTCCACCATAGTCAATTGTCCACATTGTCCGCCAAAGTCAATTGTCCACCTAAGTCTATTGTCCGCCAAAGTCAATTGTCCACCATAGTCAATTGTCCACCATAGTCAATTGTCCACCATAGTCAATTGTCCACCAAAGTCAATTGTCCACCATAGTCAATTGTCCACCAAAGTAAATTGTCCACCATAGTCAATTGTCCACATTGTCCGCCAAAGTCAATTGTCCACCTAAGTCTATTGTCCACCAAAGTAAATTGTCCACCATAGTCTATTGTCCACCAAAGTCAATTGTCCACCATAGTCAATTGTCCACCATAGTCAATTGTCCACCATGGTCAATTGTCCACCAAAGTCAATTGTCCACCATAGTCAATTGTCCACATTGTCTGCCAAAGTCAATTGTCCACCTAAGTCTATTGTCCACCAAAGTAAATTGTCTACCATAGTCAATTGTCCACCAAAGTCTATTGTCCACCAAAGTCAATTGTCCACCAAAGTCAATTGTCCACCAAAGTCAATTGTCCACATTGTCCACCAAAGTCAATTGTCCACATTGTCCACCAAAGTCAATTGTCCACCAAAGTCAATTGTCCACATTGACTGCCAAAGTCAATTGTCCACCATAGTCTATTGTCCACATTGACTGCCAAAGTCAATTGTCCACCATAGTCAATTGTCCAGGTTCATTCTGTAGTATATGTACATGTATTTATCACAATTTTATTTAAGTATTTTCAGTTTTCCTTCTAGATGAATATCTTACAAACAGATATTTCACAATAGCAGATTTATCGTTTTTTATTCATTTTCTTTTTTAAGATACAAAGTGTTGTTTCTGTCCTTCGTTTTTGTGATAAGAGGTACTTAGTTTCTGCATCAATCTCTAGTTAGATATTTACATATCTCTTGATCATGTCTTGTTTGGCCTGACAACAGGTGCACTGTAAACAGTGATGTCACATCTCTTGATCATGTCTTGTTTGGCCTGACGACAGGTACACTGAAAACGTTGATGTCACCTCCCCATTATCATGTCTTGTTTGGCCTGACGACAGGTGCACTATAAACACTGATGTCACATCCCCATTATCATGTCTTGTTTGGCCTGACGACAGGTGCACTATAAACACTGATGTCACATCCCCATTATCATGTCTCGTTTAGCCTGACGACAGGTGCACTATAAACACTGATGTTGTAACACTTTACTGTGCTTTACTAGTCTACATGTCCAATTTTTTTTAAGCACACATTGCATCAACACTATGCTGTCATCAGTTACAGATTTCATCGTCACATTTTCATGTACAACAACCAGTAGTGTGTAAATTATATTCCATGTTCATATTCTTCAACATTGTGAGGATTTGAAATATCGAGAGTAAGACAATAACAAGGAAATTAAATGAAACTGACATTCTTTGATTTTTTTAGAGAAAATTTCTTTTTTTCCTCTTTTTAACCTATTTATTTTCTGTATTTACTATTGTCGCCAGTATACTCCTCTGTAAGCTATTATATTCACATAACAATATTGATATTTATATATAAACTCTATAGCTGCCAATGAAACCTTACCGATTAAGGGAGGAAGACACACAGAGAGACTGTGAGGTATAGTTTACAGTTCTTTTTAAAATGTTCACAAGGCAAAATCTTAACATGAATACTGTTAAAAAAGATTATTTGTCCAAAAATTTTTTTTCTTTTATGATAATTTGTAGATCTCTCTATTTATGAGATGCTGATTTCTTTTCAAGGAAATGATATTGTTAGATAAGTAGGACATATTTTTTTTCTTATTCATGAAACTTTTAGAAAAAATAAAGAATACAGTAAAGAATAGGAAAAACATGGTCACTTAACTGACCTGTTCAAGTAGTGGTACTGAATGTCAGCTGTTTGTAATTCTACCAGAAGTGGAAGTCTTCATGGAAAGGGAAAGATGCTGAGTCTCATAAAGAGATAGAGGTACGCTGTGCACACTGCATGAATGTTGCCAGTTATGTCCAGTTGTCTGTCAGCTTTCCATATCTTGTATATTTTTTTTTATAATCTTTTCCCAAATGATGCACAAAATACTGGCTACCTATTGGATTTATGTTATGGTTCAGATTAGTATCTGAAAGTTTAATATTTTGTTTTCTGAGAAATATTATACGTATTGTTTAGAAAAACTTCTGATATCAAAAATTTATTGTAAAGAATGACTTTTGACAGTGTATTATGATTAATCTCTATTCAGAAACTCCATAAACAACATTTAATGGAATTTGTGTCTGATAACATGATTTTTCATTACAAAATTTTCTACATAAAAAATTAGCAGCAAATACACAAACCTGGACATATTTTTTTTAATACATTATTGACTGAATTTTGAAATACGCACAATTATTATTCTTTCGGCAGAAAGAAGATGTAACACATCTACATAAATGAACTCATTATATTTAATAAGTAGTATAATGTATATTACATGAATGTTTTGAACTGGTTTCTGTGTCGGTGCCGTCACATCTTGTATCCCTGACCACTAGATAAATATAAACACTAGGGTCTCATACACATTCATCCCCAGGGTTTACATATGAAAACACCTTTCAGCTGCCATGGCAACCTACAAAGTTGTTAATTTCCCATCACCTGTAGCCCTGAAAAACTATGTCCTATTTTTTTTATCATGTCTTGTGGTGTAGCTTCATTGCAATATTAATCTCCTGGGTGGAATCAGCCAGCATGTTGATTGCATTTTAATAACGAGATGGATGATGCTATGTCCAACATCGTAGCAATCAATGCCAGGAGTCTCTGGTAGATAATCAATAGTGGATTTTATTGGAAAAATTAACTTAGCAGTAATGTACTAAATCAGCTGTATTTGGTAGGTTGATTACATGAATATTGATAAAAATTGGGATATGATTAAGTGGGTTATAGAATTAAGAGATTTTTACATTGGGGCATTGTTCTTTTCTGTGCCTATATGCTGTACCATAACTGATATATATATATATATATATATATATTTTTTTTTTTTTTTTTTCGAAATAGTTTCGTGTGTTTAATATCACCATGAAAAGAGAGAGAGAAAAAAGTAAATTAAAAAGAAAAACCAAAAATGGAAAAAGAGCAAAATAAAGAAAAGTCATTTGCAGCTGATTTAGATTGTTAAAATTTTTCATAGCTCATATATGAACAAGAAATTCCAGGTCGAATTCCTACATTTTCTAACTTTCAAAAAGACCTGCATACTTCAAGAGTTATTATATAAATGGAAGGAGATTACATAACAGTTAGAATTTTTCTCCAAGATTTTTCTCTAAGATTTTTCTCTAAGATAGCTGAATCCTAATTCATTATATTTTTTTGGTTTTCTTTATCTTTTCTCTCAAGATTGACTTTTTGATGTCTTGGGCCTTTTTTAATTCACAAAAAAGATGAAAATATCTTTATCTTTATTTCCACTTTTAACTTAATCTTTTTCTTTCTTTAATGGAAAAAATCAGAATTAAAATGAATCATAACAATGAACTAAGATGAATTTTGTATTTTTTTTTTAAACTTAAAATGACCTGTATTTATGGTAGATATCATATCAGTGTAACATATTCTGTCAGAGAGTTTCAATGTTATTACTGTTGAGGAGTTGTTGCAGGGACAAATTTCATTTTTACTCGGTGAGCTTTTCATCAGTTGGCACTGAAATGACTTTTTGTCGTCATTGCCCCCAGGCCTCTGGTCATATGCTGCAGTAATCTGTACATCTTCGTGCATTGGGTGTTGATGGCATACTGAGGTATTGGCAGCATGACAAGGCTTCAGAGGTGAAATGACTGGCTCAATTGTCTGATGTGGGAATATTCTGTTCCTTTGTTGGTTGTGTCTGATTAAGTCTCTGCCCTTGGTATCACACATGACAGGCTTTATTCGTGATAACCAATCAGTGCATATGGCTTGTTTAAACATATTTTTGAATCAAGGTATTTCACATCAAATGTTCACCATGATAAAGATATCCAAAAAAATTTCCCTTTATTCATGAAATAATGATTTTGTATCTGTTGGATGTAGCCATGGAAACAGCCCCGGGCTCGAGAAGATGACATTCAGGGAGATGTGGAGGTATGTCCACAAATTGTAAATTCTTTTGAGTATGCTAAGCACAATGTTTTGATGTTTGCTTGCTACTTCTTTTGGATGGAAACTTGTTTTTCCAAGAGATTTTTTTTTTTTTTTTTTTAAATCTGGATGAAGCCTGATGTCCCTAGTGGATTTGTTAATGAGATATAGTGTACGGGTATCGTAGTGATTAAATCCCTCGTAATAGGACACTTGGTTGAAGGGTTGAGGAGTTTGTTCTAAAGAAATAAAGTGCCTAGTTAACCATGCAAATGGTTTTAGATGATTGGAAAATATAACAAAATTAACTGAAATTTCAATAAGTGTGTTATTTATTTTGAAATCATTAATATTATTTGTATTTTTTTTTTTTTTCTTATAAATAACTCTTTTGGTTTACATTTTAGCGTCATTTTTATAAACCGGTACATGTATGAATTTTTATACCTTAAATTTAGATAAAGAGCTAGTCTAAATGCATGCAAAATATGTAATTATCAGTAGTTCTGTTTATATCAATACTTTGTTCGGGAAATGTGATTACATGTAAAATTAATACTCATGTATGCCAAATAAGTCATCTGTTCCCTCAAGCAAAACTCTACATATTTATATGAAGGGTTGGTGTTTTTCCTTTAAAAAAAAAGTTAATTAATTCGGATGGTGTAAAATATTATAAATTGTAGATTTATCACAAAATTGCATGAACTTTAGTTTCTTAATTGCTTAATATCATACCTACTGTAAGATGGCTAGTCATGGAATGAATACTTTATATATGCTAATATATTGTAATCTGCATGAGATGTATACATAATACAGTATATGAACACAAGATCAGCTAGAATTAGAGCAAGATTTTAATATCATATGATGCCATAACACAAAGTGGAGAAAATATCAATATGTGACATACACTGTTTGATAAGTATTTATGTTGTTATTTTAGTGTAGATTATCATAAAGGAATTATAATATCAATGAATTTTTTGATAATACTGACAAAATTTTGCTGATTTGAAAAATATACATATTCAATTTAAATCTCAAAAAATGAATGAATTTTAAAAAGAAATAAAGATTCATGATAAATATGGAAAAAAAATTGTGAAACAGAAAATACTGCTAACTAGAAAATGATGGCTTCCTTTGTTACCTTACTCGCAGCGATGGAAGCCCATGAAGGTCAAAGACAATGACTACCACAAAGATATGGAGGTATGCCTAATCATAGTGATTGACCCTCTAAAGGTCATCTACCTAGATTTTTACTTTACTTTTGCTCACACGAAGCTTGATTGTATTTTTTTTTATTGAATATTTAACCTGTAGATTGTATATGACTAAATCTTATCTATTTAAAGAAGGACAGACAGAATATAGTTGTTCTGTCCTTGTGGATAATTTATCTTCATGTATATGATGAAAGGATACTGTTGTAGACAGTATTTTATATGAAGTCTCTGGCTTCCCCCAATCATTGACCCTTAACTGACCATTAGAACAAAGAGAGAAACTTGAGTGACTCAACAGTAATTGCAAAGGGAAACAACTATTGATACATCATTAAAGGGAAGTAACTCTATCAATGTGTTACATGCCCCTTTACCTAGGACAGGTGTGAGTTTTACTTTTGTCACACCTGTAGATCACTGGTAAGCCTGTCAAATGGAAGGATACAGATATACTTAAGGAATCGGAGGTATGTGTATTGTAGCCAGAGGTGACTACATTTTGTTTGTTTGGTTAGTTAGTAGCGTGTGACAGACAGGGACGGATAGTTCTCTATCTGTAGATGTAGTATGGACATGATGACCTTGCAGATTTTGTTTAAACAATTCAGACATCAATTATACTCCATAACTGCTTTATTTCTTTCTTATTCCTCATTGCCTGTCTACATACTATATTCCTTTTGTTGAGCTCACAGATCATACATTTTATGTGTAAATGTTGTTTTCCTTTCACTTTTCATTTATCATAACATTTTTTTCATTATCTTCAACAGTTAATAGGAAGCTTCGTTAAAAAGCATTTCTGCATTAAGTTCTTTTCATAAACAATTATATATGCCATGGTATACATGTTAGTTTAACAAATAATGTTAGATTTCTGTCAATGTCAGTCATAAAACTAGAGTTGATGGTTGGCAGAAATTGATTGCTCCTCAATCATAATGTCAGATTTGGGGTTTGGAAGAGGCTAGTGACATATTGGAGTTGGAGTTTGGGTTGGGCCAATCACAGAAACTGATTGTCCTGCAATCAGAAAATCCAAGTTGGATTTTGGGTGGGCTAATGACAGAAACTGATTGTCCCGCAATCAGAAAATCCAAGTTGGATTTTGGGTGGGGCTAATGACAAACTGATTGCTGTTCAATAAAAGTGTCTAAGTTGGAGCTTTGATGGGGCTAAATGCCAGAACAATTTTGAAAAAAAAAAAAAAATCAATTTCCAAAGTCCTTCCTCCATTTAAAGTTGCTAGGGTATATCTTAATAGTTTGCCTAAATCTGCCATAGTCTTTTTTTATTGTACCAGGTAAACATTCAGGACAATATACTAACCTTTATAGTTTATTGATAAGGTTTGCATGGTGGTGTTTGAGTGCAGTTTTAATAAAATGGAACAAAACCTTGCTGAGATATTTGGCTTTTTTTTCATCGTTTTTTGTTGTTGTTGAAAGTGACCGTTGGTATAGGGCTGCTATCTCATGAATCTGGGCTAATGAAGGTGATGGTGTTGTTGATATTTTCCAGGGTTTTTGGTTGGGTGGGGTGGGTGAGTTTTGGAGAAACATGTATGGCACACCAAAGCACAGGTAACTTTGATTGTGTGTCAATCACATTGATTAGAACTTACACAAATTTGTATCTGTTGGATATAGCCATGGAAACAGGCACGAGGCAGGGACAATGATTCCCAGAATGATCACGAGGTAATTAATTTCTTGCTGTCATAGAGTTATGGTAATGGCACAAAACTTCACAAACGTTAATGTGATATGTCAGTTTGATTCAAGGGTCTTGATTGTACAGTTAAGTATTATAAGATTCAGTTAGATGTCATAAAGCCAGTTTAGTAATGAAGATCAATTTGGAAATGTTTGATTGAAAATTTGCTATGATTTTTTATATTGTGAAATTTCTGTTTTAGTTTTGATTATATCTTTTAGAATACTGTCCAACATTTGCATATTGTTAAAAAAACCAAAAACAAAGATGTCAGAAATATTTTTTTGAGAAACATTAGTACATCGTTATTTGAGGGTTTTGAAAGTGAATGTGGGTAGTTTTGACAGCTTTACATTTGCGGTGTGATTAAATGTGTTTATGGTGTTGGATAGACCTGGAAACCATCAAGAAACAGAGATGATGACACACAGTCACGAGATATTGAGGTATGAATCTGTCCAAACCAGATCAATTTTTTTTTTTTTTTTTTTAAAAAAAAATTTTTTTTTCGTATTTTTAGTTTTTGATCAAGCAAAAACATTTTTTTAATGCTCCAAAACGGTAAATGGATAATTTGGTTGCATTTTTGAAAAAACAATAAAAAATTATATGAATAAAATGTGTGAGATAGAACGAAAGTTCTTATAATACAACCAGTGGAAGATTTAAGAGGGATATTTTGGTGACAATGTTGTCAACTTTTTCACACAAATGACCAGTGTGAAGCATATTAGCTCATACGTATGGAGAGTGAGATATTACGCAATCAACTGACTTTTTTGGCTGTACTATAACCCTAAGTACGTGTGCATGAATATCGAAAATAGCATGAAAAAATGGTAAAAAGATTATATGTTTTAACACTTGATTACAGTGAAAGTACTAACCATGCACAAGAGCAGTCACTGTACCATCTCCTCACTCCATATATCTGTGATGTTGATTCACACTGAATTTGTCATAAGAAGTTGACACGGTTGTCATCGAAACATCACACTAAGATATGCTACTGGTTGTGTTATATAAACTTTTATTCTATTGACATTACCAACCTAAAGAAGAAAATCTTCTGAAAAAAAATGTGGAAGACTAAATTGTGTTTTCTGAACCGTGATTACTAAACAGTGTTTAATATAGTCAAATTAACTTTTGGTAGTTGTCATGGAAACCAGCAAAAGTTAAGGAAGGAGAATTAAAGGAGCCTGAGGTACGTCCTCACTTGTCACCGTAGCGACACTATATTCGCAAATTGATCACGTTTGTTTTGTATATAAACGCAACAAGTATATGGTGTGTGCCAACATTCACAAACACGCAGAAACCTGGCTATAGTGACCACCTTTCTCTGTAGAAATTTGTCTGGTATCGGTTAACACAGGTGGTCGCTATAGCAGGTATTACTGAACATATGCTTCATCTGTTGCAGGCCGGTTCCTTCCTCTCTAAATCCTTCTAAATATAGCTTTCTGAACACTGTGTGTGACTTTAAAATATAACCAGGTGTTTTTCTGAAGTATTTCTTTCAAAGAAATCTAGATGGTTGGTTCTAGTCACTGCTTGTATACAATAACTTGTATAAAATAAAATAAGTTTTGTGTCATCTGGTGAAAGTGTTAAAATGTGTGGTGTTGAATATTGTTTACTTCAGATAGCTCATTTGACTCATGCAACCTTTGGTTGGAGTTGTTTCAATGGTCTGTTTTGTCAGATGGTCGGAGCTAGATATACTTATTCAATATCTTTTGATTTTTGTACCTTTCACCAGATTGAGGTCTGCGATTAAGTAACTTATCTAGTAATCATGGTCATCATGTCATTACCTTAAATGTTCAAAAAACATTAACAAAAATTTTCTGTCATCTTAAGGACAGATTGATTGTTCGTAAAATTGTGTTTTTATAACCATGTTTCCATGCTTTCCAGCCTTTTCCCAAATCATCTCTTGATTTTTTTAGTCACAGGTGATCTTTGAATTGAAGTCTGTTTTGATAAAGAAAAGATAATGTTTTTGATATATATATATATATATACATACTTAGGATTTTTCATTTTCATTCATGTGACAAGGAAATAAATGACACATCTGTGTTAGATTTTTAAATTCCTTTATCTCGCCAAGTCTTACCCGTCTTATCTCGGTACCTCCACATTGACAAAAAATGTGGCCTGTATTCTGCAAGAAATCTGTTACACCTTATGCATTTGAATACAAACTATCTTGTCTCTGGCTGACATTTTTTTTATAACAACTTAACCTTTGACAGAGATAAATCGAGATCAATCTCTCACTTATACAGATAACAGATCGATTGTACCAAATTATGGGCATATTCTCACTGATAAGTCGTCAACCTGTTATTGATTCAGATAGATAAGAAACGTATTAACTATTCATAGACATGAATATATATATGTCTCATATCCTTGAATTGAACTATGAGTGAATAAGAATGTTCACAGCAAGCTTTACTAGTATAGAGTTCAGCTGTAAGGGGTTAATATCTTTGATATGAGATTGTGCTTTTCAAAGTTACAATCAATGATCCTAAGTATGTTTTTTCTAGATATGGAAACTGGTGTTAGCTCTAGAAACCAAATTACTTGACTCATGGGCTTCCACTGTATTTCAAATTAATTGCATGCCTATATATAAAGTTGCACTTTAAAACTAGCCCATCAGGTGACAAGAGTTCCTCTGCCCTTAAATGACCATAGCTGGTGATAGGATGTTCAGCAATATAAAAACCTAAACATCTACTGCCACATCAGGGTTATGGCCCTTTTACATTTTACATAGTCAGCAGCATCACCTATGTTTTCTGTCACAATTGCTAAATTTTGTGAGCCAACATGAGCATTGCCTATTGCGAGTCCTGTTTTTTTCTTTGTATATAGAGTTACGGCTGTTTGTTTAGAGGTTAGTTACTGTATAGCTCACAAAAGTAGACCTTAAGTTTGATTATTTTTTTTTTTTCGTAATTAATTAAAAAAGCACAGAACTGAACTGGATTCTTTCATATGGAAGAAAAAAATTTTACATTTGCATTTAGTACGTTGAATATGGTGTAGTAAGTGAGAGTAGATGTGTTTTCTAATGATTTTCTCTGTTTTTCCACAGCTATTTGTTTTATTGTATAATAAACAATGCATGCCTTGCTGAATATGTTTTGTATTTGCAATGTTCCTCTTACATATATTTCATCTGATCTATACAAGCTTATATTGCATTAATCCCCTCTCTTTACTTTTGGTTTGTGATATATAATGTCCTGATGATATTAGTACTTAACCCAGATCAGTCAGCTAGATAAAAGTGAATGAAGAAACGTTCTTTTAAGGTTTTCTGATTAAATGCATGTATTTGGTTGGATATCAAGTTATTATATAATGTACTAAAAAAATTAACAATGAATGTGAATATGATGATCAAAATTTCAAATTTCAAATGAACCTCGTTTTCCTTTAAGATTACTTTGATTTTTAAAAAAAAATATGAATTCATACAATAAAATGGAATAGAATTATCACTTATTACTGAAAGTGTTGAGGAGATTTTCAGGGTTGCTTCAACCTCCTTTATTTAGGTTTTCAAATTTCATGTCATATGGGCAATATATGTATACATAGTCAATAAAAGGGGCATCATTTAAAGTTTTAAAACTGATTGAAATGGGACTTCAGATTAAGAGTCCTGTACACTGCATTTTCCTTATATATTTTTATAAGTAATGATTAAAGATAAAATCTATTAGACTAATCTAGAATTGTGAAATTATTTTAACTAGAATGAATATTTGAGGCAAAATTCTTTTGTAGAATGTTTTAGGTATGGATTTCAGGAGTAACTGTGATCTGCTTACATCTATATAAATTTTCTGTTTCGATAAATTTACCTTGTAAGTGTCTGTGAGGTTTTTTTTTTTATCGCTTGTATTTCAGTTTTATACAAATCTAAGGATCTTTTCTTAAATTTTTTTTATAAAAACTTGTGATTGATGATTTCTCATCTTGTGTAAATTGTAACATGCAATTTTTTTCTGTTTGCAGACAAACTACAACATGTTGCCGGTTCTGAATGCAACCAACAACACGTCTACCTCCCCTGCCCCGAAAGGGTATGTTGGGAAGAAAAATCCCCTCCACGACCATCACCCTGCGAAGCAGAGTCACGACCACCATCATCACCTGCCGAACATCTGACTCTATGGCCAAGGGGTGATGCGTCATGACAACTAAATGTCTGTTAGTTGTCATAACACAGAATCCTGGAGGCCAATGTTTTCATGGTGTCGGGAGCAATGGACATGTGTTGTGCCTTCCACACCCTTGTCTGCTGCTTCTCACTAACACCTTCGATTTGTTTTTAGACAGACTATAAGGTACCCCCGCATCATCCATGGTTTGCCAAAATAAGAAACAATGTATCGAAATTCTATATACAGGCAACAGATATTGCAAATTAGATGAATAGATATCGAAACATCGATCAGAATATGTTCCAAAGAAAAAGAGTTCTAAACAACCAAAATCACTAAATTCTATCGGTACTCTACACATTTAGTGCTGATAAAACAAAATTTGGCTTGTGACAATTAATAATTGAAAGTAAAATTGAAGTCTTTTGATCAAACATTGTAATATTTGTAAGGCAAGAAGTCATTCTGAATATCAATACATTAGAATCTCATTATAGAAATCTGTACACTTGTTTCTCAAGCCATGGATAAAACATTCAGATTCATTATGAGCAACTGCTAGCGGTAGACAGAGCATAAAGACATGTTTGTGTGATTTTCTCAGTGCCCAATTATATAGACTTAATACCTATGTAATTGACACAGATCTAAACCTCACCTGTACCTATTTTGGTGATGTAATTGATTACATTTTTATGAGAATTGTGTATGTATGATTTTTCCATTGTTGTTGTTTTTGTTGTTGTTTTTATGTGACTTTTTTTCAAAAAAGTAACTGGGGTGGTTTAGTTTTTTGTTTTGTCCTTAATTGTTAGCTGCATAGACTTAATTGTATGTTAGCTGCCTATTGCTGAGAGTTTTGTATGAGAATGGAAGGGGTTATGAACGTATGTTAGCATTACAAACCACAATGACTGTCGATGCGGGGAACCTACGGGTGAATGTCTGTATGCTTTGCACTTACAATTTTTATTTTATTTTGTTCTTCGATTATATCCCTAAGTAGCTATTAGAAAATTACTTCATAATTGAAAATGGATGAGAGATTTTTTTTTATATTTAATTATATAAAATTACTTGATCTAACTGTTTAATTGGCTGGCCTATTATGTAATTTGTCATCAAAATATTTTTTCTTTTTTGAAAAAAAATCATGAATAGTAATACTTTGATACCGGTATCAGTGACTATTATAAAACACTCGTCTGTTGTGAATAATTAGTTTTATTTATTGGTTGTGGGTACAAAGATCGAAAATTGAAATATGGGAACAAGTTACATTCTCATTAGCCAGTCAATTAAATAAGTATTAAGGTGATATTTTGCCCTAATTACAATAAGAAATTTTTACAAATATTTCTTTTGTTATTTCTACAGATCTGCCATAAAAAAGAACTTGCTATTTTTTCTAAAGAATTAAATGCCAAGTTACTGTATTATCTGTCCTGTGTATATATACTATATATATTGTATTAGAGCTCATTGGGAGCTGTTTATATTTTGGCACCAAAATGAGTTTCTAGCCAGTGCTGAGCAATAGGATTCAAGAAATTTTACAAGATTCTACCTGTAATATCAAGACAAAGAAACTTTCATTAAATACAATTGGTTATTTTACAATTTGTATTTTTTTAAAATTGGTTGGTAAAATTACGAAAGAAAGTTCCTACTAAAGAAATGTTCCAGTTGTTAAAAAAATAATAAAACAAGAAAAATTTGTGTACACAAAAATAGGTATCCAGACTTATGTTTTTACCTTTTTTTCCATGCCATTCTCTTTGCCTGTGTGTAGCTAGCATATACATAATCAGAAAATTCAATAATATGTGTAAATACCTGAGCACCCCTTGTCACTCCGTTGCTTCCGAATAGCCTCTGAAAATTTGCCTCCAAAGTTGTACATTTTTTATTCATTGACTTTCAATAGTGAGGTCATTAAACATTGTAATTTCTGGATTTTTTTTTTTTATTGTGTTTATATTTTTGTGTTACACAAAAGTACCTCCTATCATAAATTTGTTGGCAACAAAAGATATGATTTTTACAGCTGTGGATGCTGAATAGCCATATATGGTATTGTGTGAATTGGCTAGAAACTTAAAGATCTACATTAGATCAAGGTCACTTAACTCATTGTTTTTTGATAAGAATTTAAGTAATTTTATTTTCATACCTGAAATAAATTTTTGAATTTTATCATAGTTTTTATTACATCAAAATGGTGACATGGATATGTGATATGGGAGTGTTGAATTCCATCTGTCTCCGATGAAGATTCAGCTATTTACAAGATACATTACATTCCTGGGGAGGAAATGAGGAAACTCCCCTCTCTCCTCCATAAATCATAGTGCTTTTTTTTTTAGAGTAAAAGGGAATGTATTACTTTGGATTCTTGATTATGCTGTTTTAGAAAAAAAAACCAAACAAACCAACCACAATTTTTAGCTGAAAAATCTATGAATCCTCATTGTTTTTGAGCAAGGTTTATACACCTTGTATTTGGGAATGCTTGATAGTCATGTTGAAATGGAATATTACATAAAGCTTTAAAATGTATCTTTGACTATGAACTATATGTGATATACAGACATTAGTTAGAATGTTTTGTGTACTGTTTGTTGTAAAAGAATATTTAAGCCTTGCAAATTATCATGCAGTAGGTTGGTATAGATATATACGAAAGGCCTACTTTATGTTCATCAGTTTAGTTGAGTTGATGCACATTGGTATGATTTTTTCTGATTGATGTATTTTTTCCCCTTTTTGACAGAATAGGCTAGATTGTAATGAATATTAATGGATTAATATGTAGTTTAGGATGTAATTAGTAATCAGTATATAGTAGCCATCATGGCATTTCACATTCCTTTGAAGTACATTACTTAATGAAATCAGTACAAAATAAAAGTTGTAAAAGAGATTCTTTCATGCAGAATTGTCCATATTTTTGTAGCTTTTATCATGGCTTTTCGTAGAAACAAAATTCAAAGCTTGAGTTTGAAAATGATCATTGAGAAAATTTTTACATTGATTTTATTTGTTTTCATTCTTTATAAACAGACTCATGAACGGTGAGTTGTATAATGCAACAATTTATTTGAAAAAAAAAGAGAAACAATATAAAGACATCATGGTAATTACTGTAATAAGACTTTATTTTCTGATATCTATATTAATACAAAATTATAGTTTTGAAATCACATTTTCTTGCATTGTAACACAAATATTGACTAATGTGGAAAGTTGCAGTGAGAAGATGTTACCTGGTACTGAGTGATACAACATTTTTTTGTATTTTACTAAATTTACTGATAATCAAAATGGTTTTACCAGTTGCATTTCATGTCTGATTGGTGGACAGTAGTTTTGTTTGTTGTTTCAATGTTTATATGTTATGGTGTCTAATATCTTGGAAAACAAGACTTATCTCCCTTTTTATTCCCTTCTCTGATTTCTACCAACAGGACAACCATGTATCCATGTGCCTTGTATGTGCCTATTTCGCACTTGGTCGAGTTTAACGTCTGATATGTTGATATCAATCTAGTGAAATTATGATTTAGATAGAAGAAAAGAAAAGTTGTTTTAATGTTAGATAGATCAGAATTTGCATTGTCTGAACTTTTATGATAATGAATCTAGTTAAGATTTTTTTATGAAAAAGCTTATCATATTTCTAAACTATGGAAATTTCTTACCTCGTTTTTGCTTTTTCTTCAATTATCGTTTCCAAAAAAATCATTAGAGCATGTTTAACATTTAAATTTGGTTATGGGAAACATTGGTGGTCGAAGATGCTTCACTTATTTGTCATCTTCATCATGTAAAGGTGAAGTGTATGGTCTCGCCCACTGAGGCCAGAGTTGATATAACCATATTCATTAGAAGATTCATACAGTAGAGAGATCAGAAAACTAATTTTTGTTCATTTCACTCCTGTTCATTCAAGATGGATTAACAATTAAAGGATACTGTGTTTTAAACAGACCTGGCCACATAAATCTCCACATATAGCAAATTGTTGTAATACAATGGGTCATAATTGTAAATCCTTCTGTCAGTATATTTTTTTTTTTATATTTTTCTTTTATTTAGAAACTTCAATATTATAAATTGCTTTATTAACAACATTCATAATCCTATATTGTAATGTTACAGCTCAGCAAAACCTGCATTTCATACATAATTAATATTTTTTTTTGTATGTGTCAACTTACCAGTAATATTGAAAACAGTTTTGATATAAACAATTTTCTGGAAATTATAATGAAAAGTTTGAAATTTATAGTTAATTTCATTTGATTGAAAAAAAAGTAAAGTTGAACTACATAGCTATAGTTAAATTTTCAGAAGCAAGGTGAAGTCATTGTTTTAGTTTTCTAGTATATCTGTTTTGGTTTTGGATAGGAATAATGGTCATTAATTACCTTGCTATGGTGTAGAGATGTCATGTTGAATGTTACGATACAAGATGCTATTTTGGACATTTCTACACACACTGATGTACTTGTAGTACTGTAAAATTGTGTTTTCCAAGGTAGAAAGGGATTGTTTCTGTCTTTTTTTTCAGAAGTCAAATACTTCAAAGTAATAATCCATGTCAAATTTAAATTGTTATTTGTATTTAGAAATAAATGTTATCAATAAAATGATCTTGTACATGAGTTATTCTTTACTGTGTCCTTGTACAATCAAAGAAAAATATTGATAAATTTGTCTTTATCACAGTCATACACTAAACAATATTATTCAAAGGACGTCAACATGCATCAGATGAAGAATAGAGAAATGTGACTCGCATACAAATACTTAAATTTATGAAATATGTTACCCGTATGTAAGTAACAGGTAAATGTCCCTGTAACATATAATACTGACAGGTAAATGTGTATGTAACATAATACTGACAGGTAAACATATGTAACATGTAAAACTGACAGGTAAATGTGTCTGTTATGTACAAATACTGACCAGGTTAACGGGTATGTAATGTACAAATACTGACCAGGTTAACGTGTTTGTAATGTACAAATACTGACCAGGTTAACGTCTATTATGTACAAATACTGCCCAGGTTAACGTTTTTGTAATGTACAAATACTGACCAGGTTAACGTGTCTGTAATGTACAAATACTGACCAGGTTAACGTCTATTATGTACAAATACTGCCCAGGTTAACGTCTATTATGTACAAATACTGCCCAGGTTAACGTTTCTGTAATGTACAAATACTGCCCAGGTTAGCGTTTCTGTAATGTACAAATACTGACCAGGTTAACGTTTCTGTAATGTACAAATACTGACCAGGTAAACATGTCTGTAATGTACAAATACTGACCAGGTTAACGTCTATTATGTACAAATACTGCCCAGGTTAACGTTTCTGTAATGTACAAATACTGCCCAGGTTAACGTTTCTGTAATGTACAATACTGACCAGGTAAACGTGTCTGTAATGTACAAATACTGACCAGGTTAACGTCTATTATGTACAAATACTGACCAGGTTAACATTTTTGTAATGTACAAATACTGCCCAGGTTAACGTTTCTGTAATGTACAAATACTGACCAGGTAAACGTGTATGTAACATATAATACTGACCAGGTTAACGTGTCTGTTATGTACAAATACTGACCAGGTAATTGTGTATGTAATGTACAAATACTGACCAGGTTAACGGATATGTAATACAAATACTGACCAGGTTAACGGGTATGTAATGTACAAATACTGACCAGGTTAACGTGTCTGTTATGTACAAATACTGACCAGGTAAATGTGTATGTAATGTACAAATACTGACCAGGTTAACGGATATGTAATACAAATACTGACCAGGTTAACGGGTATGTAATGTACAAATACTGACCAGGTTAACGTGTCTGTTATGTACAAATACTGACCAGGTAAATGTGTATGTAATGTACAAATACTGACCAGGTTAACGGATATGTAATACAAATACTGACCAGGTTAACGGGTATGTAATGTACAAATACTGACCAGGTTAACGTGTCTGTAATGTACAAATACTGACCAGGTAAACGTGTATGTAACATATAATACTGACCAGGTTAACGTGTCTGTTATGTACAAATACTGACCAGGTAATTGTGTATGTAATGTACAAATACTCACCAGGTAAACGTGTCTGTAATGTACAAATACTGACCAGGTTAACGGGTCTGTTATGTACAAATACTGACCAGGTTAACGTGTCTGTTATGTACAAATACTGACCAGGTTAACGTGTCTGTTATGTACAAATACTGACCAGGTTAACGTGTCTGTTATGTACAAATACTGACCAGGTTAACGTGTCTGTTATGTACAAATACTGACCAGGTAAATGTGTATGTAATGTACAAATACTGACCAGGTTAACGGATATGTAATACAAATACTGACCAGGTTAACGGGTATGTAATGTACAAATACTGACCAGGTTAACGTGTCTGTTATGTACAAATACTGACCAGGTTAACGTGTCTGTAATGTAAAAATGCTGACCAAGTCTGTTATATAATATACAAGTGCATTGTAAATGTGTCTACCGACAGGTTAATTTTCTAACATACAAATATTTATTGATAAATGTGTCTACATTAATGCTTGTAAGGCACGTAGCGTTCAGAATTAGCAAAGGACATAAGTTATGCAAACATTCTACATTTGAAAAGTCATAATCGAAATGTGACATCACTTATACAATTTTTGTAGTCATCAAATAATCAACGCGAGAAGTCGTCCAGTTTTGTCTGTAAAGATTAGTGTCGGTAGGTAGGTAGGTAAGTTTTTATTTCAATGTTTACATGATTTTGCCACTGACTTCTGAAGTACCACATATAGTTTAAGGAATGGTTAGTGTCGCGTGTGTGTATTATGAAATGTCACACAGTCTGTGTCACTGGACATCTATGCTGTATGATTTTTGAAAAAAAAAAAGATGAAAACAAAAATCAACTATTAAAAGACCTTTCTGAGCAATGCAGAGTTATCACATTCAGAAAAAAACCCACGAGAGATGGCATACTTGTACTTATTGTTTGGTGTCCATTTTGATTTTCCATCAATGGTGTCTTGTAAGTTGACGATATGGTATTCCATTTCTGTGAAGTTGTTGTTAGTTGTTAGTCATTCTTATAAGATTGGATATAGGCGCGAGAGAGGTTTTATTGTGAGAGGACACCGGAGTATCCGAGGGAAACCCACGTGGTCAGGCAGGTCACCCCTTACTTTTCACATCTGTTCCGGGAATCGAACTCCGGATGATTAACTGAAAGGCGAGTATGTTACCAATGCGCCACCCGACCACCAATATAGGTAATAATGAAATGCAATCAATGATTAAAAACAAATCTATTTACTCAACTCAATGTTTATAAATAAACCTATTTACCCGACTCAATGTTTATAAATAAACCTATTTACCCGACTCAATGTTTATAAATAAACCTATTTACCCGACTATAAATAAACCTATTTACCCGACTCAATGTTTATAAATAAACCTATTTACCCGACTCAATGTTTATAAATAAACCTATTTACCCGACTCAATGTTTATAAATAAACCTATTTACCCGACTCAATGTTTATAAATAAATCTATTTACCCGACTCAATGTTTATAAATAAATCTATTTACCCGACTCAATGTTTATAAATAAAACTATTTACCTGACTCAATAATTATAGACAAATATATTCACCCGACTCAATAAGTATAGGCAAATATATCTGCTCAACTCAATGGTTATAAACAAACCTATTCACCCGACTCAATAATTATAGACAAATCTATTAAATGAGTTACTGTAGACTGGTATATGGAGCAAACTCAGAGTGACTGTTGCTGTAGATTTCGTTGTCAGGAAACAGGAAATTTCTGTTTTAAACTCAAGTGGACAAGAGTATATGCATTGGTGTCAGGTGAACTTTATTCAACGATTTATACAGAGAGAAATATTGGTTAACTGTAGTGGTAACAAATTCTTGTAGGATCAACAAAATTTCACAATATTTATCTTTTCATTATTTTAATAATTTTATAAATATTTTCAAAAAATCTCCTAAACTGTAAAAGATATCTTCATAAAACTTGGTTTGTAGTTGCATCACCTGAAGGAGATATGCAGTGCACTACTGAAAGTTCAATACTGTGACCTTGACCTTGTGTTCAAAGGTCATGAATATTGTGTTTGGGCCAAAACTCCTAAACCATAAAAGATGTCTTTATCACTGGTATGTTTTTGGTCACCAAAATAAATTTCATATAACACATGTACTACCAAGTAGTTTGAGTGTCCTTGGGTTGACCAACCTCAGCTTCACACAAAAGTTACTAATTGAAGGTGTTTGCATAGGATTGCTTTTCAATTTCAAAGGTCAATAGTCAATGTAAATAGAAAATAAATTTTCATGTGGTAACTCTAGTTCAATTATCACCTTTCAACCTGAAAGTACACAGTTTCAGAATGTAAACAAGGGTGGCCAGAAGAGTCAGTATCCCACAACGAAGAAGTGACTTCATCATCAGTACATGACTCTTCAAGTTCAGATGAAAATTCAGGTGATGAGAATGCCATGATCAATGACCATGTAACAGAAACTGAGCCCATCACTTTAGTTGCTGAACAAAAAGAATGTCTTGTTAAGACACCATCTGGCAGTGAACAGTCATCTAAGAAAAAGAAACGCAAGACCACCCTCAACAAGTTTCTAAACCAAGGAACTCCGTTGATGTCTTGTAAATCAACACAGATGGCCACAGAGGTGCGTACACCACCAACTCCGACAGAAATGCTGGAGGCTGGAGGAAAAACAAAGAAAAAACCAAAGGACGATAATCAAAGTAAATAACAAGGTGTAAATGTAATGTAGATCAATGGAAAATAACTTTTGGGATTTGTATCCTTTTTCCCTCCAAGATCTACAAATACAGTATCCATGAGAAAATACAACCGTAGTAAATATATAACAGAGAAAGTAGAAATTAAGTTAGAAATATGTTTATTTACAATGTAGAAAATTTCACTAAAGCAATCAAACATGGTAATATATGTATGAATCACAAAATATATCCCATACAGAATGTATGCCATATTAACTACATAAACAGTGTACATGTATTTACACTGTACATATATACAACGAAAAACAACACAATGTTAATTATGTCATACAATGTATAATGTAAAAACATACCGAAAACAACACATACAACAAAATGTTACATATGACAATCGTAATCTAAATATCAAAATATTAAATACATCTTACAAGGTGTATATGTATAAATGTATGTATAATGATAAAAAAAAATACCTGTATATTACATGATAAAACTCATAAAATCATTACTCAGTTAAAAACAGACAATATTTTCAAAACATTCAAAATGAAATACAAATTGCACTGTATAACGCTAAACACACAAGGTCTCAGAGAAATACAAAAAAGAAACAGATTTTATGCATGGGCTAAGGAAAAAAAAGCCAATATCATATATATATATACAAGAGACACATTTCATAAAAACAGACATAAATTATATCAATGCTGAATGGCGAGGAGATATGATACATAATTTCGGTACCAGTCAGAGCAGAGGAGTATCTATATTACTAAAAAATAGCTTGAATCATGAGATAATAAATACATGGTCTGATGAAAATGGTAGATGTATTATGGTAAATTTACAAATACATGAAAACAATATTTACAATTATCAACATATATGCCCCAAATGAAAAACAGCAAAGAAACAGATTTTTCAAAAAAATTAAAAACAAAATAGAAAAGTTTAAACAGGGCATGATAATAATTGGAGGGGACTGGAATGACATACAAGGTAAAATTGACAGAAAATCAGTGAATAGAATACAGAAATGTGATAATGGCCTTACTATATTAAAAAGAGAACTTAAATTATTTGACATGTGGAGATTAAAAAATTCTACACAAGAACAGTTTACTTGGAGAAGAAAAAATAACAAACAAGAAGCAAATAAAACTGACTACTTTTTGATATCAAGGGAAACTCCGAAATTGATTAAAACAGATATCCGTCCTGCTATAATAAAATCAAGTGACCATCTTGCTGTTTCATTAATCCTGCTAGAGGCCCAGGATATTGGAAATTTAACAAGAGCCTACTAAACAATGAAGAATGCAAGAATAGAATTGGTGCGCAAATCGGATAAATAATTTAATTGGTTGGAAAAAGGCGAAAAATACACTTAAGTATTTTCTTACTCTTGAAAAGAAAGACAAAGACAAAAATTAATAACAAAAATTAACAGTGAAGATGAAGTTATGCTGACCAAAAGACATTTTAAATAGACTAAGGCAGTTTTATGAAAATCTTTGAAAGAAAAAGAACACGGACCCTGCAGACATTTTGAACTATATTGAAAAGACAGAATTTGAAAAAGGGTTAAAACAGCAAGAAAGGCTATCCTGTGACAGGGCTATAACTTCAGATGAAGTTGAAGAGGCAATAAAAAAATATGAAACTCAATAAATCACCAGGCAATGACGGTATAACAGCAGCATTCTACAAGGCTTTTCTGGCCTCACCTAAAGGAAATTTTAGTAACTTGCTTCAATGAAAGTTATAGGAAAAAAGAATTAACAACACCTCAAAAACAGAGTACCCTTTCCCTACTTTATAAAAAAAGTGATCCCCTAAATTAAAAAAATAAACTGGCGCCCAATCACACTTCTTAACATTAACCATAAAATTCTAGCAAGGTGCTTATGAGAAAGATTAAAATCCATTCTTCCAAACATAATTAGTTCCGACCAAAATGGCTCCATTAAAGGTAGATATATTGGATATAACATATGACAAATAATAGATATAATTGAAAACAAAGATAAATTCTAATTAAAGAAAGGTCAATCTAGCACTCTCTACAAAAGGGTGGGTTTTCATCTTAAATATGTGCGTCCCTTCTAATCTGAATTCCTAGATCCGCGCCTGATAAGATCAAAAAAAGGAAAACCATAGATATCTAAGACAGTAACGGGTACAACGGCATTGTTCGAGTAACCTCCCTTCCGTCAGCTCTTTATTTGTTCAAAATGGCAGCTTTCAGGAAGGTACGTACACTGACAGACGGAAGCAGAGAAGTTTGAATTCACAGACCTTTTCGAAATATGTGACTAGATTACACCCAAACAATAAATGTGTTTATCCACATAAATTCATTGTATGTTGCAATATCTTGTATATATTAGCTGCCTAAATCATGTATTTAGTTGTAGTTGTTTCACTGATACCAATATATTGATACTGTCAAATTTTAAATGATTGCGTATTTTACAGCAGAAGATTTAGATGCTTGCTCAAACAGGTTTATACAACACTGTGCAGGAAGACCTTTCTTGAATAAAGGATATTATACAATGTCTAGAAATGAAAGAAATTACTCTTACTGTTTTCCGGTATACCTATTCCGTAGAATGAATTTTGTAATCAGTTTTGTAAAATGTTTGATTTTCCGGGCACTCTCAAACATCAATGAGGTGAATAAGTCTAAATTATGTTCCACTATGACTTGACAGTTTTTACACTCCCAGAAGGTAAAGGTATGGTAACTACACTTGAAAGTCATTTTATCAATTAACACAACAGACGTGTGAGACAAAGTGTGGTATGCAGTGTTTGGTGTGTTTGCTTTATGTCCACTCACATTAAAATTGAATGATTCCTTTTGTACAAGTTTGCTATCAAAGTGTAATTGAATTTACTTGAATATCAAGGGACGTATCTGTATTTTTATAATACATCCCTGAAATATCAAATACAGATGCAGAATTAAGATATGCAGCCATTCTTAAACTTTATATCAGCATCATTTAAATTTTATTTGAATTATCTGTGAACTTTTGATCATGACGGTCATATTCCTCAATGCTGACATGACATCAATATCTCGGTCTTTAAATTTACAAACTGGGCAATACAAAGTCCCTGTCAGTCAAAAGTCTTTAGGAAGTATATTTGTGAATAGTTGATCATCTTGCTCCAGTATGTTTTCTCACCAAGTATAAAAAAAATATAAAGAACAAGTTTTGTATAGGTATTATTTCGTCAGCGGTGTCATTTTTCCATGATAACTTGAATTCACTTTGGCCGATCAACCTCTTACTCCAAACAGTGCTTCCTTACCAAAAGTGCTTGCTTGTGATTACCTTTAGATCCGGAGCTAAAGATCAAGATCACTTCTACTATAAATAGAAAATTCAGTTTTTTCCAATAACTTCAGTGCCCTTTGTCCGATTAGCCTCAAACTTCATACAGTATTTCTTTACTAAAAGTGCTTGCTTGAGATTGCTTTTCAGGTCCAAAGTTCAAAAGTCAAGGTCACTGTTACAATAAATAGGAAATTCATTTTTTCATGATGACCTTAGTTCCCTATCTATTGCTGTTGTTCCATAAAATTTATTTCCAGATACTTCACTTGGCAGGTGAAACATTCACTTCCACGGAATTCTTGTCTTTTTAAAAATCATACCACGAATATGGTGCTGCAGAAATATAAAATTAACTGATAGGCCCATCACATGTCAACTAGAGTAATTAGGATAAAGTATCTTCTCTAGAGATACAACCACATCAGCATCACAATTTGTAGCAAGGGAGCATTGAAGCACACACCTATGTCATTCAGACTTCTCCCGAGTTTGTGCAGGTCAACACTCTACTGACTGAGCTATCATAGCCCCTATATTATAAGGAGAGTATTTCAAACTGAATAGTTTGAGCTTGGCCTGGCCATCAGCCATTTAGCAGTATCTTCCATTTGATCATCAGACCCGAAGGGTCATGATGACCTATAGCATTTCTGTTTTGTCCGTTGTCGTCCACCGTGTGCTGTTTGCCGAGCGCCGTGTGTAAACTTTTGACATTTCAAACTTCTCAAGTTCCATTAGTGGGATTGAGCTAAAACTTGCATGAAATGATGGAAAGATGGTTCTGACCAAGTGTTGTTATTTTTCAGGTATGTCTGAAATGTCAAAGATGGCTGCAATGGCTGCCATCTTGAAAAACATATTTAAAATTCTTCTCCAGTTCAACTGGTACCATTGAGCTAAACATTGCTGGGAATGTAAAGAAAAGATGGTCAACAAAGTGTTTTTATTTTTGACCTTGTCAAAAGTTCATTATTGTAGCCAGGGAAGCCATTTTAAAACATGATTGTACAATCATGGTTTTCCTATGCAACACATACTTTTGGTTTAACCAGTTAGATTGAGCTCCAACTTTACTGTCAAAAAAAAGGTAACACTTGTTACAGTTACCTTCTCCTCACCAAAACTGCCATCTGCATCATGGAAAACAGCTTCTTCATAAGATGTGAATCAATGTAGAAAAATAACCTTTCTCCCTTCTGAAAGTTTATGTAGTCAGATGAACATTAAGGCCCATGGGCCTGTTGTTTATAAGAATAATCAGCTCCTTGTATTACAGTGTAAGTAAGAAACTGGATATATCTAGAATATTGTCTAAAGCAAGTGGTTCACAAAACATTTGATTTGATGGAAAGTATGAAGAATTTTCTAAATCTACTTAAACTAAAATAATATCCAGTGTAAATTACTAATGGATACTTATGTATTACTTATATCGTCTTGGATGTAATTGTTAAGTTAGCAATTTATAGTCCTGAAAGATTGGTTCATGCTGATAATATTATATTTTGCACATATGTTGAAATTCTGTTGTGACCTTGTTGAAATTCTGAAGTGGTAATTGTGAAATGTTTACTGTAATCAACAGGTAGCCATGGAACATCCTGTTAAAATCATAAATATATTATAGTTTAAGGTATTAACTTAAAGTATCATTATAATCTTTAATTGCAAAATACAAGATGCTAAAATATTCAATGCATACATTTTTTTTTCTGACAACAGGAGTCACATGATGATGAAGATGACTATTGGTCAGGGAAGAGTAAAAAGAAAGGCAACATGTTCGACGATGATGTAAATATATTTTTGTTTTGAGAACAATTTAAAAATAATTTCTAACTGCTGTATCAAACCCCACTTTGAAAACCAGAACCAAACAAGAGGTGTTCTGAATTGTAAAACAATTTAGATGCAATATTTTTCAAAAATTTCCTTCTACAATTGTATTTCTATATGTTCTTATTCCTTATTTGAGTTTTGTTTTGACCAAAGTGAGCTGTTGTTGATGAGGCTTTGATGGAATACCTGTTTTATTGTCATGTTTTACACTGTAGGTCAGCGTGGAGCAGGCTGAACAAATGGCCAGGACCAAAGTTTTGTTGAAAGCAAATGATTTTGATGAAGAAACAGATACTATTAACTGGGATGGCTCCAACGTTGCGGTAACAAACACATCAAGTATGTTCTTTTGATAAATGTTGCACTATATACAATAAAGAATATGAAATTTTTCATTTTTCTTGGCAAGTTAAAATATGAAAGATTTTGATTTCATGAAATGATTATCCTAAAGTGAAGTATGAATACTTAAATAATTAAGTCACAAAAAAGAAAAAAATTATACGATCCTGTAATTGTTTAGACTTAAAAGTTCTGCATTACTTGCACAAGACTACTGTCTCATTGTACTCAACTCTCCTTATATCTCACATCACACATCATTCCCTTAAGTACCTACCAGGAAGTCATTTTCAGTGTAAAGAAAAGTGCACCATGCTCATTTTCAGAATGTTTAGAAAAAAATGAAAATATGTTCTTTGAATTGTTATGTATACCATTTATATTACACCTATATATTTATAATGGATAATAATCTCCTTTTATGGCAAGACTAATACTTTTGAGAGCATTGGTGAAAATCGTTGGCTTGATTAAAGAGTTCTATCTATAATCATGTATTCATATTATTTGCCTTTCTTTTTTTACATGTATGCTAGACAGCATATACAATTAGTCCATTGTACTTGCATATTCAAAAAACCACAGCACAGTTTTACTTTACTTCTCAAAGCATGTATATATCAGATGCATTTGTTTTATATGGTAGTAAGTGATGGTAGAAGTGCTAGATAAGTAGAATGCATTTTCACCTAGTTTTCTATATGTTGTAATGAATAGAATGCTGAAATGTGCATGTTGATTGTGACCTTTCACCTTCCTTTGCCTTGAAATGCCTTCAAAGAACAAAGCCCAACAAAGCCAGCACCAGATATTACCTCCACAAAAAAGAGTTCCCCTGCTACACTAGGTCCTCCACAGTCTCCCAATATGTCCACACTGCGGACTCAGACCCATTCAAGGTCACAAAGTGTCACATATGGTAAGTTGAAAACAAACCCAGGATCATGTTTGATGTAATGGTTATTTCATAGGCAAACACATTACTTACCTTTTTCTTTTATTTAGTAAGTATATTAAGAAAATAGTTACTGGACAAGTAGTTGTCACGCTTCAATAATCTGTATCATGATGGTGAAGCCTTCATGTTCACATGGTCAAGGAATTCATATACATGTATGCTGCTGTCATTAAGGTGATTTAAAATGCACCTTATGAGTAAACTATACACATTGAGGTTAGTTTATGCAGCGGAGATTTGAGTTGAGTCAGTATTTATCAAGCTGTGATTGAAGACATGCTAGCAAGCTCAGCTTTGTGACACTTTCTAAAGATGAGATGATGGCAGTTTTTTGACATTGTGTTTCATGATGTATGAAACTGTTTGTTTGCTTGAGTGAAGTCTAAACTGCTATCTAGTCTAGAAATTCTGTATGACATTGCAGTTGTTTTGACATATTGTCAAACTTTGTGCTGATTTGAACATTTTGTCAGGACAGAGAATTTGAGCTATTGGAATAGATTTAGCAGTCTGTCAGGCATTATTTGGACATTCTTTTCAGTGTTGCACAATTTTGGATATCCTGTCGGTTTTTGGAATAATTTAGGGAAGTTGTCATGCTAAGGAATAATTTGGACATTTGTTTCAGTATTTTGGGGGGAAATTGTGGTGTGCTTTGTCCGATACAAATTTTACTCCCCATTGCACTTATTATAACTGTGAGTTACACAGTCACTTAACAAAATAATCAATTGCTGTTTGATACATGATATGGATGTACTGTATACATTACTTGCTGTATATACAGATTATGTAAATAACCAGACTTAACCCTGTGGTGAGATTAAAAATGCTTGTAAAGTATGCAGAATTTCTGTAGCTATCATTATTGTCTATAGTTTCTTTGGACCTAACTGCCCTGTTCGACATTTCAAACACTTCCATATCTCTTTTAAGATATTGCTCTGAAATAAAAAAAATAAAGTTTGACTGAATCAATGTAAAACATATTATTACATATATACATAATGCATGCATATTTGTTCTGTTCAGGTTTTTTGGACTTGAGTAAGCTGGTGCTTTATAATGTTTTTCATGATTGTAAATGACGAGGCATGCATGAAAATGTCGTTCAATTGAAATGATGAAAGTTGTATTTGAATTGGAATTTCAGCAATTGCAGAATAATTTGACTTTTACATTTCTGAAATTAAAATACAGAATACATGTATTTCCAATTGCATATCAACTAAGATATTTGACAATTAATTTGATAACTCAATTTGAATAAAGTTGTACACATTTATGTTTGAAGCAGTGTTATTCACATATATACAATCAATACAGTAGTGCTGTGCAATAAGATATGTCTGAAGCTTTTATGTCCAGGGAAAATAGATTTTTGTTTTATGTATGTATGTTGTATTTAAGCATGTATTCATGTATTTGCACATATAAATAACTTTTTCATATTTAACTTTCAGGTCCCAGTCAATCATTGATATACTGCATATATTCCCATGTTAGTTGACAGATGAAAGTTTACAAATAATTAAATGGAAAATTACAAAGTGAAAGTAGTCAATCTACGAATCATAAACATATTTTTCTGTGTAAAGGTATCACCCCAAGTGTGTCTATCCAGCCAGCCTCTGTAACCAGTTCCTATAGCAAATCATCAGAACGTCTTTCTGGCTCCTCCTCCAACATCAGTCTGCAAGAGGGTAGGTGTAGGGCCATTTTAATAATCAGGCACTTGACTGTTTATATCTTATTCCTTAAATTGATTTTCAAAATGATAGGATTTTATTTTAAAATTGCCTTGTTTAGATTTTGTACTCTGAAGATCATTTTGATGTATTTTTTGTTTATTTCGAAATTCATTATAATTACAGTTCATGATTGATAAACCATGCCACTATTGTTCCAGTTCTTAAAAGATTTAGATCTACATAATTCTTTTTTTTTTTAATTATTTTAGCAGTGTATTTTACGTTGTATCTTTGATTCAACATATTCATCATGTATCACTTCGGTTGTTTTTTACTCAGCTGTACTTACTGTAGCATAATGTCATCACTGAATTTATTTGTGTTTTTCATTGGCAGTGGTGTCCAACAGTGCACCCAAAGCCCAGTCTTCCAATGACAGAGCAAAGATGGCAGAAGAGATTCGCTTTCTACAGCGATCACTTGAGGTACGTTCTATTATTACAGTGACAGGGTTATTTTAGAAACAGACAATCACCTGAAAACTGAAATGTAATGGAAATTGCTGTCAGTTATTGGATTCTCGACCCCAAGAATTAACGTACATTGACCATTTGAAAATATGTGAAAATCTGGTTTATCTAATTTTATATCATATTTTGCAACATAAAATGTATAGTTTTTCAAATACTGGAGACAAAGCATGAAAGTAAAAAGAGATTTAAAATGAAAAAAAATGTGTAAAGTTACATAGTAACCACAAAAATTGTTACTCTTGAAATGGTCCTGAGGTTTAATTACACACAAATGTTTCAACATTTGATTTCCTACAGGGTGCTTTAAATTGTGTTAGGGGTAATATGTACATGTAGTAACTAATTATTGTATAACGGTCATCAATGTAAAAGTTGTTAACTTCCATGCTGTGGTAAATTTTGTGTTACAGAGAGCGAAAGAATCTGGTACCACCAAGCTGTCTGTGAACGACACTGTTAGATGTATGATTACAGGAGAGGTAATTTCATTTTCTATTCTGCTATGTTTGACTTTTAGATGTATCTATTCTGATACATCGTAGTTAAATTTTTTAACCTGAATGGTAGTGCATAAGTGTTGTTGCAAGAGGAATCCTTTAGAAAACATTCTTGGTGAAGTAGGCAATCCCATTACTATTCATGTGAAATCGAGGAATTTCTTGCTGTTCAGATGTAGAGTGACAGGTTGTCAGCTACTTTATTTCAGACTGTCTAATGTTAATTCTGACATTTTGTGTCATTTCTCTGAAATCTGAAGTCACGTCTGACTGATTTCTTGTTTATTAGATATGAAAGATGTCTACAACTGATAATTTCTTGGATATTGCAGCCATTCAGTTTGGAAGTATATCGATCAAGGGAGGAAAAGTTAGAACTGCTTGATCGAGCTATTAAAACACATGACGGGAACGCCATTATCACTGTAAGTATTTCAAAATATCCCACCATAAATGTATGTACTGTTTTTGCTTCCACACAAAGTCAGTGTTTATAACAAATTGATTATAGATAGAATGTATTATCAAAGTTAAACAGGTATTTGCTGTGATTTTTAGACACTATGAGTCTGTAGGATGACTGGCATTTACAGCCATCACCAGGATCAGCTGTTACTAGTAAGCTAGGCTAATTATAGCCTTGACCAAATTTTACACCTTAAAAATACCCAACAACCAACATATACTGCACATACACCTTTGTGTAAAGGTCATAAAATGTGTTTTGAAATTAATTCAGATGTATATAAGGTAATTACATAAAAATATATAGATGTTGTGTTTTAAATGACAACTTGAAACTTTTTCATGCGGATATCACTATGCTTCTTCTGTGTTTCGAAAAAAAATTATATCGCTTTTCACTTTTGAAAATTATATGATAAAAACACTGACTAGTATAGAGTTGGCTTTTTATGATAAATTCTGGTGGTAACCTTAATTAAATTACACTTCTATGACCGCACAATTACAATTTTAATCAGACACGATAAAGCAAGATATATTTCTAAAATTTTAAAAGCAGAGAGTAAAAAAAAAATTCCTCCTTTTTTTTAACAGATAGTTCTGTTCCTGCAAAGAACCATCAAACCTTCCATATTTAATCTGGAACTACAGAAGAGACCCGTTGCTGTGAACCAATACATCAATTATCTCAAGTACCATTATGACTTTGAGGCTCTTGTAGATTTACTCGGGTAAATGATATTACATTTAAGCCATCTTAGATATGATGCTGTAGTTAACTGAATATATCCTCACAAATTTATTAGGATAAATAGTATATATATGTTTCAAGTTTACACTAAGTTTCAAGCCAGTGCTGATAGTTTTATAATAGGAGATTATGAAATTAACACTGGCCCTTTTCACATGAATGTCTCTTTTGGATGAAATTTATTTATGACATAGTTTTCCAACATTATGATAACAATATATTAATTTGATAATTTAGTAATTCTGTTTATATGCATACTTTCTGTATCAAAATGCAGCTGAAAACAGAATTAAATTTAAGATATACATCTGGTTTACAGATTTCTGGGTAGGAGTGAAGAAGCTGCAGTAAGTACAGTTGTTGGTGTTAGATATGTAAGAAACTTCCTATTTGTAAAATGTTTGAACTAGAAGGAAAATATTTCAAACTGGAAACATATTTTAGTAACAGTGTTGGATTTGATTAAGTTAGTTAAAGTGTTAATAATAGATATTTACATGCATAGTATATCTTTTATCATATAAGACTGTGACAACTGCCTGTACTGTAATCTGCTATTAAGGTAAGCTGGTCACTCATGAACTCACTGACCACTGCCTGTACTGTAATCTGCTATTAAGGTAAGCTGGTCACTCATGAACTCAGTGACCACTGCCTGTACTGTAATGTGCTATTAAAGTAAGCTGGTCACTCATGAACTCATTGACCACTGCCTGTACTGTAATGTGCTATTAAGGTAAGCTGGTCACTCATGAACTCAGTGACCACTGCCTGTACTGTAATGTGCTATTAAAGTAAGCTGGTCACTCATGAACTCAGTGACCACTGCCTGTACTGTAATGTGCTATTAAAGTAAGCTGGTCACTCATGAACTCATTGACCACTGCCTGTACTGTAATGTGCTATTAAGGTAAGCTGGTCACTCATGAACTCAGTGATCACTGCCTGTAATGTAATATGCTATTAAGGTAAGCTGGTCACTCATGAACTCAGTGACCACTGCATGTACTGTAATTATTGTATACCGACTGGTATTATTGTCTCTGTAAAGGTAGACAGACCACTCATGAACTCAGTGACTGGTATTATTGTCTATGTAAAGGTAGACTGACCACTCATGAACTCAGTGACTGGTATTATTGTCTATGTAAAGGTTGACAGACCACTCATGAACTCAGTGACTGGTATTATTGTCTATGTAAAGGTAGACTGACCACTCATGAACTTAGTGACTGGTATTATTGTCTATGTAAAGGTAGACTGACCGCTCATGAACTCAGTGACTGGTATTATTGTCTATGTAAAGCTAGACTGACCGCTCATGAACTCAGTGACTGGTATTATTGTCTAGGTAAAGGTAGACTGACCACTCATGAACTCAGTGACTGGTATTATTGTCTCTGTTAAGGTAGACTGACCACTCATGAACTCAGTGACTGGTATTATTGTCTCTGTAAAGGTAGACTGACCACTCATGAACTCAGTGACTGGTATTATTGTCTCTGTAAAGATAGACTGACCACTCATGAATTCACTGACTGATATTATTGTCTATGTAAAGGTAGACTGACAGCTCATGAATTCACTGATTGGTATTATTGTCTATGTAAAGGTAGACTGACCACTCATGAATTCAGTGACTGGTATTATTGTCTCTGTAAAGGTAGACTGACCACTCATGAACTCAGTGACTGGTATTATTGTCTATGTAAAGGTAGACTGACCACTCATGAACTCAGTGACTGGTATTGTTGTCATCTGGAAAAGTAGACTTACCACTCATGAACTCAGCGACTGGTATTATTGTCTCTGTAAAGCTAGACTGACCACCCATGAACTCAGTGACTGGTATTATTGTCTCTGTAAAGGTAGACTGACCACTCATGAACTCAGCGACTGGTATTGCTGTCTTCTGGAAAAGCAGACTTACCACTCACTGATCACAACTTCCATCTGTATCTCACTTGATTTATGTGATCACACTTTCAGATGTTTAAATACAAACAAGCCATAAACACAAGTGACCCTGGTGTTAAGATAAAGAATTTAAAAACCTGTCACAGGTGAGCATTTTATCTTAAAATGTTCTTTGTTTGAACTACATGTACTGTTTATTTATTTCTGCCAAATTTAAAACCAAGCAGACTTTACTTAACCAAACTTGTTTAACTGTTTTACAATAACATTGCACTAGATTCTTATGAGTACTGAGAATTATTGCTGGATTATCACAAAGATAGCTTGGTAACTTGAAAGGGTTAACCCTTTTGCATTGATCTATTGCGTTCAGCTTTTATGTATGCCCTCACTTTACTGCTAAAAAGGCTTTAAGTATTTTTTCTGTCTGTTTGTTGTTTTGGTTGAACTTGTCATCTAGCTCAATTTATACTGGAAATTTTCTATTTAATTCTATTTCCATCAAGCCTGATATACATATATATATATATATATACACATTACATACATTCTCTAGTTATGTAATTGTGTTGTTTTTTCTTTCTTGTCACACAGAGCACACTTTTTGACAGAGCAGGGACTGTCTCACAACACATCTATGTTGGAGGAACATATCTCCCTGTTGGAGCGACAACGACCAATAGAGGTATGACTTACGTCAGTCTGCTTTCTTTTCTTCATCATTTTATCAGATCAACACTATACATCATCCTATTTATATCAATAGAAGAGTCTTCTATTATAAAGCAGTTTTACATATTGAGTGGCAGCTTAAATGGATGTTGATTAGCTTGCTTGATGAACAAATTTCTTGAATAGCTTTCTTGATGAACAGATTCCTTGATTTTCTTGCTTGATGAACAGTTTTTGTGTGGTCTGCAGAGCTGGCGGACACTTAGGGATCACTTTGTCCGTCGTCACGCTTTTCTGGACTTTCTTTGGTTATGCTTTGAGTTATCAAAATGAAATTTACTATATGGCTTCTTGTTGGAAGGGTACAGATTAAGTTTGATTTTCAGCTGTCTGTGACCATTCTTGGCAGAGTAATGCTCCCATGAACTTAGAAAATTCTCTGGGAATATTGTTTTCTGGACTTTTTTGGATTATCCTTTAAGATATTGAAACAAAATTTGGTATATGGCTTCATGGTTGAACATTACAGATAAGGTTCGATTCAGGGCTTTCTTAGCAGTGATATGTCCCTTTGACTTGGAAAATTTCTCAAGAATATTGTTTTGCACAGTTTTCCCTTTATGCTTCGAGTGATAGAAATCAAATTTGGTATTACAACTTTATGGTTGAATGTTGCACATCCAGTTCAATTTCTGGGTGACCGTGACATTTTATACAGGTGACACATACAGTTTCGAGGCACTCTTGTCTTGATTAGCTTGCTTGATGAACAGATTGCTGGGACATTATGGGCTTCTGTGTACAATTATGTACATTTGTGTGTGTAAAGATTGTAATCTGTTTATTATATGCATATTTCAATTAATTCAAAATTTATTATGATATATCAAACATTACACATGGATAAAGTACTTCATACTGAATTTATTGTAATTGACACATTGTCCATCAGAACTAAAGAATTGCTATTTTGGAAATGCATTTAAAAGAATGATGGTTTATTTCATTTGTGTCGGTTTTTTTCTGTGCCCTTTTGATCTGTCCAACAATGTTAGATTATCTCCCCTTGTTGTCACTCTTTTAGGATGCTGATGCCAAAGATGAGCAAGAAGGAAAGGTGCAAATATTCAAGACCTATCCACGGAAGTCTTCCATCATCAATATGTCTGTGATCACCACACTTTACTACTGTTGTTTCTACCATGCAGGACTTTCAGAGGTGGATATATATAGTTGAATATATAAATAATGTATTTTTATATAAAAATAATGTATTGTTATATAGATAATGTATTGTTATATAATTAATGTATTGTTGCAGGTTTAATTAACTCATGGACATTAGGAAGTTTAATACTCAATTATTTTTGAAATCATATAAAAATGTAGGAAAAGGTTTTGAATATGTTCTATAAAAAAATGGGCCAAACCAGTCCTCTTTTCTGTTGATACAATGTCAGCTTGCAAGAATGAAACTGCAGTGAGAAATATTGACGGTGGTGTTTGTACGTTGAATGTTTCAGAATTCCCTGGCTAGCCCAGCTGCTATAAAAAGAGATTATAAGGTAAAGTGATAAAAAAATATGGAGATGTGTTATTCTGGTATCTCTATATTGCCTTTTATATAATTAAGAAAATGTATAGAATATTCTTTCTATTTTTCAATTAACTGGAGATGTCTAACTTTGTCAAAAAAAAAAAAAAAAAAAAAAATAGCAGTTCTGGTTTGCGATTAACATATCTATCTGCAAACACACTACAATGGTATTTTATCTCTTGTCCTTTTGTACATGCTCAATTTCATGTCAAATTCAGTTTCAAGTTTATGTTAAATTCCATTTTCTTTAGTAAATGAATTTTATTTTGGATAGTTGACAGATAAGCAGTTTATGTGGATTGCCCTGAGTGCCAGATCCAGACTGAAACAATGGACAGGAATAGAGGAGCTATTTATGACAAAGGTAAATAAAGTGTAATTGTTTATGAATTAAGGTAATAAGAGGAAAGAGTGTATCAAAAAGTAATTTACAATGAGCACAAAAAAAGCAAGTTAATTGTTCATAACTTTAGTGACCTTTACAAAAGATAGAGAGGATGGAGACTTAACATCAGGATTCTGCAGTTTATTGCTGGTTTACATGCTAGCTAGGTCAGGCTCTGATGATGGCTTGCCTAGCCAGCTGAAACATTCAAACCAGCAATGATAAACTACAAAATCATGACGTTGAGTCTCCATGGTATTCGTGATTTGTGATTCCTTTAATAACTGTTCTATAACTGTCGATATATATGATGTGTAATGCTGTATTGATACATAACCCCTTTGACTATGTGACTATTCTTTGAACAGGGATGGTTTGGAGGTACAAAGTCAAAAGCAGCAATAGGATTTGATCGAGTTTGTGAAGTACTATACAAGACCAGTGCTCCATTAGATGTAAGTTTCCTTCATTTTTATCAAAACAATTTTCAAGTATAAAACAATCCCTTACTAACGTCATAAATTAATGGAATAGATATAAAATACAAAGTATAAAATACCATGGTTAAATAGAAAGATTAAAATCAGCATAAGTAACAGAATTCATTCCAGTTTAATATAGATAATATAGATTAACTTTCCATCTTAACATGCATGAACCTCTAACGTAACATAGAACAAAACTTTGTCTAATTCTGAATATATTTCTTTCTGAGAATAAAAACGTTTCATTTTGTGTATTTAATAAATGGTTTTGGGAAAATATCAAGATTTACAAAATATAATCAATTAACGTTTTTTAGAGAATATTTCATTGTTATCAACCAGACTGTTAAATTTTAACTGTTTAAAATTTTGCTATTTGACTGAACCTGCTTGTGTTTCTGTATACTTTCAGATACTTTCCAAATACCTCAGAATGGTTGATAATACAGAGAGGAGAATCGCTCTTGCCAAAAAGATGAAGTGCCATGATATAGTTGTTGATGTAAATACAGCTCATGATATTTATTATGTATCAGGAAATTTTTTTGATTTCCAAACAAAATATTCTTATATTCATGTAGACCTGTAGCATGTTTAATGGAAAAGGTCTGATTTAATAGACATGATCTGCAAAATTAAGAGAAAGTCATGGGATTTATGAAGTTTTTTTTATAAAAAATGCAAATAAGGCACTGTGCCTCCACATAATTTATTAACAAAATTTACTGCATTTATGTGTTAATTTTTTTCTCCCAGACATATGTTGCAATGAAAGATAGAGCTGAACTGACAGAATATGCAAAGAAGATGACTCCACATTCCAGAGAGGCTTACTATGCACAGGATGCATTGAAGAGCTCAGTAAGTGTTTACAGATTTTTGTGACTTGATTTTGAATGATAAATACTGCTTTCTGTACATCCACTGTGTTCCCTTTTCACTTGTAAGTTTGTTATACTGTTGATGTAGAACAAAGTCACTTTTCTTTTGAATATCTCCATGTCAACTCTGTTTTTTCAGCGTGACAAAAAATTAATCGAGGTTATTGTATGCATATACTTCAGACTTTGATTACCAGGTATATGAAAAAAAAATTCAACACAAAAATATGAACATTATACTGACTTGTTAGGCTTACATGTTCTTGTCATAGATGTTGGCAATTTTATGTTTGATACGAACGAATGTTTGTAATGCAATGACCTCACGGAGTTTAACTTGGTTACATGCTTGTTTTGCCATTGTGACGATTTCTCTTGGGATTTGTTTCAGACTGTGAAGTGGAAGAATTGAGATCCTACAATGTTGTGTAAAAACAAGCAGACTGTGATATAAAACCTCCCCCTGAGGACAATACTTCTTTTGTAATTTTGTGAAGGACACATTCCAGACACCAATACATTACTTCTTTTCCCAGGTGGTTGAATTGGGTAATTTGCAATATCTGCTCTGATAAAATAAGTAAATATTTAGTCTCTAGTTATTGGTCAGCAGTGTCATATACATCTGTTACCAAATGACTTCTACTTTAAACTTTGAGCAATTATATATAAAGTTTATTCATTTAAATGAGAACATGTTAATGTAACAGTTAAAACTGATAATTATACAGATTATACGCAGATTTTGACGTACTTAAGTAACACCTAACTTTTAATAAATAGAAACAGTCCAGTTTTATCAATACAGGATTTATCTTGAAGCAAATTGTGTTTAATCCACAATATTATTAGGTCTGTTCTAGTGATAATGAGGAAGTATAGAAGGACTATTTTGATAATCCCACCATCCATAGTTATTTTTCTTCGATGCATTCATTATAGAGTGTATTCTGAACACTTCACATTGTACAGTATATACTGGACACATTACACAGGATTTAAATGTCATTTTTAGATACCATCTCAATGCTATTATAAATAAGAAATCCTTCCTGCCCACCCCTCCCATTAACTTTTGGCGTAACCCATATCTTGAGACAAACATTGTAATTTTATTTCATTACCGGCCAATACTGGTTCATAATATATTTACACATTCAGTGGTATGTATCTTTTGATGCATAACAATTACTACTGACTTTTCCTACACTTGTCTTGGAAAAGCATACTGTTTAAAACAATTTTTTTTCTTTTTGGAAACTAGTTTGAACATTTTTCCTTACTCTCTTGAATCTGAATGTCAGATAAATAGAATCCTGCATTTGTGTCATAACAATATGGAATTTACTTTTTGTTAAATAATTTGTTTGCCAAAGGAGAGTTGATGTATCCAATTATTGAACTTTGAAAATTACATTGCTGTTCCTCTGTTTACGAAATCATAGTTCTTTACATTCTTTACTTGAAAAATGTAACAAGCAGAGTGTTTCAAGCTAAACATAGCAGAGTTAGGCTTTCAGCATTTTGTCATAGCCTAGAAGTAGATGTTACTACTAATCCTAGCTTTCTGATTGGTTCAAAATTTCCAACAAGTTACCAATGACCTCTAGTTAGTTTTTAATTTAGCTATAAGTGTTTACATAAAAATGTCTGATTCACCTTCACATGGTTGAGAGGCTTAAAGTCTATTTTCTTAATTATCTGGCCATATTTATCTTGTAATAGGCCCATGTGATAAACACACAAACTATGACTTAAATCACTGTTGTTTTTAATTCTATTGAATGGCAATAGATATAGGTGTGGTTATTACCAGGTTATACAAAGTGTTGGCAATTGGTTGTAATTTTTATGAATGATTATCAGGCCATTTGGACCAGTCGATGATTGACTAATAATTAATTATGGGAAGACCTACATCTCCATTTTTGCAATGATAAATTGATAACATCATACAGAAATAATGAGGAATTTAGAAGATGGAGTGTGATGTAGTTCATGCTTTCTTGCTGGGAAGGTCATAAAGAATGGACAATGCCATTTTCAGTAGATTTGATGAAGATGCATTGGAAAAATAATATTTAAGTGCTTAAGTGCTGATGTTGACTAGTCTTGTTTAACAAGACGGTTGATCACTTCATAATTTTTGTTGACAGGATCGGGATATAAAATTTTTTCCTGCTGCAGGTAGAGAAATGTGAATGTCACTTTTTACAACACTAGTATAGGGACCGATCAAGATAGATTGTAGTCAGTCAACAAGTTAATTGGTATAACCAATCAATATAAGTCCATTTATCGAAACATTACTAGTAATATGGTATGATACTAGTAAATAAAGCAAACAATTTTGCTGTTCATATTCCAGGTATAAATCCTCCTCCATGTGAAAAAATTGTTTTTTTGTTTAAATGTGTGCCGTTTACTTTGATGTGTTTTGGCAGGAAAAGTGCATTGTATTTGAAATACTCTTTTTATACCACTAATGTGCTATTGTTGGATTCTTTATATATTTTTTATTGACTGATATATTTGTTAATGTGTTTTTATGCTCATGTTTGTTTATGCAATTGAGTTAAACTATGGCAATTGTTTTAGTATGAGTAGGTGTTATGTACATGTATATAGATGTTCTGTTATTTCGGATGGGGGAGGGGGGCAGGGGGGCAGGGGGCACCCTGGACCTCTTTGTTTATGTGTTAAAACTATCTAACTTTTAATTGTAAAATTTCAGGCTTTGAAAGTCTTTTGCACAGATTGTTAAAAAGTGAAACCAGGTCATTGGGTGTATCATGGCACCAACTTCAATATTTTTAAGTCCATTATCCAGATGACTTTGATACAGTCAGTACCAGTTATATTGAAATCTTTGTGGAATGAAAAAATACCACAAAGTAATGTTTTCAATACAACCAGAGACCAGCTGGATAGAATTTTGTTGGCTGTTTTATCTACATTTAAATTCCTAGTACAAATATATGATACTTTGTATAAATAAGACAACAATTGATCAAGATTTTACCAAAAACTGTATGATTTCATTTCTTCACTTCAAATAAAAATCTGTAAATTTAGAACTTGTTTCATGTTGATGTAAAATTATATTTTTCAGAATGAAGGAATCTGTAATTTTTGTTGTCTTTAAGGTTTGTCATTGTCGTTGTTATCTGAAGACAAAGTGTTGTCAGCCTCAATATCATTGGTAATACTGTAATGAGTTTCTGTCACTCGTCAGTTGTTTATCCTTTTTTCTGGTAGAAGCCATTTTCATACATCTGCCATATTTATCATTGTAGACTAAACAAGGTATAAGTTCAGATAACAAACACAGCTGACTGATTAATATTCTCAGTTTATTTCTGTTGTATCAGATTTTTACCTTGCTATTGAACTGAGGAAATATTTAGTGCACCAAAATGTGAAGACAACTTCAAATGCCAGCCATGGTTCAGATTAAGTAGATGTTATTTGAAAACAATGATTTTCAAGATTGACAAGGGCTGGCATCTACCTTTCATTTCGAGCAGGATTTCAATTCAATAGATATCAGATAAAATCATATGTAAGTACAAAGGCAAAGAAGACATTTAGAATTTGTTTTATTTCATGTTAAATATATTTCATTACCTAGTGTACAGAGTTCTAAAACCTTGACAAAATGAAAGTGACGTTCCCCTGGTATCTGTGAACAGAGGAACAAAGTAGATTTTACCACAAAATGGAACCTTGTTCCTCTGAATACTGTTCCGATACCTAGGGAACTTCCCTTTCAGTTTGTCAAGGTTTTGGAACTCTTCAGAGAGAAAAGCATTAATACAAATGTATTTTTTCTTATTCAAGGTCAAATCATTGATTGTAGCATTAATATTGTTTTAAAGAATTGTGCTTTACAGTTTCTGGCTATTTGTGTGCAATTTCTTCAGATGTGTTAACAACATTCATTAAGGGTATATAGATATTTTCTGACATCGATATTGGTGAATTTGTAGTCCTGCTTATCATCAAATAACTACGCAATATAATATAATATGATTTACTGGTAGGATAAATTAAAAATATTATTAAATGATTCCAATATATTGTGAGACTGGAATAAAGAAAACAAAGCATCCCAAGATAATTGTAAACTTTTGTTCTTATGAATTTAACAGCATTTATGACGTTATTATTGAATTATTTTCATGAAATAGAATTGAAATGGACATTTTTCAATCAGTTAAATGACCAAATATGAATTAAAGTACATAAAGAAAATCAATCTAAAGGTTTGAATTAATTAATTGATATTAATAGATTTGGTAAATCTTTTAATTTCTTGCAATGGAGCCATCACTTAAAAAAAAATTCAGCAGATTTGAAATATTTGGTAGATAAGGTATATGTTGTGGTTGACTCTTCATTTTGTGATGCAAAGTTCAAATGAAGGCGTAAATGTTAAATGTTTGTGTTTAAACCTCTGATAAAAATAAATTACCTTGTGAATGGTTGCAGCCAAAAGCTTTGTAACAACCTTGGAAATCTCGTGCAAAATGCAGAATATGTTGCTTACATTTGCTAGGAAAGACAATTTGAAAATGACTTTTTTTGACCCCATAATTGTCCATCATCCATAATAATATTTTTGTGGTACCCACTATATATACACATATATATATATATTAGAAAGACGATATTTGCACATTAGTTCAACAAAACAAACATTTTTATATATACAGATTTCAATACTTATTTTAAACCTTATTACCCATTTATCATACAGATACAAATATTTCTTGGAAGATCACAACATCATTACATGAACACATAAAAATACATATACAATTTTACATTGGTTAAAAATGTACAAGGGTCCATTCTAAAGAGAGACTGCAAAGAACATCTAATCATCATCAGTTGTAATATATGGAATAGCCTCATTGTCAATGAAATTAGTAAGGTCCAGCTGCAACTTGATTCAAGCCTTCTCGCACCTATGTGTTAAAAAAAATCATGGACATATGTGTTTTAAAGGCAGTACATATATTCTTTAATTATGCCATGCAAAACACGTTTGGAGGGGATATCAATTTGGGCTCCATGCATGCATGTGTGCATGAGTCTGTCCTCCTCTCCATCCATTTGAGAGTTTTTCCAGGCTATAACTTCAAAACCTTTCAACTCACAAAACTTTCTGTATATATTAAGTTAGTGCCCTATTTGTGCCTTTTGCTGTTGACAACATTTCATTTTTGATTTTTTTTTAGTTACCAAGGAAACAAAGTCAGAAAACACAAAATTTGTGTTGACTTTCCATTTCAGGCTACATTCAACACCACAGAACTTTCTATGTATTTTAGGTTGGTGCATTAGTTTATTTTCTGTTACCAAGCAAATAGATAACCCTCATCACAAATTTTAGTCCATCTGGATCAGTGCTCTGAAACCATTCAAAATAATTCTTCAAAACTTTTTACACTTATTAAGCTAGAAGCATCTTTTGCTACGGAGAAGTTCTTCATTTAAATACTTTTTCTGTTACCATGGAAACAGAAGGCCTTATCACAAAGTTAAGTTTTTTCAGACCAGTTCATACTCAAAACATTGTACAGGCATCAAGCTATAATATTCTAGTACATTTTCTCCTTTTCAATACATTGTTTGGTATGATTAAAAACAATAATGCTTTGCGTTATTTTTTATACATCGTATCAGACAGGGATTAAAAAAGTTTGTATGTGATGCCTCGTTTCTTCCATAGCAAATTTACCACCAAGTATTTTGCTGCATGTGAGAATCTCTCATCTGTTCACAAACTTTTGTCACAATACAAATTTCTGTGTGCAATAAGTTAGGGATACTAAAACCTTTGATCATCCATCAGGGGAGAGAATTATAAAAATGAATATTCATATCTGTATTGGAATAGGATTTATAATCTAACAGTCCATTTTTCTGCTGAGAGGCCAAAAGGCTGTAAAAACAGATACAAAAGTACAGTGAGTAGATAAATAGATTTCCCAATGTTGTTATTGACTTGCTTCAGCTTCCACTATTCTGTTTTCTGTTTCTGAATAAATCTCATCTACAACAGCAATTAAGGTAATGAAATGCCGTTTGTTATATGATATTATGGTGTCAAACTCACAGCCATTTGTGGTAAGTACATTATGTTTTAATGCAACAACACAAAAATGTTGCATAAAATTATTGATAAAACAGCAGTGATGGTTAGTGATTGGAGTTAGTATGTAAGAAAATGAGATTGATTATTTAAAACTGATCATGATGTTACTCTGAAGTTAAATCCTTGTTTGTTTACAAGACCACCACCAAAGAGATATGATCTAAAAACTGATTTCAGCTTACATGGCCAAAAGGACTTAGTGAGTTTATTTTGTGGTGCATTGTTCTTCTCAATGGTTAAGTGTGGCCAAGAACAATCAAGTTTGGCTAGCAGATTCCTAGGATGAAGCCTTACTAAGTTTGTTAAAGAAACAACCTTGACCTATATTCAAGGTCATAAGGGCTTAGTAATATGAAAAACTTTTTCTGATTGATGTCGTATCAAGAATCATGATATTTTGCAAAAGAGATACTGGGGTAAAGCTCAAACAAGTTTATGAATCAAAGTGACCTTCACCTGTATTCTAAGGCAGGGAGGCTGGTAAATTCCTTGAGTGAAATCAGCTGAAATTTTCAAAAATGAAAGGAGCTTGATTTTTATTGAATCTTAGGTCATGGCTGTCATTTCTGTCTTTCAGGAATGAACCTATATGACATCATTGGTGTTAGATGAATAACGTTTAGCCATTTGTGTAAATAAGATGCTAGTATTTGAAGTTGGTTGATGTGAGACTGGTCCAAATTATACTTAATGTTGTATCACCATATAATACACAAAACATACATATAACAAAAACATGATTCATTGATAATAGAACAAGAACATACACAAACTAGGTCATTGACAAGAAAGATGTAAGCATAAGTCTGCTCGAATACAAAAGTGAAATTGTTTTGGTCGGCTTTTTCTGAGTAAAGAAAACAGGCAATAAATGAAATAATCAAATTGTAGTAAAGGAAATAGATATTTTCAATGTATGTATTAGAATATGAATAAATAAGTTATTTTTTGATACGGTTAAAATTGTATCAACATTTATCATATCAGTAAGTGCAGACTGATATTTAAAAAAAATAAATAAATTGTCCGAACGATTCAGTCCAGTATAAAAAACTTTATAGAACATCAAAATATTTTTTTTACTTAACTGATGTGAGGGGTAAATGTATTTGTAAAAGGATTTAATATCAGATGAGCAATCTGGCCCATTGGACCTCTTGTTTAATTAAGAAGTGAAGGTTAGAGACTAAAATGTAAGATCACAGAAACCATGGTATTGTTCAGGCCATACAAGTCAATAATGGCAGTTAGCATGGTTCTGTCTTGGGAATTTGATCATGCCATTTTTCCTTTGATCTACTGAGATATGTATATACATTGTATACATATCTGGTCTACTTAGGCACAAGTGATTTGTCTACCATTTTAAGAACTTTTCATTGAGGAATTATGAGACACAAACAAAATAAAGATGGAAAATATCAGTTAATTTTTTTTATACTTTCAAAAGAATAATAAACATGTATTTATGTAAAGTCAATAATGTCAGTTGTGATTGTTATAATTTTAGCCAATCAAAATAAAATGTCATAATGACTGAAGAGACAATTACGTTAGTTATTTTTTAAAGGTGTGTTATGGATCAGCGGAGTTCCAGAGTTCTGTAGACTACATGATAACAGTAAAAGAATTACTTAGTGTCCATTAAAACTTAATTAAACAACTCTCAACTCAATTATTCAGGATACATATACACTTATAGACATGTATTATCTTACATAAAATTCAGCTAGGAGCTCTCTAGGGTTGACACAGAGTGTTTCACTTTTTAGATTTATTTATACATTTGTTTGACTAAATTGATATCTGCATGTATGGTAATTCTGCTGTTCAACAGACAATACTGTTGAAACACACACTTGTTGCTTTTTATTTTTATTATGTTGCATTTTCATATTGTGCTTGATATTTAAATATTGATAAAAAAAATGATAACATAAAAAAGGACATTCCATCAGAATTGGTTATCAGCTGAAATTTTTTAAACAATATTACTTGACAATGCTTAACACCAGTAGAAAAAAACTTAAGCGTGATAAAAGGAAAGTAATAACTATTTTAACCCCACCTCAGAGGTATCTGATGATAATAAGCTGTTCAAATCCTGTTTGTTCATATATGTTTGAATTACCATCATCTGCTTCCAACTAAATATGGTTTATATCTGTTGAATAGTTCTAGATAAGTAGTTGTTTTGTAGCAATATGTAACCGAATTACCCCATCAATGCACCACCCCTCAGTTTCGCACGAGTCACAGCCTCAACATTTTCAAAATATTAAAACATCGCCTAGAAAAAAAAATATTTGATAAATAAATAAAAGAAACCTTTACAGCTAGTTAGTCACACTGCAGAGAAATGTAATATGCTATTTTGAGTTTTACAAATACATGTTGCTATCAGGTTACCTTAAACAGTATTGAAATAACTATTACTTAAAATTGAGAAGAAGTGTGTAAAATACTTTTTTGTTTCATTCTTTTTAAGGCAAGATTACTTTCACCTTTATATATTTATTTTTTTTTTAGTTTTTAATTTTTCTGTAAAAATATTTAGATAATCCAGGTAAGATAAGAGCTTTCAACAATACATAAATGCTGTCGTGATCAAGATATTGCAGCAATAGGCTGTCATTCACGTTTAAATAGTACTTTTAATTACTTAAAAGTGCACAAAATAAATAGGATTAATTGCATTATTCTATTTGAAATAATTGTGTTTGGTGTTGTGACGAATTTTGTTTTGATTTACTTGATGATAAACACAATATATGTTTCAGTTTGATTTAAATATTATGTATATTTGGGTATAGTAAATTTTACTTCGATTCCAACATATTCTTTAATCAATAAACAGTTTCATTCAGTTAGAAAATATTGACGTATGATTCAGAAGATGCATAGAAACACTTAAAAATAGTGTCGCCGAATCAAAGAAAAGTTTTGTTTTTCGTCTACGTTGTGCAACCTATGGTCTTCGCATATAAACAACCTGGAGTTATTCCCCTTGTTGTCGTCAATGGTAACATAGCTACACCGTCAATATGGCTGACGACATGGAGAAACCGAAAAGTAAACGCATCTTTGTTAACCATTTAGATCAATACCAAGGAAAGAATATAGGAAAGGTAAGTGACATTTATTAAGAAATACCTGTTTGATGGGACATTTAATGGTTTTTGCATAGAAGTTCAATATGGCATGCATATGAAAGCTTCCAATATCTGTCTCCCGTAGACATACTTTATTTTTATTTTCCTACTAAGCAACCCCGTATGAATTGTCATTTTACAGCAGCATGTCTTATTGAGTCATCTAGAGAAACACATAGAGAGGCAACAAAGATACCGTATAACATTTTCCCTGCTGTCTTTAGAATAACGGTGATTTTTCAAGGTTCATTGTATACCACCGTACATTGTTTATCACCAAGTCTTATAAAGTTATAATGGTATGAAAATACCACGACTATAGGATCGTTAACAACAATTATTAAAAAATAAACGTATTTTAAAATGTAGAGCTCTTAATAATAGTCCTGTCACGATAATATCCACGATTTATTTGCAAAGTTTATATAATGTACGTTTTGTATGTCTAAATTAATAGATAACAACATACATTAATCATAATGTAACGTGACAACTATCTGTCTTTCTGATCAGGCATACATTTAAACAAATGTTCTTGTCTCATCTTAAGTAATGTTCTGTAAATTCTCATGGAAAAACTAATTATCATACATTTTCAGTATCTGTCCCGGTGTGTAGTTGGTGCATCACTTGAGGAACCAGAAGAAGAAGATGATGCTAGGTCAACGAGCAGTTCTTTAGCATTGTTTAACAAGGAGGGATGCTATGAAATTGTTGGAACCCTCAAGGATAGGGAAGCTCCAAAACCAGACTTTGCCAAGGAAATAATTCAGGTAATATACTTACAAATGTATATTTATCATGATTTCTTTATAGATTGCTTATAGATGTTTCTTTATGCTTGAGGCATGGACGACTTTTAATTGGTAAATATATCCATCAGATTTGGGTAATGTGTAAAACATCTTGTGGGTTTAAAAAAATACAGGTCCTACATGTATGTGGACCAATTTTAACCACATGTAGTTGCAATGTCGTTTTTCTGTAATACTGTAATATCATGCATACATGTTGACATTTCTTGTATAGAAAACATTCTTATATGACCTACGGCATGGCGACCATATATCATGTATTTGTATCAACTGAATAAATAAAACAAAACCAAGTAATTTAATTAAAAGATTCATGGAATGGGAAAGATACAGTTGATAGAAAATTAACCAAATATACAACAACATGAGTATAACATATCTATAAAAATCAGAATGTCAGTTGTTGAAAATATCAGTATTAATTTTGACTCATTTTTAATTCTAGTTTGAAAACAAAGACCAGCTTTATGAACACCTTGTTGAGTGTGATGTGTTGGTGTATGACATCACTGAGGACCCAGACCAGATTGATGAGGCAGTGTGGGCGGTGTCAGGTAGGAATCGACACAAATACAAGTATATCAGTTTGGTCTGGTGACCACTCTTGACAATAAATACAATATTTCTGTGTATAATGGTCAATTTACATCAAGTTCTCGCTCAATGAGTGGATTTAGTTTATTTGGATGTTATTGCCAGACAAATGTATAATACGTGTGAATTTATCAAATTCTGATTGTAAGTGTAAATATGTCGATGGAGGTCTAGTGTTGGTCACATACAAAAATTGTTGATTTATCTAAATCTCAAAAATTATTACCTCCAGAATCTTAATGCTTGATCACCAGAAGTGACCACACACATTAACTTGTCACTTGTTTTCTCTTGGTTAAGTGTTTCTATGGTTTTTGACACAAGATTTATCATAATTGTTATAATAAATACATAAAAAGAGTATCATTTTCATGATTCTATGAAATAAAAATGTTCATGATATTTTTTCTATGATTCCAGAAATTCACTCTGACCTTGATAAAATTGAAAAGCCCAAGATGTTTATTTTGATCTCATCTGTGATGACCTGGGCCAAAAGCAAACCCCTAGATCCTGTAAGTATAATGTCCAAATATGGTAAAGTTTGCATGATCCATAATGTAAAAAAATAATTATTAAATTTACATTGTGGAATCATTAGAATGATCGAGTATCAACAGTGCGTACAGTCCATGTTGTAAAAACCACTCTGGGATGGGGGAAGGTCAAACAGCTTTCATAGGCAGATCACCTTTAATGACCGTTCTGTTACTGTCAGTCATTTCAAAAACCAAGTGACATTTATTGACTGGTATTTATTTATACATGTGTCTTACAGACAGGTTTGTCTGTAATTGTATTTGAAAAAATGGTGGTTCTATGTTATGAGTAAAAATCTTTCTCTGATTGTTAAGATTTCAATTTACATTTTTCCCCTGTAGAAATTTGATTATGTGGTGACAGTATAATGAGATATTGAAGCATTAAAATGTTTTCTGTTGGCATTCTTGCTCTTATGAATGTAAACAGGATAAGTGTAAATTCCGTGAGGAGTGATTGTTTTTCATATGGAATATGCCTTGATTCAGTTGGCATTCATAGACAATATGAATGCCAACTAAAAGTATTCCAATGCTCATATTTATCATTTTCAGGTTTTTCTTGATCTGATAAGGCAAGGCAACCTCACTGTGTTTAATTGTAATATTCCTATGCCATTGGCAGTTCATAAGCTGATAATACTTACCTGACTTTGGTAAGGTTACCTTATGACAATGCCATAGAACAGTATATATTCCAGCATAAATCCAATACAAAAATTGAATGCAATTAGTATATGACCTCCTATTTAAATTTGTACTGATCAGGATATCTACTAGACTTATATGTCCTTTTCCTTAGTTTGAAGTCAACCATTCCTTTAAATCTTCAGCAGCCATCTTTTCCTATTTCAGATTGGTGATGAGGTACTATTTTATACCAGACATATAGTTTATAATGGGAGGAGGTGATAGTGTAATTGGGCAATGTCTACATGTTGTGCTAATTAATTGCTTAATGTATTGTTCTGTGTACATTTGTATACTCAGATTTATATATACATATATCTATATCCCAAACATTATACAGCTCTACTGGATAGTGCTGTAACTGCATGTACAGTGTTTCATGTTCCATAACTTCCTAGTTTGTCATATATAGGAGGTATATATGTAGAGTTTGACAAAAATTGACAGTTATCACTAACTGAATAAATTTCAATTTGAAATTGAAAATTTGTGAAGATGATCTCCAGCCTTTTATAACAACTTGTGGTTCACTATATAAGGTGAACTTTCCAATAATTTATGAATGATATATTTTGTCAAGGAAATTTGGCAATAACTTTGAGAAATGGTAACTTCATTTCAGAAGCACCAAGATACAAACTTTTCTGGTAATTTATGACTTGGTAAAAACTCTTCATCTTATCGGAAATGGGAAAAAATTGATTTAGAACCATTCCTAGTTTGACCTATGTACTTGTATGTTGCTAGAGTAGTGACCTATAGTCAGTTACATAATCTGAAATTCTTATCGATCAGAAAGATATTTTGATGATTTTGCCTGTTTCTGTAAAATGGTTATTTCACTGATTTGAATTTGATAGATATTACATTCATGTAAAGGACCGAGGTTCTGTTGAATATGTATCTGATTTGTAAAAAGGACTGCTTTGTAGAATACACTAGTGAGATATACTGACAAATAGTACAATGATTAAATGAGTATTTGACTATTTAACAGTGTGACGCTCGGCAACAGGAATAGTCATGGAGACAAGAAACCATCATCAACATCATCTACTTTAACGGTGTATTCTAAAAATCAAGTCTTCCTTTCCTTATTAATTGCCAGTTATAAACATAAAATGTCATTTTTTTTTTGCTTGACTTTAGGATGATCCAGAAATCCCCTTTACAGAGGATGACTACAGACGGAGGAAGCCTCATCCGAACAACAAGGAACACATCAGTGCTGAAAAAACTGTCATCAAGATGGGAAAGACGGTAGGATATGAGTTCTCTTACTAACAAAACTTGTCCCTCTTTGTCAATCCACATGAAATTCTTCCAAAAAAGTTACTAATTTGCATTTTAATTTGCTGAAAGTTTGTGATATTTATGTTTTTATGCTGCTCCTGCAATAAATAAATAAATAAATAGATAAATAAATAAATAAATAGATAAATAGATGAATATATAAATAGATAAAATCAACATTGCATATTTTTGAAATCGTAGCTTTTGGTAATTTTGAAATGATATTTCTTTTTTCTTTAGTTTTTTTTTTTTTTTATATAAAGTGAAGATTATACTATAAAGAATGATTGATGATTTTCATTTTACAGAACAAAGCCAAGCTTGTTACCTATGTCGTGGCTTCAGGTTTGACATATGGAGCTGAGGAAAACATCTTTCACTATCTGTTCAAGGTTGGTTACTATCATTAGTTTGATTTAAGAAATAGATGTGTATTCCAAAGAAAAAAAGAAATGATATTTTGTACTACATGTGTGATGGAGGAGGCAGGTCATATAGAAAAAATGAATTACTGCCTTTGATCTGTCATTTTCAACATCAATTTTAGTGGAATCTCACTGTACAATTGTAACTTTTAATGGTTTAGACAATTTTGCACTGAAAAAGCCTCTTATCTCAATATCATTGACTAGAGAATGTGTCAACTCTGTCATGGTTGGATTAACTTTATTTTAATTAATTATGAATGATGAATAAGATATGATTTGATTTCTCATAAATTATTGACCTTGAAACTTCTTGAATTATAATTTGAATTACTTGAATGACAAGGCAATATGTACAGTTTAGGAGAATTGATCAAAGTTCAACTGGGTTTATTTTCCTCGTTTCAGTCTGCCTGGCACAACGCTCCACAACTTCTCTGTTTTGGAAATGGACAAAATGTCATACCTACCATCCACATCAAAGACTTGGCAGGGTAATACTTTATCTTCATACAATATATTTCGTTGGGTTATTAAGATTCTGTAGATGTAGCGTATCAATTTTACCAAAAGTGTGTAACAAGATCACTGCTTGTCAGATTGATATGTTTTGTGTTTCTTTCAATAATATAAAATGTATGGTAAGTTAAGGGTCTTTGTATTTCCAACTAGTTGTGAATGAATAGGTTCCCTGTTTCAGTTTTGATTCTATTCCATCTAACTTGTCAATAACACTATAAGTGTACAAATATTTACAGAGTTATACAGAACATAGCAGACAGCAGGCCAAAGGTGCGCTACCTGATCGCCAAGGATGATGCACAAAATACGCTGGAGGAGATTGTCAAGGTAAATGGTTAAAACTAACTACTTCATGGTGATATTTTTAAAATGGTGTTATAAGCATTTCTTTTAACTCTTATTTGAAAACTTCAGAGTTGAAAAAAAAATTTTAAAAAAGGAAAATAGTTTAATATTGATCATCAACAAATCAAGAGTTATTGCAGCATTGAAGATTTATAAGTAGCATTGTCATCAGACAGTTGTTAATTTGTTCTGTGGATCATCATCAGCCTATCTGTGTAAAATATCAGTATTTTAATTATTGGTTAAGGATGCCGTGCACTCTTCCTAACCCCTGTTTACATCATATAAAATTCATAATGCAGGCATTCAGAGGTAGTATTAGAAGTAATATGTCTGTTTATGATTTTTATTTTTTTTTTTTTTTTTGTATACTAGGCTGTGAGCCAGAACTTGGGCACTGGGAAAGTGAAGATGATTACAAAAGAAGAAGCTTTACTTAGCAAAGATATTGAGGTAAGATATATATACTACAAATGTTGAGATTATTTATTTAAATTCATAATGTATATGAAGGAGAGGTTTGTTTTCATACCATACTGTAGAAAATTGCCTTTATTTATGTCAAAATGATTCTCTTTTCTTTAGTGATTTATTTTTTGTTTTTAATTTTCTGTCAATTCAATGTACGAAAGACAAGAGAGATGATTCTTAGAACTTTCCTACAAAAGCATTTTCAAAAAATTGCTACAAGGTAATGTTGGATTCTTACCATTTTGGTAATTCTGATCCGTTGGTAAATATGAAAAGGATGTGTCTGATAACGTAGTTTCAAATCTCTGTGTCTGGTTACAGCAATCAGACTTTGATCAGCTGCTGGTGAACTTGAGAATGGACGCAGTCAATGTGAAGGAGAACATGAGGGTAAACTGGGCAGCAGAGACTGGTCTTGTGGAAAATATCCAACAAATCATCAAGGAATACAAAGATTCACGCAGATTGCAGGTAATTTAATACCAAAAGAAGTGTTTAAGGTTTCTTTTTAACATTCGGAAAAAAAATGATATCTTTTAGTTTTGAGTGAAAAGATTCTCTTCCGCCTTAAAATCATGATCATCAATTTTTTTTTCAGCCGTTGCGAGTGTGTGTACTTGGACCACCAGCATCTGGAAAGTCCACAGTAGTTCAACAGCTTTGTGAATTTTACAAACTTCATCATATCAAGATCAAAGATGTTGTTGATGAGGCAATGGATAATTTGGTATGTATCATATATTACTGTTCCTCTTGTGATAATCAGCAATGTCGGGCACAAAAACTAAGAATTTTGTTCACAAGTAAATACTCGTGCACAACAGTAATCGTTTTCCTGAAATCAAAATTTCCAATTAGAATTTGGCTTTATGAGGCTAAAAACTTTGACTTGATATGGTATTATATAGAAATTTATGAAAAAAAATAATTGGAAAAAAAGGAATGCAATCATGTGAAGAACATTTTAGCCATTATTAATTTATTGCTAAAAAGAACACATGAAAGTAAAATTGGTTAACAGAGAAGATTTTGTGTCACTCATGCAAAAGTGAAAAAGGTTGTGATCAGTAGATATTAAGTAGAATTGGAATTCACTAATAACTTCAGAAGATATTCTTCATCATTGCCTTTAGACTGCCACAGCTAGGAGAGCAGATTCTGAGGATCAGGAGGATGATGATGGGAAGGCTCAAGACGCCCAGGATCTTATTGATCGCATCAATGAAGGAAAGGACCAGACAACTGGCAGACTTGAAGACCAACATGTCATCCAGTTCTTCAAGGACAAGCTTCTCTCAATGTCCTGTCAGAACCAGGGTTTCATCCTTGATGGGTTCCCAAAAACCATTGAACAGGCCAAGGATCTGTTTGCTTGTAAGTGCATTGGCCCACTCTATCTGTAACACTCTTATAATAAACAATACCTTTTTCTGGGTATAAATGCATTATTTACCTATGTATGGATTTGTTAATAAAGTGGATGGTGAGGTATATTGTCAACTTTTGTTTGGTTGTAGGAAAAAGAAACTCACTTTTGAGTAATTGAAGACAATGTTTATCCCTAGCCTCCTTTCATAATTAAATTAGTTTTCGGAACATTTTCATCTTTTTTTTTTTTTTTCCAGTGTCTAAAATTAAAAATGTATTGCATTGATAATATTGAGTGATATCTGTCTTAATAAAAATAATTGTTTTTTTCTTGATCTTTTATTCACGCAAAGAAAAAAAGATATTTTTCTGTATGTAATATTTCCTAGTTGGATGTATTTAAAATTATGGAAGGTGGATCTGATGAAATCGTATCTTAATTTTGGTTTTTCTTATTTTTATTAATTAGCTGAGGATGATGAAGAACCAGAGGAAGCAGCTAAGGCTGGAAGTTATAACAAATTGTTGATGCCAGAGTTTGTGTTTAACCTTGAGGCAACCGACGACTTTCTGCATAATCGTGTTATGAACCTACCAGAGAGTGTTGTCCACGGAACACACAACACAGAAGAGGGTCTCATCCGACGACTAGACCAGTACAGATCTATCAATAATGAAGATGAAACAGTCCTCAACTATTTTGATGAAATTGAATTTCATCCAGAGAAAGTAGATGTCAACAAAGATGATTCACATATGATGAAAGACACTGTTGAGAAACTTAAAAAGATCATTGGAGCTCCTCGAAATTATGGTAAATATGATTAAAATTCCACTTCATACACAATTTGGAAAGATTTGGTTTAACAAAAAATTTGAATTTGTTTTCTGATGAAAGATGTATAATGTTAGTTTTTTTTTTTGTAATATATATGTATAAACTTTTACAACAATTGCGAAGTAAGTTTTTCTGAATGTATGAACCTGTTAAAATTTCAATTGAAAACACAACATTTTGGTATGCTTTTCTGTATATAAACTTGAGTTATGATTTCTTCTCAAAAAGATTATACTATTGTATATGAGCAATGGAAAAAATATTGATTAATTAAAATGTGTAAAACCTTCACTGTCAGAGGCAGAAATGCATGTTCCAGTAAATGCCAATTTGGGGTACGAATTGAAAATTGTGTCAAGTTAGTGTTTACCGAAGATGCACAAAGTCTAATCAAAGATATACTGCCTTGCATTTGTTAGTTTTACACCGGTGTCATGTTGACTAATATTAGTGTTGCTGTACAGGTAGACAAATTAAGCAACCAGTGTGTATTTATATTGTAAACTCTGTAGTAATGATCTATTGATTGTAATGTTAGTAATACTTTTTGTTCTTCAAATCAGGTCCCACAGCAGAGGAGTTGGAGGAGATGAAGAGAGTGGAAGAGGAAGCCCGTCTCAAACAGGAGGCAGAGGAAAGACAGGAACGAGAAAGAAGGGAAGCAGAGGAGAGTGCCCTTCGTAAACAGAGACAAGAGGAATGGGTAAGGAAATATTAAATTCTAATTTCAGATTCTGTTTTGTTTGAATTAAGTATGATTATTTATGTTTGTTTTCTTTTTTGTTAAATTCGCTGTTCATTGAGTGTATTTATTTCAAAATTGTCACATAACCATCATAAGACTTGTTCTTACTTGTTCTTATCGAGAGTTATATCTAATTTTACATTTTACTTAAAGGAATGTTTTCAGCTTCTGAACTCAAAATGAATAGCACTGATTATGATATTTGTTACATCAAATACTCCCAGACATTTGAGTAAACTTTGTAATCTTTTGATATTTTGTTCTATTGAAAATTTGTTCTTGTTCCTGCCAATAAGTCTGTTTAAGTTTGAGAATCTGATTTTCCATGCCATGTTCTCCTACATAGACTCAGCGATTAAACGAGGTGAAGCGAGAAGAGTATGAACTCCTAGAGGCTCAGTCTATCCCTCTGAGGAACTACCTGATGAAACATGTGATGCCTACCCTAACACAAGGTCTTATTGACTGCTGCAAGACTCGACCTGATGACCCCATTGATGCCCTGGTGAGCTCTTTGCATTTTAATTGACAAAATGAAATAAAGAAATAAGTGAATAAAAAAAAAAAAAAAAAAAAAAAATGTATCACCAACTTAGCTCTGTTTGAAACTGGAATGTTATATAATAATTACTGTGGGTTTAAGTAATGGGATGCTTTCTAGTCCCATATTCAAATTCTGTGACTTATTTTGGCTTTCTGCACAAAAAATTGAAATGATGATGGGCAGAGTAGATTTTATTGTTTAGTTGACATTTTGTAGTATTTAAAAAAAGAAATGGAATATTGAAAGGGAATTGAACTGATGTAAAGTTTGATGTGTGTGAACATTTTCTATTTTCAGGCCGAGTACCTTTTCCAGAACAACCCACAGGTGGATTAACCATATTTCCTGGAAAAGACTCAAAAACTTTGAATTTACAAATACTACCATCATCACCATCAGCTGTGAAATCTGACTATGTTGTTTAAAATCCATAAGTGCCCTATGGAGGTGATTGCTGTTGAACTGAGCAGTTAGAAGCTCAGAGCAGATCTTTAATATCAATGTGCTTTGATTGTACAAAATACAGAATTCCTGAATACTTCAGAACATTCCAGCTGTTCTGTTTAACTGGGATTTTCAGCATATTCCAAATGTGATATTTATGTAAAATTTAATATGTACATAGATCAATGTAAAATTATCATTAAAATTTTAAATTGTCTGATATTGTGCTCAGTCATTGCTTTAATGATGGTGTCAGTATACTAAATATTTAAAAAAAGAAATTCTTTCACCACCTAAGGGTGATGAGATGGTGATAATAAAGTTAGCAAAGCTGAGGCTGATAGAATGATTACCATCATAATCATCATTCTACAAGTGATGAGATCACTTTGTCATCGTCAAGATGGTGAATGATTTTGTCTATCATTAATTGGGGCTTCTAATATACCAGTAGTGTTGTTGTTTTCTCAATGTTTTTGGCATTGTTGATATGTCATTATCCCATTATCCTCGGACCGTGCTATTTACAGGACAGACCTGAGCTTTATCTCGAGACGATCTCGCAACTGCCCAATATAAAGCACAGCTCTAGGTGTTGTCTGGGGACAGACTAACAACCGTCCTACGTACAACACAACTCTAGGTGTTGTCTGGGGACAGTCTCACAACTGTCCTACATACAACACAACTCTAGGTGTTGTCTGGGGGCAGTCTCACAACTGTCCTACATACAACTCAACTCTAAGTGTTGTCAGGGGACAGTCTCACAACTGTCCTACATACAACACAACTCTAGGTGTTGTCAGGGGACAGTCTCACAACTATCCTGCATACAGCACAACTCTAGGTGTTGTCTGGGGACAGTCTCACAACTGTCCTACATACAACACAACTCTAGGTGTTGTCAGGGGACAGTCTCACAACTATCCTGCATACAACACAACTCTAGGTGTTGTCCAAGGACAGTCTCGCAACTGCCCTATATAAAGCACAGCTCTAGGTGTTGTCTAGGGACAGTCTCACAACTGTCCTGCATACAACACAACTCTAGGTGTTGTCTAAGGACAGTCTCACAACTATCCTACATACAGCACAGCTCTAGGTGTTGTCTGGGGACAGACTAACAACTGTCCTACATACAACACAACTCTAGGTGTTGTCTGGGGACAGTCTTACAACTGTCCTACATACAACACAACTCTAGGTGTTGACTGGGGACAGTCTCACAACTGTCCTACATACAACACAACTCTAGGTGTTGTCTGGGGACAGTCTCACAACTGTCCTACATACAACACAACTCTAGGTGTTGTCAGGGGACAGTCTCACAACTATCCTGCATACAACACAACTCTAGGTGTTGTCTAAGGACAGTCTCACAACTGTCCTACATACAGCACAGCTCTAGGTGTTGTCTGGGGACAGACTAACAACCGTCCTACATACAACACAACTCTAGGTGTTGTCTGGGGACAGTCTCACAACTGTCCTACATACAACACAACTCTAGGTGCAGTCTGGGGACAGTCTTACAACTGTCCTACATACAGCACAGCTCTAGGTGTTGTTTTGGGACAGTCTCGCAATTGCCCTACATACAACCCAACTTACAACTGTCCTACATACAACACAATTTACAGCTGTTCTACATACAACATATCCCTTGATTTTATCTGGGGATAATCCCTCACCTATCCTACATATAACACAGACCTATACTTTTTCTGTGGACAGTCTCTCAAGCATCCTACATGCAATACAACTTAAAACCATCCTACACACAACACAACTCTCATCGGTGTTGTTTGGGGACAGTCTTACAATCATCCTACACACAGCACAACTCTTGATGTTGTTTGGGGACAATCTCAACTGTCTTACATAGAACACAGTTCTAGATGTCAGGGAAGAGTCTCAACTGTCTTACATACAACACAGTTCTAGATGTCAGGGAAGAGTCTCAACTGTCTTACATACAACACAGTTCTAGATGTCAGGGAAGAGTCTCAACTGTCTTACATACAACACAGTTCTAGATGTCAGGGAAGAGTCTCAACTGTCTTACATACAACACAGTTCTAGATGTCAGGGAAGAGTCTCAACTGTCTTACATACAACACAGCTCTAGATGTCAGGGAAGAGTCTCAACTGTCTTACAAAGAACACAGTTCTAGATGTCAGGGAAGAGTCTCAACTGTCTTACATACAACACAGTTCTAGATGTCAGGGAAGAGTCTCAACTGTCTTACATACAATACAGTTCTAGATGTCAGGGAAGAGTCTCAACTGTCTTACATACAACACAGTTCTAGATGTCAGGGGAGAGTCTCTCAACCTTTCTGCATACAATACAGCTCTAAACTTTGTCTGGAGACAGTCTATAAACTGTCCTACATACAGCACATCCCTTGATTTTATCTGGGAACATCGGAGGGACTTTTTTTCTTAAAATTTCAAAGGCATATTCCACTTACTAATTTGCTGTGCATGTTTTATTTTAGGACTGATTGGCAAAACAATGTAGATGGAGGCAAAATTCTTGGATTTTCAATGTTAAAGGTATTTTCTATAGAGGTACTGGATGGATCATTCTTAATAATTAAGAGCAAGTAAAAGAAGTGAAAATGTTAGAAAAAACTAATGATGGTCACACTGTAGTGCACGGGCAGGTCCCTCTGATATTCATTTCACCTCTATCCCTGATAGCTAAAAAGCTATGCATTAAATGATAGTGATGTAATTATGAATTCAAACTTATTAAAAAATCTATGCTTAACTTTCCAAATCAACCCTGTAATAGTTAATTAAATATGTTAAATGACACCGAGATTCATCCAACTTGATATCCGTATCCGAACTTGGGTTTTTTTAAAACGTATTTATTTAATATACTTTTCAACTTAACTTATATCCTAAATTTTACAAAGTAAGGGCTGATAACAATTCACGAGGATGTAGTTTAGTATCCACAGGGGCTTGTCACATGTCCACAGCCCCCGAGTTTTGTTTCTTGTCCCTGATATATGTCGTAAAGAATATCTGCACGGCAGTTTTAAACTCCTGTGAAAAAGTTACGCTTTATCATCATCACAAATCTTAATCTGCATTCTCTTATACATCATAGTTTTTACTCATCCAGAGGATCTCACATAAGTTTTCATCTCAAGTGAAATCAATATTTTGGTATACTTAATCGCTGGTATATTTCATAAATTTCATATGAAATCGAAATGACTGATTCTGTTTATCGTATAAATATTTTTAGTCCATTTTTCTTTCTTTGATGACACCACAATGCCTTTGACACCACAAACTTATGACGTCATAACTGAAATTATGGGAACTTTCAGCCAATCACAGCTCTACCTGCTGATATTACATCTGAGGTCATAACAGAATTTAGGTACATATGTTATTGGGTGTTATTACTCTGATAAAAATGAGAGTTATGTAAAATAAATATCATTTATAAAGATAACGTTTATTTGGCATTTAAGGGTCCATAAAAAGGACTTGAAAACATGTAAAATAATGAAGTTGAAGCGACAAAAATGTGGTTTGAGAAACTAAACATTCTATCTACTTGAGATTGGATGTTCGGTAAAGTCTGGCTTCATTTCACTTGATGAATAAAAACAACACCTTAATCAAGCAACATTTGTGACCATTTAATAAAGAAAGATTTTTTCAATATTTTGCATTTTATATGAAACCTTGTGACGTAATGGCACTGGGAAATAGCTGATTACATACATGAGTATTTTCATCGTTTCCTTTAATAAATAGCAGTCAAACGAGTTGATGTTACACAGCCACTGATATCGTTTGTGTGAATCCTTAGATCGTGTTTGTCATAGTAAGGAAGTATATACAGCTATTTAAACTGTGGGCTGTCCTCTCCACTTTTAGCTGAATTGACTGTTTCCTTCCGTCACATCGTCCAAATCCGCAGACGAATTTACTATGTCTCGTTATCACAAATGTGTACACACACGCACTATACATCCTTCTTTAATGGTAGATACACGTGTACATGTTGAAGTACATACATAAACACGAATTTAGTAATTCTTCCATTGTCAACAGTCCATTGAAATGCGTGTAAATATTGACGTTTAAAGAATAACAGGTAAATAATATAGCAAAATATATTGAAATAGTCAGTTCCAACTCAGGTCACGGAGAAGTATTCTAATACTAACAAACCTCTAAAAATCTATTTATCCTTCAGTTTCTTGACAATTTTACCCCCTTCGTCCCTCACTTTGAATCCGATCACTCCCCCAACAACGAGTCCAGTCAGGAATGACAACGTCACAATCCAGAACAGACCTTTTCCCTTGGCCTCCATTTCAAAGCCATGTTTCCCGAACTCAATATCGATGACAGACATGACGATGTGGTCACTTGCTTAACCCTGCGTGACTAAATGTTCCTGCAACTGACACCGACCAGGTAGAATTCCACAGGTGTATACACGTATGAGTTAGATATATACTTGACCTCTGTAATGAACTTTACCACTGCTTACTTGTGACGTCAGGAGTTTTTTTTAGCTAGAATGCAAATAACAATGTTTCTAGAGTATAGTGTATAGTAAGACCTGAATTTACCGACATCATGGGGCACCACACTATATATATTAATAAGTTTAACTCATTTAGTTTCCTCTCTCTTTTTTATAGAGTGGCAGGTAGGTTTTTCGGCTGGTGTACAATATTGAGCCGGGTTTTAGAGTTATTTCTCTTTGTATCCATTACCAGTTATCAAAATGTCAAAAAAAAAAGTGAAGAGTAAGGTAAGTGGGGAGGGACAAGATACGGAGGTAGTGTAGGAGCAGGTTAGGTGGAGAGGATGCAGGAATAATGTGAGAGGGGTACAGAAGTAAAGAAGGAGTAGGATATGGGGAGAGGGACAGGATGCAGGTGTTGTGTAGGCAGGGACGGGGTTCAGGAGTAGGGTAGACAGGTATGGGGTTCAGGAGTATGGTAGGCTGGGACAGGATGCAGGTGTTGTGTAAGCAGGGACGGGGTTCAGGAGTAGGGTAGACAGGTAAGGGGTTCAGGAGTATGGTAGGCTGGGACAGGATGCAGGTGTTGTGTAGGCAGGGACGGGGTTCAGGAGTAGGGTAGACAGGTAAGGGGTTCAGGACTATGGTAGACAGGGACAGGATGCAGGTGTTGTGTAAGCAGGGACCGGATGCAGGTGTTGTGTAGG